ATACAATAGTTTGTGGTCTATACATTTCCGTTTATCAAAGTAACATAGGGTCGCTATGCAGTGCGTGGTTCCTATCAACTCTAGGATTACTTCTTATAACAACACTGACGAACATAAGGATACAGGTTCGTACAAAGAATTGCTAACTAGCAACTGAAGAATCTGGCTGATGTTGACTATGGCGGTACTGTGCATTGGTGGCCACTGGGTGATCCAAACAGACTTTGTATTTCTGTATTTTAGGTATCTTCGCAAAACGGTATTTGTACAAGTGCCTGAACATGGAAACATTTCTTCTAACTATATTAGCACTTGGTATTAAAAGTAGCTGGCCCTTTTGGTATCGCATGCTTAGTAGCGACTACTAGCCAAGTTCATTATGCATCAAGAGCCAATAATTGTTATGGAGATGGAATAAGATAAGTCTTATAGAAGGCGTAGAGACAAAGGTTATGTCACATGATCATGCGCGGTTTGATCCGTGGCAAAAATTTAAAACTCATCAAATAAGGGGAGGTTGGGTTATTGATGACACAAGCACATGCTATCATAGTTTCCAGAAATGAGGAAGAAATATTCACGAAAAAGCTTCTCGATAAACTAATAAAAAATTATTCAAATTTCAATGCAAATATTTGATCACATTGAAGAGGAAGACAGACTGAGCTTTATTTAGGCCCATCACTGTGCTGCCATAATTTAAACAAATAATCAGAACTGAACAAGCAGAGCTTCGAACGATGTAGCAATATGTAGCTGATACAGTGAACTGATTGTCAGCCTAAATTTGTGAACATGATAGCCGTCTCTTTTAATTCAGTCTCAATATTGCACAAAAAATGACTTTTAGTTTTACATAACTCGGGTTCAAACGTGGAATTATGATCAAAGTAACTGAGGTAGCATGGCGTGTTTGATTGGTTTTTTTTTACCAATCAGTGAGCACCAACCCCTTAAAGCCATCTGAACCATTTCTTACTATCAGATATGAGCCAATTACAAGGACATAAAATTTGATAAATCGTAATGAACATTAGAGAATAGCAAAAGAGTTTTGCAAAAACTATATCGTCATTTCGGTACTTTACTATGCAAACGTATTTTATTTCTAAATACATCTGACTTTCTATCAAAGGCCATTTTTCTTGTAAACATCTTCTAATTCACGTTATATCAACTTCAAAACACACCAAAACATAATGCATTTCAACAACTTTGACGCCATGTCAGGTTAAGGTGCAATCGAGTGAAAAACATCGCGCTTGACAGGTGGACTATGAAGATACCCACCCAACTATCAGCTTATTCAATGGAACCAGCTCGTTTGACGTAAACAAACGCGCGCAAATTGTGCTAAGTGAGAAACTGTATGGAATTATTTCGCAGATAATCAGATAAGCAGCAAAATTTGAGCATCTTGAGAATAAACGATGTCTTTTACTTTCCACTAAACGTTTTAATCATTCGATGAAAATCATTCGATGACCAGAAAAAATTCAAATTAAAAATCAATTCCCATGACTTGAGAAGTTTGCAGAATATAAATGTTCCAGCACAAAACAAAAACTAAATATAATGACAAGAAAAGATGATTGCACAACTCTAAATTCTTTCAACTTGTAAATTTCTAAAAAATTATGATAATCAATATATCATGGATTTTTGCCTTTAAAACTAAAGAGAATTTATGGGAAGCAGAGATGTGCTGCAAGGATCTTTTCTTACTTCTTTTGCAAATGGAAGATCTACCGAGTCTACACATCAATAATATAATATTTTTTAATATCTTCTTAACACCAGTTACCAGTGTCTAGATTGTGATTGGGAGGTAGAATGGAAACCTTCAAAGCAGATTACATCTTCATATGTTACTTAGGCCATGTCTACAAGCGGACATTTTCAAAAGAGTGAGTTTCAGTTGTGCGTCTGTTCTGAACCGATGCCATTTCAAACCATTGCGTTCTTAAAAGATTCCACCCTAGAAGGTGCTTTCAAATGTTTGCGTCCACGTTCACTGATTTACCGTTTTCATCTTAACGAAAAATGCATAAAACGCATAGTTAGTAAAAACACATAAAATTGTTGCCTTTTTATTCGAAACTGTCATTATTGTGCTTCCTATATACCTTGAACTCCGATGACGGGAAAAAGGGAAAGCGGGTTGTGGGGTACTGATTCTTTGAGTAGGTGATAAAGGAAGATTTAAAAGGCTCTTGGGCAACCGGCATGCTTTGCAATGACGGATTTTTAGGTGAGGAAAAAAGTACTGTTTATTAAGTTTCTTGCAATACGACATTAGGCCCGTTTGAAAATATAGTCGCAAAGCATGCCGGTTGGGCAAGAGCCTTTAAGACGAAAATTGTTTCTGGTAGATACCGTATTAACTAGAATAGACACCTCCAGGTTTATTCCATAAGATTAATTCCATACACAGCATTTTCTTAAGACCATCGTTTATTTAAAGTCCAGCATTTATGGGGAACTACACAAAATTGAACTTTTTTGGAGATTATATAACTCTTTTACGATATTTCTTTGGAAAAGTAATTGACATCTTCTTCCCTAATTTGAAACTTTTCAGCTGCTTTTGTTAACTTCAGCATGGCGTTTACTTCAATTTTCAGATAAGATTGTTCTCGTTTGCCATATCAGATTATGATTTACAACGGCCTACTTAAAATCAAGTCCCCGGCGTTTATTTTAAAAACAGGAAAATGTTGTCTGTGTTTATTCAAGTTCTGGCGCTTATTCGAGTTAATAAGGTATACGGTTTGGCTCCATGATAAATGACATTCTGGACAACTTTAATAGGTACCTATAGTGTTAAAGTTCGCCGACGAATCTAAATATATCGCATTGCGGAACAACAGCAGCGGGTGGGTACCATTCAAAGATCAAAATTCAACAAACTTACTCTCACTCGACTCGGCCGCTTTGAGGTTTATGGCCTTCATAAACATCAGGGCCCGCGCCACTGGGGAAGGGGTGGCTAGGTGGCCATGCCCCCCACTTTTTTGCGAAGCAAGGAGTCTTAAAACTGCAATAAAAGAGGTAAGAAGCCTTGGCCCCCTACATTCTTAGCCTTGGCCCCCCACTTAAAAATTTGTGGCGCGGACCCTGAACATTGATGTTAACCAGTCTCCTTGAGTACCAAAACACGTACAATCTTTTTTTATAAGAACATTTTTACAAAAACAAGAGCCTCGAAATTGGTCAGAAGTTATGAAAAAATCAAGAACAAGCTGAGGCTGAGAAAATGTAATTTCAAGCAACGTATCATATCAATAACGATGTTGTCAAGTAGAGTCACATGACAATCACACGAAACCAATGAGGTGAATAGAATACGTATTCTATTCACCTCATTGCACGACAAATATTAGCAAATGAGGCCTGGACACCTCCCTGGAGCAAAAAAATTTAAGAACAAATTAAGAACAATCCACGACCTGAACTTAAATTTAGAACGGCCTGAACTTAAATTTACTGGTTCTTATAAGAAAAGATTGTAACGTTATTGCAAGCAACTTTCGATAATAAGCAGCATCGTTGTACACTTTTTTAAGAACACACTTAATAAGAACACCGAAGCTCGATTTGCCAAATAAGGAACACGGTAGGAACATGCCTAGCCCCAGAGGAAGGGATATAAAAAATATAATTAGTTTCTGAAAGTTTACAAAACAGATCAGATTTTGTCAGCAAATCGTGCTACTGAATTTGCCGTGCTACTGAATTTCTTGCAAAACTGTTATTTAGTGGTCTTACAAATTATTAGTTGTAGTAAAATCAATGTTGAAATATAACCAATATTTAGAACATCATAGCCTGACATTATCCAAAAATGTAACAACATCGAGCCTTGGCAAAATTAGCTTGTTCAAAATTAGTTAGGTCTAGAAACACTGTTAAGACAAGTGATTCTGCCATCGGTCAACATCTTTTAGACAACCCAGATTGTGCAAAACTCTATAATGACGACATGTTTCGGATAATTGGCAGAGCCCGGTCATCCTTCCATCTAGCAGTTTTGGAGTCGATCTACATACAAACGAAAAAACCGCCGTTGTGTAGACAGAAGGGGTTCGTTTTCTCTCTTGGACTCCTTTGGTAATTTTTCTTTAGGCTCGCGGCACTGATTGGTCAACTTGTGCTTGCGTTTTTCTGATTGGCCTATTTCGATCCACAACTGGGTATATATTTTTCCATCGTGTTTTTTCGGAACCTATTCTGACGTTTTATGCTCTGAGGAGTGTCAGACGAAAAAGCTTTTAGTATGTCGTAAAATGTTAGCTTGTTCTCATAAAAAATGAATTGCTACGAAGATTATTAAACAGGTCATGCTTAGCGTTATTCGGTAAGGGTCAAAAGCAACAGATGTTGGAAGTTTGGGGTTTCGATGGCACCTGCTATTATTCAATTGCAACTTTGCTTCTTTTCTTAATTGATGGTTTTCGTTCATTTCAGCATTCCTCTCCAAATTCAAACAATCTGTCACCCTGTAGTATGAGTAATGTAGTGTCGTCTCAGTGGGTATCGTCACGTACTGTAAGTAGCCCCAGCTTTCCTCGTATGATCGGTAAAATCACTCACGGGCTGCAGCAATCTGCCCATTCCTTTCTTCACTTTTTTAAATCAATACAATATTGAAGTAGGCTTTAAGATAATCCTTCGTTCGGCTCTACGCAGAGCTTGGCTAACGTGATAACCACTTAAAGTGATTATTGGTGTTATGATGATTAACATAATGATTATGATGATTGCACTTGGGTCACGTTATATTCACCACACCAAAGAAATCTTCCTTGATAGTAAACTGAACTGAAGGGCCTGAATTGGCTCAGAACAACAACAGCAACGGCTTGTGTCTCGTGCTTCAAAATGGAGTTATGGATCAAGACGCAAACAACTGGGCTTTCTAATTTTTCTAAATATGAAACATTAACCGAATGTGAGCAAATTTTGTGAAGGCGAGAGACATTCACAAAAAAGAAAGGCAATGACCAACATAAGCTAACATTCACAAGCATGGTACCTTACATATCTTACATAAAGCGTACAAAAATAGCTGAAAAAGTCGGAAGATAGCTACAATTAATTAAATACGTTCTTATAACAAACAGCTTACTACTAATTGATGTTGTGAGAAGCTAGCAATCCTACGGCTAAAGTCTACAAGATTGATCGCTACAAATGGAAAAACCACATGAGTTTCAGAAGCAACGTTTTACGTCCTTGACATTAGTTTATGGTGGATGACCTTGGTAAGATTTGAGCAACGAGTTGTGGTTAGTCAGGAGCAATGAGGGTTGTTAGCGATTCAGTCTCGATAGGCACTGTTCTTCATCAAAAGCATGGCAACCGTCCACCGTATCTTCAAATTAGATGCAGACAAACCTTCTATGAAGTCATCAACATACAAAATAGTATTCCTCACAATTTAGGACCAGATATGACAAACGTGGTTTTCAAAAGAGCTTTATTAGCATGACGTGCTTTATATCTGAGTTATGTCTTATGCGATCATCGGTTGAGTTTACCAAAAAACTAAAAAGTTCCTATCGGCATTGGTAAATCTTAAAAGCAAATTCATTTTGTCTGTGACCCCTGTTGAGAAGCACCTTCGTGTACGTATTGGTGCAGGTCAGATTTCTAAAAAGGAGTCATAAACGACCAGAGAATTTTGAGGTCTTGAATGTTGGCAATACTTTCTAGGCCACTTTTAAAAATAAATTCATTTGCAGTTGTCTCAATTTTCAATTGAATTACCGAGTTTAAAACCTTTGTAGTCCAGAAACTGCCAAATTTATCTTCTCCTAAAATTTTAAGATTAAACTGCTGAAGGGTACATCCCTTTCTGAAACCAATTCTAACGATCGCAAATAATTGTTGGAATTCAACTTTCAGGCCCAAAGCTTTGAGGTGGACCAATGAAAGAGCGTGAAGTATCAGTGAGTATTAATAGCAACCCATGATGTGTATGATATATAAAAAATTTTGGTGTGCAATTTGACCAAAATGTGCTTAGATGAAAAACGATATAGGCACCTTGAAAAACCTAAATTGCGTAAAAATTCACATTAAAATTCGTCTAGAAATGTCGTACAAAAATTGTTTTCCGTTTAAAAAAACTCAACTGAAGATTAAACTACAGCTCCATAGGATCATGAACACTTAGCTTTTTTCTAAGTTCCCTTGCTTTTCTCTCTACATCAAATTGCTCATTAGATTTGCCTGAAATGGAACCAAAAGCGTCGTTACGACAAAAATTCGGCTTAGTGAAAAACTCATTGTCATCTAGAGGCTTTAAAAGGATTCGTTAGAAATGACCGAGTCTGAATTTGGATCAGATATTTGGAAATCTGCTTTTAAAAGCCAAAAATAGTGTAAATATTGTAGCGACTCAATACTTCAATTTATACAATTGTGCGCGACCCACTCATGCTATTCCTCATTAACAAAAACAATCACGCCTTACTGTGCTTTACTTTAAAATGAAAATTTTAAAGGTAAAGAAACAGGAACGACGAAAAGAGGGCGGCTTACCATGGTGATGTGATTCCAAATAATCGTCAAGATAGCCACTCCAATTGCGCACTTTCCAGTCCAAGTCACTAAGAATTTCCTGGAAATGAAGCCATAAGACAAATTCTTAGAAGAGGTATGAAATTGACGAGTTTATGTCATTGCTATAGGAAAAAACAATATCTAAGTCATGACGAAAAACACCTGCAGATTAAATAAAAAGTTGATAGATAACTTCAAGTTTAAATGCTGTGCTATAGACTATTTGAAGCAAATGGCAAGTCCCTGTTCTTAGAAACACAATAAAGGGCAGATTAACCAAAACACTGTCAGAAGCAACCTTTAAGCATGAATACAACCATGGTTACCTTACTCTGGCAGTTGTAACCATGGTTTACCAGAGTACCACATACATATGCATAACGTAATCATGAAAATCATATGAATGTAGGAAAAATCTAAAGAAATGCTAGCATCAGGTAGACACTACCTTCTACATAGAAGCCGAAGAATATTATCAGAATGACAAACAGAAAAATGACTTTTTTTTCAGGGAAACATTTTCTGCTAGCTCAACTGAAAACAAACTGATTATGTAGGCAAAAGTGATGTTACGGAGCATTGATGGTAAGGAGATGCCATATTTCTTACTATTACAATGTTTTTAAATTACAAGTCCTAAACAACAAGTACTATGTCAAAAGGCAACACTGACGCACTGACCTGAAACCTTTTGCTGTTCCTAATGGCCTTGAAATCGTTATAGGAAAGCAAGCTATCCTTATCAACGTCCACTATATCGAAAATCTGCGAAAAAATGATAAGTTTGAGTGGGTTGAAATGATGGATATCAGAATAAGACGTAAGGAAGGGAACCGATGCCTTATCTTAAAAGGGCTACATTCATACCAGTGGCCTACATATAAACTATCCATCAACGTCATGTGGATAACACCAAAAGCGCTGTTCTCTCGCTGATAAATGTGACTTTGAATTTTCCTTTACAGCAATTCCCTTCAAGCAAATTTTCCGATTGAACCTGTATTTTTTTCAGTCCATTTTATAGCTGAAATATTATTTGTAAATATCACTGGTCTGAGCAGGATGCATTTTCCCACGGAATTGTATAAGTGAGTGTGTTTTATGAACATTATTTGTATGGAAATGTTACTATAAAAGAAATGACCCACCAGGAAAGCATCTTAGTCAATACATCCAGCCCGATTCTAAAGCCCTGGTCAAAAGATCCAACAATACACCCAATTTCGCCTAACATCATGTTGGATATTGGATCGTTTGACCACCATGTTAGTTCATCCAACATCGTCATTTCTTATGTTGGATGAAATTTGACGGAGTTCAAAAATGTTGGCTGCAAACATCCAACAACTGTAGTGTTTTGAAGTGTTGGGTGAAAAGTTGGATCGTTTGACCACCTCAGCCAACATTGTTAGCTCTGCGCAAGCGCAGTTGGTTAAAGAGCGCCAAAATTCAATCATTGTATAACTGTCGTTTTCTCGGGCTGGTTTTGTACAATCAAAAATACTTTAATTATGGACAAAATAACGTAATATGACGTATAACGTAATTTGGGGTAAAATAACTAACCCAAAAGTGAGCTAGCTAATTGATAAAAAATGTCACACATGCATGTTTTGTGATCTTTGTAATATTTCATTGAATTAAAATGACATTTTGTCGTTTTATGGTCTACTGACTTTGTTTAATAGTGACGCAGTTATTAAGAATGGATAATAGAAGAAAGTTTTTCTTACCTCACGTGTTATTTTTTCAAACGAGTTAGGCAAACTGAAAGGAGCTAAATCTTCATCAAAAATATCTGAAGCCTGTAAAAAAATAATTTGCTAACTTAGAAAGAATATTTACTTGAGTCAACAAACAAAATTTTTTCATTTCAAAATTCTTAAACGGATAACTTTAAATTATATATTGTTATTTTTAACCGGACATGAAGATCATAGTCGTTTGAAAATACCCACAAAAATAAGTGCATTTGACAGAATTGATTTTAATACGGTTTTTAGACAAAAATACTGGGTTTTCTCGTTCTTAAAGGTTATACTGATAAATATTTTCAAACCATGACAAGTCTCCATTTAAGGATCAAATATCAGTTTGAAAAGTTGTAGACTGAGAGTGTTGATCGACTAGATTAAATTTAAATATAATAGATTGCGTGCGGTACAAAATAATGCCATAATAACGATAAATGTAAGTAGATTTTACCAGGGAAATCCTGCTACAATTTACTTACATTCAACGTTATTATAGGTTAAATTCAAACTAGTTATGTTATGAAAAACTTTGAAATCACAAGCATATAAGGAATCTTGTTTAAATGGCTAGCGCAACAAACCTTTATATCTTGTATAAATTGCTGAAAATTCACTGTTTTGCTCTCTCGTTTCTTCAGGAAAGATTTGAATTTATTTCTGGAAGAAAATCGCATTAAATGTCAAACTCTCTGTGACAAGTTAGAAATCGTTCATCTCTAAACTGTATTGGTACTATTGAATGACAGATTGATTGCTTTCTACAATATCTGTTGACATAATCTCTCTTTTCTTGGTTAGCATTAAAAGGTGTGATAAATAGCTAGTGAAAATTATCAACAGTGACAAATCGAAATCATTGTTTGGCAGAAGAAACTAAAAAATGGCATCTTGAAAAAGCCTGCAAGCTAAACTATCACAGTGATCAGGGAAGATAGGACTTCTCTCCACTTAAAGTCACTTGACTTTCAATTTATTCAGTTCTAGACTTAATAGCAAGAGAAATTTGATTTTAAAGCTAAAAACGAATGTAATTTCTGTGAATCAAGAAAAAAGGCCAGAATTTGAAGCCTTTTTTCTGAACTGTCCTCCGTCGAGCGAATAACTGATCAAAACCTCAGCGAAACACAATGCGACTAGCAACAACCAAAGACTGTATGCCTTTAGTTAAAGACTTGATATCATATAAATAAAAACAAACTCACAAATACAACAATCCTTCATCTTCATTGCTCTCATCTTCACTCTCCCCATCATGGTGATGATCGTCATCCTCCTCCTCCGCGTCGTGGTTATGCGCATTAGTTTGATTCCCATGTTTGTGCTTTCTAATCAAGTCGGCCTCCTTTCGCGCCTTTTCTTCATCTTCCAAATGAGAGAACTGATACTTGTCCAGTGTTGCCTCGCTTGGATCAATGGAGCATTGTTTTGGTTTATGATCGTGCACATGGTTGAAAGAAAACGTGATGAAAAGACTCTCCTTAGTCTTGCCAGCAAATGAGTTTATTTGATTTGCCCTTGAGAATCAAAGAGAGCCTGAATTTTAAAAGATGATTTTCCATGGCAGGTAGCTACACAACTGGAGACAATTGAACGAGAAAACAAGCCTTTCACATGCCACTCTCATACTGTCTACTTTAGATAAACTATGAACTATAGGAGAAATGTTAACAGGGAGCTACTTGAACTCGTTTCTAAAAGCAAATTTCTTTGAAAAATGAGTCTACCCACCATTTATATGGAAGATACATACAGTCGCCTTCATCTAGAGTTGCAGACATCCACTCAATGTCCTCCATTTGAGGATACTTGCCAAAATCGACACTAAAATCAAGGAAATATTATAGAACGTTGTGGCTAACAATCTCACCTATGATAAGGATTTTATTTTAACGTGCAGTGATAAGAAATTTGTGCAATGATAAATCGTTATTGTGCAGTGATAAACTCGCATTTTGTGCAGCGATAAAATTGCAACTGAGAGTTTTGGTATTTAAAAATAAAAATTGTAGCAACTACCTGTAGATACAAAAAGCTGATATAGGAGCATTACAATACTAAAAACGAGAACATAACAGCACCAATGACCATACTCTATTAAAACCCTCTAAATTTGTTTAGTAGATGGAAGCTATCTAGTTTGTTTTGTCCCCCGAAACATGCTTAAACCTAGACCTCTTTTTCCTCATTAAGATGTCTTGTAAAAGCTTTGGTGAAAATTGGTATAACTCGACAATTTCACATGGGAAAACGTCGTACAATTCAGTCAATTTGATGGATGTTGTCATGAAAATTTTCAGAAGGCCATACCCAAATTTCTAAAAATCTTTGATTATGTGGGGTGATAAAAGTCCTTTAAAAATCCTGTTGTGATACCTCGGCCTTCCATGTTTTACAAATCTTCACCCTGACTTCATTGTTTTGCCTTCCTGAGAAATTTTCGTTAGCAAGGATGAGAGGGGGGCATCAAGGACAAGTAAGATGTTATTCTGACTTACCTATCGACATCAATGCCACGGATTCCTGCTTCATCTTTGATTTCCGTGAACTAAAAAATCAAAGCACGAGTTCGTTTAAAGACAGCAAGAAATAGGCATTCACTCGACTGCAGAAGGAACAAGTCTTACAGAAACGAGGTCGTAAAAGAACCTTAGGGAATGGAAATGTGAACTTCAGGAATAAGCAGCAATTTTTGACTCATAATGATGCATTGAACAATATTATTGGCATTTGACATTAAAATCTAATTTCAAGTTCAGCTAGTAATAACCATTCCCAAAACTCCGTGGTTTTATCGCAAACTGTTCGTTTATGTCAAGAATAAGAACATACGGAAAAAATGAAACTAAAAAGAAGAAGACAAGGCACTTCACTAGTATGATACAATTCTGACAAAAAGGTAATATTATAAACTTGACTAAGAAATCTGAAACGGTCGAATGCATATAAATGTTAGCAACTGATGAGACACCCAATAAAATCTTCCCTAGGCCCAAAGCCTTCTGCTAAAACACAACAACTTTTAGCAAGAGCACTTAGCTAGGCCCATTTGTATGAAAGAACCTATTAAGATGAGATTGCTTTGCCTCTCGCACAAGTTTTTCGCATCAAAACAAGTTTTCAAAAGTATGATAAATTCTAGACTTTCCCAAGGTCTATTTTTTGCTAACTCCTTACGGCAGGGCATTTGTATTTCACGAGGGCGTCTCCTGCGCAGTTAAGATATGTCCTCGCAGTAGTACGAATGCCTTGCGGATTTAACAAAACATAGACTTTGGGAAAGTCTAGACAAATTCTTATTTTTGACAGTCTTTGTAACATGAAAATAGGCCGCGTGTGGCGTTTCGCACGTCTTGATTTCTTTACACCTGCTATGGCGTGCGATACGCACAACTTTTTTATTTGTTGTTTTTATTCCTGTTATCAAGAAATATTAAGGTGATGGCTTAAAGGAGACATTTTGTGCTTTAAACTGAAAAGTAACTAGAGGGAGAAACTGAGAAATTTTTTTGTAATAATTTGAAGTTCATTTACCCTACTGTGCACGGGGAATGATTTGTTGCCGCTTACAATTGGGCAGGAACAAAATCATATTGCAAAGTAGCAGGTTTAAAGCTGCAGGATTTTACTTTCAAATAGCATCTGTAAGCCTCGCGGTGAGGCTATGCACGAGATTTGCACGAAAGTCCATGCTGCAATTTCGCGGATTAATCTAAATTTCCAAGGACAAAATTATTGCGCGTTCCCCACACATACCCAAACTTTGCAGCTTGGCAAGCATGCATTCCAAAAGCAGAAATTTTTCTAACTGTTAAGGTGAAAGATTTAAATACTCACTCGATCTCTGTAATTCATGTAAGGCACCATTAAATATTCATTTCTGCCACGTAATACACAAACTATTTCATCACGGAATGTCAATGAAAACAGAGATTTTGTGCCACCACTACTGTACCAGATTGCCTACAAAAACCAATGATGGCATTAAGAATTGAGAATATAATTTTTTGTTCATATATTGCAGTAGCTTGCAAAGGACCATCAACAAAAGACATGACTTATTAAAAAAAAGATACTCAAATGGAGAGTCTAAACTAGAATGGTTTATAGGGCTATTTTAACATACTAACTGCGGGGGCAATTGCCCTACCACCCCTCGACTTTGCCCCCGCACTCAAGAGATTTTTGACCCCACAAAATAGTCCCTTGTTTGTCGCCACCACTACGTAGAATTGTGAGGCACATCTGCAGGAGCCATAAGTAGCAGAAAACGATTGCAATACGATATCATAGGTGTTTACATGGCAGTGATTTCATAAGTTTACATGGGAGACTTTTACACAGTCGAAAGCTAAAAACTGAAGAAAATTAGGGGATCAAAACTAAATGATGTTGGCCCTTTTTAGTATAGGTCTCAAATCTACAAAAAAGGCCCTTAAAATTACTGTTTAATTCCTGTATCACTGTGGTCATTCATTTCAGATTAGTAAAAGCAACGGAACAGAAAATGCAAGGGGTCAGACAGCAAAATTAGCTGTGGAACATGTTTGTCTACATTTAAGTATAAATTTGTGCCACAAATTTGATTGTGTTTTTGGTTTGCATGATTCATCCCAATTCCACTCAACTTCGAACAGTTTCGTTGCAAAGAGATTTTTAGCATTGTGATTTCTTGGCTACCTTTCCTCTTGGAGTGTCTGATTTAATTGAATAATCCAGGCATATCAGGGGATTACGTGAAACAGTTTCCAGATAACGTCTTCGATACTTTTGCTGATTTCAGGCCAAACAAGACTTTTCAACGAGGATTTTATACATGCTTAGAAGAAGTACTGGACTTGTTCAAAGTTTGCTGTCTGCCATTATTGTCATATCACCTGACAGGATGACTGTTGAAAGAAGTGTTTCTGCATACAACAATATATATTCATAATTAAGGGAATCAACATTACGAAATAAACTGTTCATTGCATGGAATGGTGTCCCAACATCAAAGTTTGACACATGACCAGCCATAGCAACATTTTTTCAGAGAAAAGATCGTCGTGAATCAAAGCCAACTATAGAAACTTACAAAAATAGAGAATTTATTTTTCAGTTTTTTTAATGGATTTACTGGGACATTGATCAGACATATATTTTCACTTTTGAATAATATCTTAACTTCAAGTGTCAACACAAAGCTGTTCATTTCATTTGAAATACGAAATGTTTTTTTTGAAGTATGGGATCATAAAAGCTTCCTAGAAAATACCCTTTATCTCCTGTTTTTGCTTGTTTATCCTGTCCTTTTTCAAAAATTGCCCCTCTACTTAAAATTTATTTAAAAAGGCACTGATGGCTTATGAATGGCCTTTTACAGCAAAAGACTTTAAACAAAAAGATTTGTTTAAAAGAGCCTATTTGTAACTCAAGTAGCTTATGCTTTCTGAAAGTGTGTCTGTGACAGACCAAATTTTATAACTGTGCAATAGATTGTGCAAATGTTGTTCATTGAATAAGCAACCCTCCAAAGGGCAAATTGTTTTGCCCCTTCTTTATAAAGAGGTAAATTTAAAAAGTGCAGGTTTCATATCTGGTCAAAATTGCAAATCTGGTAAATCTAAAGTTGGTCCCAATCTTCTGCTTTGGAAAAACTAAGCTTAATGTGAATCAGTGGAAGGTGCCCTTCAGAAATGTTTTTTTGGCATATTCAATGAATGGATTGCCCCCTAAGAGGGCATTACTTCTTTTAACAGGTCATGTAGCCTGAGCAGTGACCTAAAAAGACATGGAAAGAGAACTCACTGTGTCTTTCAAATGCTCTCTTGTTTCCTTGCATCGAAGAGGTGAAGGCAGTAAAATATCAACTCTGGAAAAAGAGCATTAACTCAATATCTAGGTATCAATCATGTAACAAAATTGCATTAAAATTTTTCTCCCCCAATCCCAATGAACAATAACACCCCCCAACATTCGTACAAACTGTTAAAGTTAGAATTACCACTGATTTCAAATTTTGCTCAAGTCTGAAAGGTCTCTCTATGTTCTTAAAAATAGATACACTATCTTTAACACCATCAAAAGTACTGAGTCATGTTTAACTGAATTTATTTAGTCCCAGGAGAAAGAAAGAGAATAGAGTCTTAAGAAGGTTAATAAGAGTTGTGCTGCAATTGTGATAGTGATTTCAAGTTGTTTACAAATGCTAAACTGACTAGTACTACTGTTGGAAAGACTCTTATAAGTAATTTTAATTAGCTTCTAAATAAATGTTGTTATTTTCGGTTGAATAAAATTAATTAGAAAATAATAAGTACTATCTGCTGAGAGTTAATAAGCCATTATATGCAGGTGTCTAATGATGGTCCAACTTGTATTCAAAATCAGCACAAAATTCTTCTTAGTGATCAGTGATCCACCAATAGCATTACAGTTATTCAATGATTCAGCACATTTTGTCATAACCTGTCCTCCTATCCTGTGGCATACTAGATATTTTTGAAGATTAGATACACTTTACTGTTTACCCAGAAATTTACCACCATTTGTTCCATCTGTTTCCTTTAAGCTTATGGTTGGTTAGTCAAAACATTTAGTAGCCTACTCCTTTTTTAGGGGCTGGTAATATATAATTGCTGTGCTACGGTTCATTCTTGCAACCTTACTACCGGTATCCAAAAATGCCCCAAAATATGAAAACATTACTACAATATAAAGATGCTGTTTCTTAGAAAAATGGAAGCCTTGTATGGGTCAGACATTAATACACACTAGATTTAACAGACATAATGACACATTTGAGTCAGCTACAGACTATCACAAATACTCACTGCAGCTGTTTCTTCACCCCATCAACTAAGTACATCTCTTCACTCTGAAATCTATCAAGGAACTTTCCAAATTTCATATGTCTGTAGTCTGATATGTTATTGAGTTCTTTTTTGTCCTTATCAACAGAAACATGCATGTTTGCGATTTCAGGATTTCCTTTGAAATATGCATGAGTCCATTTTGTGAATGCTGGTGATGACTTTGCAGCACCATAAATTATAAAGGGTCTTTTCTTGTCAACATAATTGTCAAAAAATTCTGCAAAGAAGGATTTAAATCAATTTATTTACTTTCTAAATCATGTATTAACATGATGATACTTTTTCACTTTTGCCAAGTGAAATCCATGCAACTTTAGCCAGAGATACTGCGCACTAGCATAAAACAAAGAAAAATGGGTTTGCTGCCTGTGTTTGGGCCAGTTTATGACCTAAAAACAACCATTGTTGGTGCAAAGTCGACTATCAGTTTCTATCATGCATTATATCATACAACTGCTTGGCATAAGCATTTAGAAACTTTGGTGCAGCTTCACAATAAACTGGCCAATATCCAACATGATGTTTACATGGATTCCACTCTGGCACATTTGGGAACTAAATTTAAAACCTTAGAGAATGCAACTCCCTTTCAACAAAGGTTACCCTCAAAGTTTAGAAATGCTGACAGATTTTTCACTTGATTTCATATCATTTTGCAAGCATAATCAGTCAAGGCACACTTATTACATTTGAGTTGGCCTTTTTTGTTTGCCAAGTACTTTCTTCGCAATATTGTTTCGTTGGACTTAATCACAGTATTTTAATGTATATGAACTGGTCAATAATAAATTATCAGTCGAAAAGGAGGGGGCCAAAATGCTCTAAAATAGCTGTGCTCCTCCCTTTATCAATTAAATGTTTCCGTAAATTTGGCAAATTCCGCAAATTAAAAGAGGCATCTCAGCTAGTTCTTGTTCAGAGTCCATCTCAGCTAAATGCTGAATATATTCAAAAGTTATACACAATTTTACAAAACTTCTAAAATACGACGGAACGGAAGATAAAGTAAATACCTTGAGGGCTTGGATAGGCCGTAAGGGCCTCCACTGGAAACTTAGGCCTTCCTGTTCCGAGCGGCTTCATATGACCTGGCGACAAGCGTGGATCATGAATTGATAAACTGGAGACTACCCCAAAAATTGATATAACTTTTAGCAAAATTGAACGGCACTGCATCGTCATTTCTGTGCTGCCTAGATCCCCCTTTAAAACTTTGTTGCTGCAAGGCCAGAAGCCAAGGGCCAGAAGAAAAACTTCCGCTTTATCCTGATGCATCCACGCGCGACCTCCTCCTCAGCATCATCAAACAGGCGCAAAATGCTTCCAAGAAAAACACTCGCCAGTGCTGTTGCAATGAGAGTTGCAATTTGATGTGTCGTAACAACAGAGCCGTAAAATAGAAAACGGCGTTCTATTCAACCGTAAAAATAAAAATTTTACCAAATTAACATCTCTCAAAATAAATCAGTTGTATGATTTATTTGATTTTGGATTGGATTGTCAATAGGGACTGGGTTAACACTCTTCTTGCAAATTTTGTTATTTTTGCGTATAAAGTGCACGAAGTAAAAAGCCAATTATGATCCTAAATATCGGATAAAACATTGTTTATTTCGCATTTGACATCCTGATAGTATAACTAAAGTTTTAAACTTAATTATACTGAACCTTTCTATCATGTGCTCGTGTTTCTGATTGGCCTATTTCGGTCCACAACTGGGTATATATATTTCCTAGCGTAGATTTTTCGATCTATGTTCTGACCTTTTAAACTCTGAAGAGTGTCAGACGAAAAGCTTTAGTTTACTAAATGTTTGCTTTTTTCAAAGCCGTTTAGAACCTTTCTATGCTAAAACATGTTTTAGAGGAAAATGTATCGGCCTGTTTGGGAGATAATAGAAATGGTTTAGATAATAATTGCGATATCAAATATTAAAAATTTACTGCCAAATTTGTTGAAAAGCTATTGGTCTTAAGGTGTCACATCATACCACAATCCTATTGTTGATTATGGCCTGTTGTATTCAAGACAAGTTCTATATGTGACCATAGTCAATGATGTGACCCTTCTGTACGGGTTGTACCTGCTAAGAAGACAGCTGCTCTGGGTCAACAGCAAAAAGCCCTGGCAAAACGACTAAACATTTCACTAAACATTTCACTTAACTTTTGTTAGTGAAAAGTTTAGTGGAAAGTTTATTCGTTTTGCCACCTTGTTTAGTGTTGTTTAGTCATGTTGAGTGTTGTTGAGCGAAGTTTGATTCTGGTCAAAAATATTTAGCGTTGTTTAGTGCTGTTTAGCAAATGTTTAGTCGCTTTGCCACCAATTAAACATTTGTTGTGCTAGCGCAAGCTCCGTAGCTGTGGAGATGCAAAGTTTTTCCTCGATTTTCCTTGGTTTTCTTAGTTTTCCTGTTTCTGCATGACCCAAAATCTCTAGAATGCCTTCGTGAGACATCTGCATCATCTCGTTATACGGTACTGTGTTTTCTTCAACAGTCAACTTTGTTATCAATGTGCTAAAAAGTCTCTTTCTTTCCCGTCGTTTCATCCAATTCTCATTTTTATCCAACAAAACAAGCGGAAAGTGAATTCCTATGAAAGATCTGCTACAAGCCAACAGTATCCTACACAGCTCGCAGTTCAAAAAAGTTGAGTAATGTTTGGTGAAATGTTTAGTCGCATTTTGCCACCCTCGCTAAACATTGCTCAACTTCACTAAACAAAATTTGAGGAAAATGTTTAGTGAAATGTTTAGTCGATTTACCAGGGCTTAATGAACTAGGGTAACCAAATTTATTCGTCATTTACTTTAGCCTCCCAGAGCAGGAGACAAGAGTCCTAATGCGGATCCAGATGGGGTTGAAGCTAGCAGCATTCAGAATGGGAATCAAGCGCTCTTCACACATGCTCTATTGCCTACTTGCTATGGTAGCTCTACGAAACGATCCAGAAACGCACTGGATGTAACTTATGACAAATAAAACTGTTACTTAAAAGCTGAAGGGTAAATATGAGAAAATGGAAATACACACTTATATTCACTCAAACACTCATAATGACATTAAGACTAATAGTACACTAAGAAAATGTTACAATGACTGCTCTAGATAAAATAGAAAAAATCTAAACAGATGATAATCAAAATTTTGTACGTTGACTGCGTAAAGGGTTGGCATGATAGGAACTGAAATGCGCAGCGGCCCTTTCTATTTAGGCAGATGGATTTGTTGCAGCTTCTTGCATTAAAGGTAAAGAATATCTTATAAGAACAACAACATGCAGTTAAATATTTTTTTTTCAAAGCCATTTTCAAATATCCTATACCTAGACGATGATTTCTGAAAGTTAAAAAAGGGGAATCAAGACATCATAATGAATCAAAGAAAAGGGGAATATCTAAAAGGAACAATATCAGTGTCACGTTCGTAATACAGTCTGCTCATAATGGCAAAACCTTTTTGTTAAAAATAAGGTAAAACATAATGTGAAAAAAGGCTTTTGTTATGAGGCGAAAATGCAGGTAGAGGGCAAAACCATGCCTTGCAGCACAGTTTTATTTTGAAACGAATATGAGGAGAGGAAACTCGAAGACACAAAAGGGACAACGAAGTAGAAAGATGAAGGTAAAAAGCTTTGATGGGGTATGATGCCGCAAAGTATTCCTGCAAGAGGTAGTGAAAAAATTTCAAATCTAGTTAAGATTCCGATTGCTTCCAAAAAAACACGTTCAGTGCTTATTACGAAACTTTCTCGAATAACGTCGATATTTTTTTAATTCTAGAAATACTTGTAGCGATAGAGGACCTTTTCCGCCCTAAGCAACCATTAATACGAAGCAGTATGCAGATCCTCTGTTTTGGTCAAAAGAATTATGACAGCTATGGATGTCTAAACTCAATTTTTATCAAAGATATATTCATATGATGGAAATTGCACGATTCGTTCAAGAATAGTAGACATAATATTTACAAACATAAAAAGAAAAACAATGTATAGCGTACAAGATCATTCTTCAGGCATCCATAAGCCGCGATAGGCCCAAAGCAAAATCATTTCAAAGGCTTATCAAAATAACGCACAAAGTTTTTTATATAGGTAAGTTTGAACTTAAGCATCAAATAATTCATTTACGTCATTAAAGAGAGAGTTTGTATTCATCTGAAATAATAGATTACAAAATACTCACTAGTATTAAAAATTACTGCGAATCAAATTGACACCAGAAAAAAAATCCGTTTTTAAAATAACTTCAAGTAGCATCAGGCAGCTCTGCTTCAGAAAGTTTAACTCTATTAAGCCAGCCAGTCACATCGATATTCTTCGAATCGTTTTCTTTCAAAAATGGATGCAGCTGAAAGCCAAAACCTCACATGAAAATCTCATTTTGAAGCAACTTTAATTGTGCAGAAGGCTAGAGGGTCTTATTTATGCAAAGCTACATTAATATTAAATTGTCGTCTTACTTAACACAATTTTCTATTTTAGCCCCCGTTAGCGAATGAAAATACCTTTATTTTAAAAATAGTAAACAGTGTCAGAAAAGACATAACCCCCGTCCACTATAAGAGAACTTCTAAGCAGAAGTATCGTATTGTATCGTATTCAAGTATCGCATTATTAGCGAATGAGAAGTTTTAAATGACCTCGAAAGGAATAGAAAGGAAGATTATTCTTAAAAACTTACTATTTTCTACAAAAACCACACAGCGTTTTTCTATAATATATTCACTACACTGTAGGGCACGTTAATCACTTGCAAGAAAATATGTAGAATTACTTTGATTAAGTCAGTGCAGTAACTGAAAATGTGGCAATGTATTGAAGCCCATTGTGTAAGATATTTAGTCTCGCCATACCTCTCAAAATATTCCCATATATTAAGAGTATCTTAGTAAAAACTTTTACTAATAAATTCATTTTTTCCGTCGTACTTGCAAACAAAATCTTTCAGTGTAGTTTAAAATCATTTCTCCCTTCGCCTACAGATCAACTACTTAACAAATAATCTTACCAGCAATTCTTGATATTTTGGCCTATCTTTTACATCTTTGGTGAGACTAAAATAGAGTAATAAAGGCATAATAATAATAATAGGTTCCTTAAACGCCGAGAATGATATTGTACGTTAGAAAGTTTAAAAAAATGTTCGCAATATTTCGCAGTTGAAATTGTGGTTTGACTGGAAAAAAGAAAATGGAGCCGATTATTCGCCTCGATTACAACGGACCTACAGTAATGCTTCTGGGTTTTGAAGTTAGTGAGACAAAGAGCGACCTTACATAACGGCCCTTAAATAGCTAAAATGGACAATGAACTACCATTATTTCATTTAATGAGTAACCTTTTTCTCAATTCAACAAATTAAATCGAAACATGTAGTTCCAGGAAAAAAAAGTAAGCTCCCTGTAAGAAAACTGATAAAAACATTGATAAAAACAGTCAAATAGGAAATTCCCAATTAGTAAAAACTTTGCAAAGTCCAGAATAGATGCCAGGCCTTGATCTTCATTCTGGTCTTAGACTACTCTGCAAAAAGTTATTCATTTTGAAGGTTTAAAAATGAGAAATTGAAGTAAAGAGCCGAAGAAACAGAATAGTGTGAGACTGAATAAACAAGGCAAAAAGCCTAAGTGAATAATTTCGTCATAGCAAAGAAGATATTTTGGACAAAGTTAATGAAACTAATTAAATTTCCCAAGCCAGAACTTCTAAAATATGCGTATATTTAAAGTTACTTCATTGCATACTAAATACTGATGCATAAAAAGTGTCTGAAACTAACCAACTGTTGACAAAATGCAGACAATTGTCAGAGAAATTCAATGATCCACTGTTGACTAATTGTGGCGCTATACCATTGACAACTTCGGATAGTTGATCAAATATACTATTCCAATTTGGAAAGGGAAATTTTCCAGTCGCTATTTCAATCTACAAAACACGAAAAATTACAATTAATTTCATTTAGGCCATGTCCAGTCAATATCAAGTTAATTACTATTACAAAAGCATAATTACAAACAAATGACTCGAATAAGTATAAGGAGATCAAACAAAATTTCAAATGCAACTACCATTAATTTCATGAAACAACATAATCTCTATCCCTCACGCTAAATTTATCTTAAGTATGAGTTTAGGACCCTATTTATCTCAATGAATTTTATTACTTTAGCATTGTTGCCTATACTAGAGATAAAGTTCCTCTAAACCAGCTAGGAATTTCTGAGAAGATGGAGATGTTCCTTGAACGCAAAAGTTCCTGAATATAATTTACAAAGATTTATTGAAGGGGAATGCAGAACAAGTAAAAGTGCTTAAAGAAAGAACATCCAGGACAAAGCTCACAAAGGAACACATAAACTCATTGCAATGATTATTAAATTGAGACAACCTACCAAGGATATGCCTAGACTCCAAACATCAGACCTTATGTCATAGCCAAGTTTGGCTGTAAATGGATCGATTCGTTCAGGCTTTGTGAAAAAAAGAACAACCCAACATTAAACACGTAACCAAACTTTAAAAGTGCAGCAACATTTAAAAAAACATTTCGCAACTGAAATCAATGAAAAGGTATACACCAAAAGGCAACAGGACAAGAAGCACTGAAAATCCATATCGGCAAAACAAACAGATTATGGCCAATCATCTGGAACCACTTCTGCGCATGATTTTCGACTGCAAACAAGGGGGACGACCTGGACATTGCAAAACTAGATGTTTATCGCCCCCCATAAGAAATGGATGTGTGAGGAAATTGCTAGAGATACTCACACTTTTGCTAATCAAATCAAAATCGCTTAAATGAAAAGACAACACAAATAGATAGGCTTTGCGTTTTGAATAATTTTTTTATGAAATAAAGATTTTTCGCTGTGAACTACGAGCTGTGAGAAATGAGTTGTAAACGACGGCGAAAACAATGATTAGCAAAAATGTTTCCAAAAGTAATTTCAAAAAACAGCAAACGAATTCACTGAAAAGAAACTTTTTCACAAAACAACTGGTAAGTAAAAAAACAAATATAACTCCAACAGCTCAGCACAAAATTTCTGGAAATGGCTTTTCATAAAGAGTAAGGAACTTTCAAAAACAGGAAAAAACGAAGGCATGCCAGATATTACATTTATAATGAGCAATCAACGCTGCCTTGGAGTAAATTTACTTACCGCCATGTAGGGTTGGCAGCCAGCATCCCGAGTCCGGGCTATTGAATCAACCAAGTGTCCGCTAATACCAAAATCACATAATTTAATTAAACCGGTACTATCGACGAGCATATTTGACGGTTTTACATCTAAAAGAGAATAAAACACTTTGCAAAGGATGATAGAAAATAAGAAGATTACACAACAACCTACAACGACAGTGATGAGTTTTGCACCTCTTCCAGCACTTCAATGTTTACATCGCTGGTTTCAAATTCATGCATACACGGATGTATCTCAGAAATATCTTTATCAAAAATTGATTCCATGATTTTATGGGAATGATTGCAAGGGAAAATGTAGTCAAAAAAGTACTGCCTAATGAGCAATCAGTGTTAATTTCTATACACTGTCAGAATTGGTCTAAACGATTGAGAAAATATTAGCAACAAGGAAAGTATCAAAAACTTTCATTGTAAAATTTGCATCAAAGAAATTCTTATGATTCTGTTTGATTAACGGCCAGTGGCTATCAAGTTAAAGTGTGGAAAAGGATTTAGTACACGAGTCAATGGATCCAAAATGGATTTGCTTTAATTGAAATTTAAAACCTCACGTTGAACAAAGCGGAATACTTAAGCCCAGGTCAAACGTGCCTAGAATTGATCAAACTTACCAGACATTGAAATTAGAAAAAACCGAAACTCCTAAACGTTTGATTGAAGTATGGTCAAATGCAGCGAGCATTTTATCGAAAATTTTGGACATGTTCAATTGCGCCATCGCAAGGGAGTGGCAAGATGAGAAAAGAATAAGTTCGATGAAGTTTCCAAAAAATTTTGAGCATCATCAGACAGTATTTTAAAAAACTTAAAACCAAGGTGGTTAGACAAGTAGACTTTTCTCAGAACAACAAATTTATGAAAATAAATGTACCTCGATGGATAATTTTCAATTTTCTCTTCAGATAATCAAGGGCTTTTACAACCTATAAAAGAAGGGTTTTTAAGCAAAAATAAATCAATGGAAGAGAAAAAGAGAATTCTTAGCAATTCGAGGCAACTTGAATGTTGTCTAATTAGCTCAAATAGAAAATTTATCAAAATTCTTCACAGTTAAAACTTCGACGTGTCTTTGCTTGTTATATTCTGAAAAGCAAGACAGGCTTCGTGTTAGGCCTAGGCATCCAGAAGCTTTGTTTCAGTTGTTAATTACATGACTACAGGCATCGAGGGCTTGCTAAAACTCTGAAGTAAGTCAAATCAGTTTCTTTGATTTCATTTTTTTTAGATCATTTCGGAACTAATTGCAGCGGAAATTCTACTGAATTCTATAAAAAATTGCTTGCGACTCTTACGTAAGTAGAATCAAACAATGCTAGTTCAGAAAGAAAACGCTTGTCTAAAATTAGTATCAAGAATTAACAAGTAGAAATGTTGACATTAAAATCATTTAACTTCCAGTTAAATTTCAAGTTGCTATTGATGACGAAAAAAGGATGAGGAAAATTTTTTACCAATGTAGTGGCAAGGCTTTGCATGTTGTGTTTCTAGGAAGTAAGCAGATTAGGAAGCACAGAATTTCAAAAACAGTAAAAATTGACACTTACACAGAGACCGATGCGGCCAATTATATCCTCGGGAATTGTCTCCTTGAGACGATGATGCACTGTTTTGTACAGCTTTTCTAAAGAAGTGGACATCAGCTCCATGCATATCCAGCAATCGCCCTGATAATTAAGGAGTCAAAAATCATCAACACATATAAGAAAAGCAGCTAATATTATGAATAGATGATGAAGGGATACTTCAACTGTTCCCCTGGGTCAATGTTGATACTTCTTCTAAAAAGACAGTGGAAACTCTATAAACGGACACAATAAAACAACAGATACCTCTAAACAAGGGACGCCTCTCAACAACGGACAATCATAATTATTGGAGCGGTGTCTGTTATATGGAGGCTCCACTGTTTGCTCCAACTTTAAACAGGGGGTGGGGGAGTGGTAGATATTGGAATACAGCCAATGATGATCGCATTAAACGTGAAACTCCGTGTAGCAACTTAGAAGCGTCCAGTTCTATACACAAAATGGCGATATTGGACTACATATGGATGCAGCAATGCATGTGATGAGAAAATTGTTTCATCTGCAGTGTCAAGAAGCATAGGCAGTACTGAGGCCATATTAATGCTGAGAAATACCAAAAAATGCGTGCAGATAAAGTATCTGTTAACATTGCACGTCTTATAGACTCTACAATAAACTTGACAATAAGCAACTGAAACATTTTCTAAAGGAAATGAGTGGAAATGCATTTAGGATGCTAAAGGAAATTAGGATGTATAATCAACAAACTGAAGAAACATCTTTCGACGATGAACAACCACGGTTACAAGAAATTTACTGGAAAAGCGTTAAAAAAAACATAAAAGATTGCCCAGGATTATATAAAGAAATATGGCATGAATTGTCTTAGCTTGAGATTTCCAGAGAGTAAATAATGTTTATTGCCCAAGAAAATGAGTAAAAATCCTTGAAAATTATACTACTTAAAAAGCTATGATTCCATTGTTCATATCTATTGATCTTCTAAACTTGTTAATCATACAATATATATAAATATAGATTAGAAAACCTGACGTAAAAAAGTGTAGCTCTGATAAAAAGAAAATTTCTTACCTCCTTAAAGAGAGCACCGTAAAACATGACGATATACGGGCAATCTCCACTGTTCATTACAATATCAAGTTCCTTGAGAAGGTGTTTTTGCTCTCTTTCATCAACAGTCGACCTTATTCGCTAAAAAGAAAAAATAGCTTCAACAGGATACTGACCCAAGGCACATTTACTGTATAAACCATTTTGTTGATGTCAACATAAAATAATCCCCCTTAAGATCTAAATGAATAGTTTTATATGTGAAATGGTTGTAGATTGGTTTGATGCCATAGAAAGGATGCATCACACCTCTGCACTAGCGACGTGGGGACAAAGAGTTGATCGCGTCCTGCGAAAGGCTGGAATCAGTCATTATTCTAAAATAGTTTGTTTTTACAAATAGAGTCTTTGTGTAACATTGCAAAGGGGTTGGTCACAAAAATTACCTTGGAAAAGCCCCCAGACCGCACTGACTAGGGTCGCTCCACTTGCATATAGCCCCTCCCTCCCTAAATCTTGCTAATTAGCTGCGCAACTGCCCAAATTAGGACTGTATGTCCACGAGTTGATTCCACGGTGCTGTCAAACAATTTTGGAAAAAGAACTATTTATCTTATCATTATCTTTCTACAATCTCCGCTGTTTTTGAGGCAACTTCTTCTGAAAATTTCCAGCTTATATTATCACAACGTTAATACTCTTGCATTTCTCATCCTTAAATCTGTGTACTTGTGAATCACTTACTCGTCATTAAATATTGAAAGAGAATAGTAACAAGTAAGCTGCTTAGTAACAGAAACTGGCATGAACGTAAGCATTTCCTTAAACATCTCAGCCCATACTAAGTATCGCATCCAACCAACAGAGGCATAGCAAATACTTTCTTAATTCATCAGTACAGTCAAAGCTGCACTGATTATTCGAAAAATATCTCTAACTGCTACAGCTCGTGCCAGTCTGTTACATTCTACGACTGTTAAACGTAATGCTTACTTTGACTGCCATTTCTAGTCCGCTTTCACTATGAAGCATTTTGCTGACACTACCAAAGCTGCCTCTTCCAATTTCCCCATGATCAATCAAATCTTCAGCGGAATAAGTGTATGTCTACGCAAAGAAAAAGATAAGCCGTGTTGATGACTGCGCGGAGAAAGATACGATACAATCCGATTACATTTACAGAAATCTATTTGATATTCGATCAACATTAAAACCTAGAATCATTTATCATCTTTGATAACAAAATCTTAGGACTTCAGCAAGAAGCATGTGTATGAATACGTGGAAATTTTATTTCAATCTTAGTACATACGAAGGACCTCTATGAGAGCTGGACGAAAACGAAACTTGTTAAATCTCGATATCTATCTGAACAAATGATTATGAATTAACAATGTTACTAGCTTCTTGTAAAAATCATATCAGAAGGGTTCAAAAAATCTAGCAAACTAGATACAACAGTTAAACAGTGCCCCAGGGTTGGTTGACAATAAAAATAGAAAATAAAATATTATTTGGCAGAAACAAACCTGTCCCTTTATATTTAGAGTGCCAGTTGTCTTTCTGGACTGTAGAAGGTGTAGACTAAAGCTGTGTAAAGAAGAAACAATATGACTGAAATGGATTAATTTCTTCGATCATTTCCATGTCCAAAGATTTCTGATGAAAATATGGTTGATCACGCCTCTACATAATATGTGTGCTGTAAAGGTTCCTACATAATACGTTGCTTTAAAATTAGGCGCGACAAAGGCATCATTAACTTACTCTGCCCATTTTCCTTTCGTATACTTTCTACATCTCTTTTATATTATGAATGAAAGATTCATGCACAATAGAACTTTCTCATCTTGAGGAGTCTAATACCAAACTGGTTACAAGGACAGACTTAATTTAAATATCAAGCTTCTAATGTATCTTCCATTTGATATGCAAAGCTGGATAGCAATTTGATGGAAGCAAAACAATTAAAATTGGTTCAAAAATCGATCACTACCCCTGGTCAATAAAAGGATATCATAAATGTGTCATAACGAGGAGACCTTAACTATAATATATTCGAAACGGAAAAAATTTAGAAAAAAGGGAAAAACCCTGTGTGTCTCTTTCCACTAAAAGCAATGTCAATCTTGGTCAATCAGCATGATGTGACACACTGCTTTTAAAGCAAAACAATTCACTTCCTAAGGCAACCATTGGCTGGAAACAAACCCAAAAAGGAGTAAATTCTTAGTATCACAGTTCATTATCCAGTAATCTTTACCTTTTGTTTGTCTCTGAAAATGAAGGAGATGGAACTTTTGGTTTGGTTGGTGATGGCTGCATAAAATTTAATGACAGCCTTCCTCTGTCTGGCTTTCCATCCATCTTGAGATCTATTATGTATTGCTGTATGGTGAATGTTATGCTCAATGACTACCAGCCTAGAAATATCAATTCAAATAAATATATTCATGTCAGAAACAACTCTAAAAAATTAATGGAAGTGACTATTTGAGTGAACTGCCAAGGAGAAAAATGTTGGATAGGGGGTACTTTTTTGTGGTGTAATTTTTTGCACTCAATTAACTCACAATATAAAAAGATTAAGTGAAAACACAATAAAAAATTAAAATATTTATCATACTATTTTTGCCAAACTTATGACGCATTTGAAGCTGAATTTCTAGGTTTTATGAAAAAGAGAGCTCAAAGTAAAAAGCATCTATAAAACTGTCTACAGAAGATTAGATTGTAACATTTACTTATAAAGTGCAAAATGCATTTGCCACAATAAACTATCCAGTCAATAATAGCACTATTCCATTTGCAAAATCTAGATTGTCTTTCATTATATCCAGGTGACAAAATCCTTTGCCCATGTAAAGAATTTTCTTTTCATAACTAAAGAAAGTTTGATTGTGACAAAAGAGGCCAGTATGAGATAGCAACAAGTCATGCTAATTGCCATTAGTTTGGCTTCAATATTCATAAATATATGTACTTGCTGAAAATCTTTAATAGATCTTGTATTAAATATACAAGTAAATTGTTTGAACTAATCTTATGTCTTTTACATGAGCTTTTAGCTAAATAAACTTTTAAACTTCAAAGCTTTTACTGATCCTATTGCTATCTGTTTTACTTATCCCTTGCAGCAAAATTAACCAGAAATGGCTGAGAAATTAGCTGAGAGACAGCTTAAACAGAGAAGCTGAATCAGATCTCTAGTTTATTTCTTTTGTTAATAGTGTTACCAATTCAACAAAAAGAACATGGAACAATCATTCCTTTAACAGACAAAATTCTTTATGCTAATACCCTAAACGACCTTACTACCAAAGTGATCAAAAGAATAAATACTCCTAATATTCAGATTAAATATGTAACAAAAAACCCTCCTTGACAAACTCAATTTTAGGGCACTTAACAAACATGTCCCTTTGTAGATCATGTTTGATTGGATTAAAAGTCTACAGACTGCTAAACCACACAGGCATCTCTATTAAACAATAATAGAGCATTCACAGCAGCAGCTGTGATTTCAAAAGCATTTGACTATTGTGTTCCTGTATTGAGAGTCATTTACAGCCTCAGGGGCAAACCATTAATCCTCACTTCCTTTCACTGTTGTAAAATTCAATTAATCTTTCATCAGTTGGCATGAATTAACAATCAAAGGTGTTCATGACATTCTACTGCAAAAGAAACATTATGCTTCCTGATTTCATTTGTAAACAGACATCACCTTTAACAAAAGACTGTGCTTAACTTTTCATCTCTACAGGAAACAACTAAATAAACCACATCATGAAAGCATAGGCTGGGGAAAACTAGGATGTGGAAACGAGCTGACATAGTTGATGATGTGCAGTAAGTTGATAGCAGGTTACACCTCTTTTCAGGGTGTAAGGGTCAAGTTATGAGGCTTAGATAAATTATTTGCAAAATTTTTCATGGAGGCAAACAACTTATAACTTCTGGTTCAAATCCCACAGAAGAGGGGTAATATCAGTATTACTGATGTTACAGCTTTTCCATGCAATTTTTAAGCTTTGTGGTACAAAAGTATTATATAGCTTTTGTCTTTCAAGTGTCATAGACACCAAAAAGAAACTTCTATCACTTTGATCTCAACATGAATTCCTAATGTGAAAAAGCCTAGCTAGACTTTTAACACATTCTTAGGACCTGTTTATATGGAGAAAATCATCCTACCTTCCAGCCTGTGTGCTGAGAGGTGAAATCCCAGTCTTCTATAGAATCATTTGTGTTTTTTGTCTTGCAATTATGTGGAAAACAAGCCAGCCAGGTTAAGTGAGATCCCACTGCATGAGAGTCGGGATCTTACTGAGGTGGGATGTTTTTTTCATATAAACACTGGAAGGTGGAATGAAGCTGGAAGGTAGAAAGAAGCTGGAAGATGGGATGAAATAATCATATAAACAGGATCCAATTTTGTCCCACTTGTCAAAACAAAGGCTGGAAGGTTGGATGATTTTCTCCATATACAGCTGGAAGGTGGGATAGAATCTGCATGTAAACATTTGATGATTTCATCCCACCTGCCAGATTATGAGCTGAGAGGTGGATTGAATGTGCTCTTTTTAAACAGGCCCTTAACATGAAAATAACTTCCTGTAATAACAACAGTGGCAACACAGATTTAGAATGGTTCTTTATCACATTCAACCACAGACCTTTTTGTTTCTTGCGGGCAAATGCCCTTGCCATCACATTCACCAAATTATTGACGCGGGTTATTGACCACCCTTGCAAAAACATGAACTGCCCGCAAAAGAAAGGTAGAACATTTAGGGAAAAGTTAGCAACAAATGCCCATACTGTTGTTGTCACTATAATTCAATTCACATCTTCTTGTGGTGTCGTCAAGGATTTCCCTCAAGGCATTTTAGCTGAACGTTTTTTAAAACGCAAGTGCTTTTGAAGTGGGGTAGAAATCTGCTGTTCTGGCAATTTCTAGCCAAATTCTATGCCTTAAATTGCTGAGAGGACCTTTATTCAAAGATGTTTTTTACAAGACAAAACGTGAAGAATTCAATAAATCCTTAAATTTTTATAGAAATTCTATATCCTGCTCTTCATTATCAAGAAAATCTGCATCCGGCAAAAGTGTAGAGTTTCGTTAATCCATCCAGATATTGCCAGATCTTCATAATCTGCAACAAATTTTCATCAAAGCCCATTTTTCGTTAAACCTTGATGACACAGACTTTGAACACTGGTTATTCATGAGCGGGAAGAAAAAATATTGATGATAAGAACTGGACAGTAATGAAAAGAAATGCTGTAATAAAAGGGCAATTGATATTTATTTGGAGAAAAAACGTAAGGCTGTCATAGAGGAGCCTCTGAGTAAAAGACTTTGTCTTGAAGCTTCAAAAGAATCTGAAGTCAGATAATGCAATAAGAGACGGAGAGGGAGAGCATTTTTCAACCAAGTTGGAATCTAATTGTGATTCACATACTGAAGAAGAACTTTAAAAAGTCAAACTTCTAGATGGTGGTTTTGATTTATTTGAAGTTTTATTTTTTTTAACTTAGCTGGTCAAACATAATGTATTTTCTTTTTGCCCATCCCTAAAACCATTCCTGAATGAAGGTTCAAGTTGTTAAGGAAAACAAAGCATCATTTCCTCATTGTTGACATTTTAAATCCTTGTTCCAGATAACCCTTACACAGAATAAATTTGCAAGGGCCTTTTTCTGCCCCCGCAGTTTTTCAAACTCAACATTCTCATTTAATCTGTGCAGTTTAGCTTCCCAATATTTGTGCTACTTTACCGCTAAATATCAGGGTGTTTGGAAATAAAGAGAAAGAGGTCTTACATGTCTATGTGTTTATCAAATGATGTTATAAATAGGAGATTTCTGTTTCCTTATGTTTCCTTAAATAGGACATGTTAACAAACTAATTGTATTATTTGCAAAAACTTGGAAGGAAATGTGGAGGCACGAGAGGAACAGCACATAGCATGATTAATGCTACAAATAATGAAAGTGAGAAACGTCACACCATGCTGTAAAATAGAAAACAATTTTTTTTCAAGTCAAAACCTGCAAAACCTAACAAAACTTTGCTATATTCGAAAAAAGTTATGTTCCTTTATCTGTCTCGTTTTGAGGAGTTGTAAAACAAAATTTAAAGGTAGTAATACACACAAAAATGTCTTCTTCATCTGAATAGTGCTTAGAGAATTAGCAAGGTAACATATTTTTGCCTTTGTAAATACTAAAATATAAAAAGATTGACAACAGTTCTGCAAGGGCTAAATAGCCCACGCAGCCAAACTGGCAAAGGCTTTTTATAGCCCATGTTGTATTTTTTCCCAGAGAGGCCTATGTATATATCAACTATCTGTATATAGGCCAAGGCAATATCAGAATGAATTTTTTTCTTAATCTTATTACCATATATATCAAATATTTTATAAGATGGCCTCAAAACATTCATATAAGTCTTTGCTTCGACTGTGCAAGAGAGATTAGACTGTGTAAGAGTCATAGCTTGCATACATTTGAACTCTGAATTTTACTTTGAGGCTGTTGGCATGCTAAGTTGCAAGACCCAAAAGGCTTATAGTAAAATACATTCAAAGTAGGTTAGCTGGAAAAATACCTTGTCATGAAGCAATTTGATCTGGTACAAAAGTCTGCTGTCACTTTTGGATCTTATTGTTATATTTTTATAAATTTTCGCAACATATATTTCATGATTAAGGTATATATTTTGCTTGTTTGAGAAAACAAGAAATTAAGAACATCCTGACTCTCATGTTTCTAGTTGTTATAAAATAAAATAAAAATATACTTTTTTGCGACTTAAATCAACCTTAGTCTAAAATTTAATTTAAATCTTTCCTTTTCCACTTTCTTCCAAATACCATTCCAAGCATTTTTCGTTGAACTTCCTTCTGCTAGGCTTTGTTAGAATTCATATATTCAATTTTCTCATGCAGGTATCTATGATTTGTTTCGTTTGGAAAATGCGGCGGAGCTTTAAACAATAATTCTGAAACTGAAACTTTAGAAATATTTGCCTTTATTTTGTCAATACTTGTGCGTGGTTTTTGCCCAATAACGTAAAGACGGATAACCAATGATAAGAAGTAAAGGTGCAAGACGTAAAGATTCCGATTGATTGAAGTTAAAAAAGCTCTGCTCATTTACTAGCAAGAAACATGAATGGCATCTAACATTTGGCATATTAAATAAGCATTTTAATGTTGTTGGCAGGGTGATACGAACTGCTGACCACTCAAGGTTAAATAAAATAGTTTCGCTTATCACAAGGCATTTACCGCTAAACAGACGAAAAGTTATTCGAGCAATCCTGAATAAATCTAGTCGATAAATTCAAGCATGGATTTAGACGCGGATAGCTTCTTCCCTGCATTCGTAATTTCACAATTCACTCCCTCAACTCTCCCTATAGGCCAAACCTTGCTCGACAAGGTGCTTCTTGCTGTAGCAGCAGGGCATGTTGTGAGACTTTATAAAACGAAATGTATGTGTAATAAACATAAACAAACCATGAATATTGTATTCCGCGATCGTTTTCCCTCTAACGCATCGGTAATTAGAGAAGTACTGAAATCCAAACTACCTTCGACCAGTCACAAATTCATGACAGTTTTATGTCCTGTGGAATGTTGTTAATCTCATGAAGGAGGCTGACAACATAATTAATGAGGCCTCGTTTCCCCGGTGCCTTCAGAAATTCAAGTTTTCCCAAAACCCGCCCCAAACCTGATACATCGAACTTAAACAAGAAAACACCGGTAAATACTTACTGATTTTGCAGGTCATCACATCGCACTTGATTATTTGCTCTTTTAAAATTTTACGGTTAATTTAAAAGGGTACAAAAACAAGTGACGAGGCAGGTAGGCGAAAAAATTCACCAGCTTCCCTACTTAACTCAGACCCCGTCCAGACTGATCTGTTTTCAAACGAATACGGAGCAGAGTAACTTTCATCATGATTCAGAATGCAAAAATTTGCATCAAATGAATCATCGGTTTCGGCAGCCAACTTGATTTCCTATTGGTTTGTCAAAGTCGTACGTTTGGCCTACACGGGCTGAAAATAGAAAACAATTTTTTCAATCTGCTTGTAATCAGAAGCGTATGTGACTGAAGCGCAAGGATTAATCTAAGGTGCAGTGATGACCAATTTGTGCAGCGATGAATCAAAAATGTGCAGTGATGAATTGAAAAATGTGCAGTGATGAATTTCTTCACTTTTCAGTTTAAAATACTCAAAATACTACTGATTACACTACTGAGACAAATGAATACCAACTATCATCGAGAATCAATTGAGATTATGGAATCAAGCTACGTGTGGAGCTCAACTAAAACCAACGTTAATAATAAAAATAATATACAGTTAGTCACAAATGCACTTCATAATGCCTTTGAATTTGAAAATCCCTATGCTAGTTATACGACGTGGCAAAACTCAGCCAACTCAGTATGAGTTTGCGCATCGATATAACGATGTTTCAAGTAGAGGCATCAATGTTTGCTATAACTAAATAAATTATATCTTTATGTATCTCAGGCATGATGCCACTTGGGGGCTGGGGGGCTAAAGCCCCCCTTTTTCAGAGATAAAAAATTTTTAACCCTCTTTTTTCTTATTTTTGAAAACAAAGTATGAAATAAAAAGAGAATAAACTGTTTATATACTGTTTGATTTTCTTTTATCTTTTTACTAACTTGTTCAGCTATATTTCTATTATTTTTCTATGATTTGCATTAATTCAGTAGATAACATTCTAGTTTCTATATCATTGCAATGTCTACATTTTTTATGTGTAAACCTGGCCTACTGAAAATACTCGAGACAAAGAAGATACATATTTCTGTTCTGGAAGTAAAATTCTCTCAATCAATACAACAGCTTTTTGTTATTCACATCGACGTGCACTCTGAACCAAAGAGTTTTTGCGCATGATTCCTCCCGTCCCAAATTTTTCTAAAAATCAATAATCGATGTTTTTCTGAGAATCGTCGAATTGTTTTATCTGAGCGGTAAAGTAAATTGTTAAATTTTAGTCTGGGAGATGCATTTTTAGCCGTTCTAGAAGGCCCAATTTCAAAAATGTTGGGAGTCCTCATATATCACTAAACTTCATTCTTAGCCCCCCCCCCTCCCAGGCTCAATTTTGTGACGCCGTTCCCTGTATTACCAATGTTATATCGTTGATTCATATTCCGAAAGTAGGCTTTCAAGACTCTCCTAATAAACGAGCATTAAGCCTATCCCCCCGGATAAACTAACAACACTTTATCTGCAACTTGATAGAATGCTTACATACATGCAAACAAAGTAAGCGTTTATGTAGAATCTCCTCTGCCAGTAAAGGTGTCTAAAAACTATGTTGCAAAGCATTTTTCTGGTCAGATGTATAAATAATCAGTATTAGCTGTAGTTAGGCTGAATTACACTGAAAGTGTCCCTGAAAATAATGTAAAACGTTTTTGTCCCGCCCAAAAGAGGTCCAGTCAAAACTTAGCCACACCCGTAGCCACACCCTATTTGGCCCCGAAAATCGGCGATTTACGCTGTTTTGTGCAGTGATGAAAATTCCTTAAATTAATGCCTGCTGAAGCGTCTGCGACCAGGGAAGTCACTCAAACATTTTATATACGGAAAGGTCCATTCGCAGTCATAAAGATTCACCTTAAAGTATCAAAAACAAATTTAACTGACCCAAAATTATCAGCTAAAAAGTGTTGATAAGACCCAAAAATTTCAAAATAGAAAATCTTGTTGTGAGCACATAAAAGACTAGTCATAGCAACTTAGACTGTTTCTTACAATCATAGGTTTAAACACACATGCTCTTTTATTCCTGCTTTTGGTATTGTTCTGTGTTATTTTGCCCCAAGAAGTGTTATGTATTATTTCATCGAGTCGTTGAAAAAATTCATTACAGTTTTTTTAGTCTGTAGTTATAGTTAATGTGTGTCTGTGTGTATCTTATGGAAAAGTATAACTTTACCCTGGGTACCGGACCCACCTTCTTACTTTATATAGAGTGAGTCTGGTACCCAGGGTAGTGTAACTTATGAGAAAAACATGATTTGTTATGCTTAAGATAATGTATCTTACTTTAATGCCACATCTTCGAGATCACGTGAGAAGCAGCGCATTATACCTTAAAGACTCATTGCTAACAATGGGCCTTTGCGAGCGTGGCGACGGTCCAAACAATGGCAGTAATTGATTTTAGACAGTATAAAAATGCATTATGGGATGCTTACGTAGCGCAATGGCTTTAAGTGGAAGCGTGCTTTGTAATTTTTATGTCAATTTATTTGTAACTAGCAATTGGTGTAATAAGAGTACAATGCTCTTATTTCATGTTTTTAGGAACCTTCACCATCCTCAAGGACCATCATCTTGCGATTCGAATTCTGAATTCTAGTTTTCCAAAAGCAGAGCAGGAAGGTATAAACGCAACTATTTTTGTCAATAAGATCCTCGAACTGTCCAGAAGGAACTTCTATATACTAACTATTCACAAAGTCCAAAAAGTCAAATAATGCTGATGAAACTTAGCTAAGTATAAAAATTAAATAATTAAATGAAATTATAAAAGTTTACTGTACATATAGCCGGTGAAAGGTGGACATCTTAAGCTAATGAGTTTTTAAAAATAACTGACATAAAACTTTGCATTCTAAAGCTACGATAGTTTACCTTGAACTGGCCGTAAACGTGAGGGGAGAAGGGGCTTCAAGGGAGACAATAGGTTCAGGGGGCAATACATAATACGTTTTAGTTATCATAATAGCCATGAAAAGATAAAAAGGCGGTTTAAAAGGACGATGGTTTTAGATGTAAAATAATCGAAGAAATCAACGAATACAAGTGACGTCAGCCACCTGTCAATCAAAATTGGCTAATCAATTAAAGAAACACTACCTACACTTTGTATTGGTCGATTGACGTTAAAGCTGTCCTCTCCTTGGAGGTAGATCTGAGCATAGTTTATTATTAGTATTGTGACCTTAATTCTCATTTTAGTGCTACGGGTGACATGTTATAATGTAATAAGATAATAAGTTCTAGAGACATAGTTAATTTGCTAAGGGAACTATTAATCTAATCTCTTTTACAGGTTCTATTATTAGAGATACTTAGAGATAAAATTAAACCTTGTTCATCACAGAATTTCGGGCACAGATGAAGCAACCCTACCCTACTGGCGATAGATGTTCTTCAAAACTGTATAAAGGAATTTATGTAATTTTTGTGGTTTATATTCAAACAAATTAACCGAAAAAATCTTGCTTATCGGCAGTGGATAATGAAGAACGGATAAACTGTTCCCACCATATAACCTCTGAAATGCTAAGCCTAAAATATATTATAAAAATCAATATGCAGTGGGTGAATAATTATTTGCCTTGTATACAATGAAAGGAAAATATTCAACTTAGAAACTAGCAGTTGAAGCAACACAGCAAGAACCAGTACCTTACAATATGCTGTTGCAATGTACCTGATAATGCTACCTTATATTAGAAATTACTACTGCATATTAGTGGCCTCTGTCTCGAGCAGCCTCAGTCATGCAGCACTAAGACCTTTTGTCAACTAGGCCTGTTAGTTTAAGTGCAAAGTCATCTTCACTAATCATACTCTGCACCAACAGTTATGCTGATTTCTCCTGGATGTATATATGTTGAATGGAACCATTGGTTTGTATCAACCACAACTAAAACAAAAATCCAGTATATGTTATACCCATAAATTCTATACTAAAATTGCATTTATAGCAAAACAAGCACTCCTGAATAATTACAAATAAGCTTGATGAAAAATGATTAGCCATGTCTTGACAATGAGTAACTTTTTTTAAATTCATCAACTCTTATATGACAATAGAGACCTCATTAAAACAAGGGATATAAGAAAAATATAACTTCAAGAATCAGGAGTGAAAACTCACAACTCAAAAGCACACCATAACTCATTTCTAGGTCTGTGAAATCAGAGATGGGCTTTTTTTATACAGGGTTGCCATTTGGCCGTTTTGAAGGCCAAATTGCTCCATTCTGCCCGTTTTTCAATGTTGTTGGCCATCAAAAATTAATTTGGCCGAAAAAGCGAAAGTTGGCCAAATTATGGCTGCATGTTGAAAGCCACAAAAATACAAAAAAACAATAACTTTAGCATAGAAAATACTCAGCATTTTGTTAAAATAATCTCAAAGTTGCAAATAACAAATCAAGAAACAAAGTTAAAGATAGCAAAAAATTAGCAAAATTTAGCTTTTTTGTATATTTTGTTTGGCTGGCCGTATTTGGCCGTCAAATGTAAAGTATTTCACCGCTAACCATTCCAAGCATCTGGCAACCCTGCTTTCATAGATCTGGAAAAGCTTCTGATTGGTTGCCCAGACAGGTGACTGAATGGCCTTTGGCAGAAAGTGAAATGTAGATAATTTGTTGATTAGTTGTGTCATATCCTATAGACTATGGTTGTGTTGATCAGTGATGTTAAATTATACAAAGGTGTGAAAAACAGAGTTGGTAGGCCTCCAGGGAAAAATTGTTCAAAACCAAAGTTGGAATTCAAAAAGGCCCTTTTCTCTTCATCATAGAAGCTATCATGCAGAATGTCTGTGAAGGTCTACTTTGAGAACTCCTATATGCAGCTGACTTAGTGCTTACTGTTAAATGTGGAGAAATCTGAAGGACAAGCGGTAAATTTGGCTAACTAGCCAAGAGACTGTGGATGCGAGAATCAAAAGGAACAACAAAGATGGTGTGTGAGTAAGAACAAAGTTTTCACTCAAGCTGAGCTGCACACCCAAGTTAAAACAAGAGTACAATGAAAGAAACTACTCAAAATAAGGCATAGCGGGGAACAACCTCTTCTCCAATAACATTGTAAACTAAACCCTTGGGTTTTTTAAGATACAGCTCATTTTCAGCAGCGCTAACTCTTTGAGCTACCACTCCTGTTGCATCCAGATTTCTTAAGTCCCATGCACAAATTATGATATAAATGATGATCTACCAATTAACAACTTTTAGTAAGCCATTCAAAATTGCAGCTTACCAATATCTCCTTTGTTCATTGTGACATTAACTGGGAAGCAAACATCTTCACATTCCACTGGAGGTATTAAGTACCAAGACTTCACCCCTGAAATCTGTGCTTGCCACGAAGGCCTTTCAACAGTATCAATCTATGAAGAATAAGATGCATAACAAATGATGAAAACAAGTAGCAAAGCAAATTCAAAGTTTTTTGTGTTATCTCAACATCAGGGATATAGTTCCCACTGCTGTGGATATGTGTGTGCTTTTGTGGGGGTAGGAGGGGGTTGGGTAGATATCATGCTTACTTTAAAAAGTTTTAAAAAATACGAGTAGCTTTGCCATCCCAGGTGCTTCTTAAGTAAATCTTCAAATTTTTCTGCATATAAGGGAAGGCTCACCCACTTTGTAGGGAAATAGGACCTGGACACATCAATTTATTTCAGACATATTTAGAAGGGCTTTCTATAGAATTGACTGTTATTACTGTGTATTTTTTTACAAAACCATCCTCTTTTCCTAGAATCCAAAGAAGGGATGGAAAATAATTTGGAAGGTGAAATACCTTATCACGTCTAAGTAATAATTACACTCACAATTGGCTACTTTTGCCAAATGTAAGGTCCTGACTCCCCAATTACACTATTGCTGTTTCTCAGATAATACCAAAAACGTTTTAGTGGAATACTTTTGATAAGCAGGCTTTAAACAGATACAACAATCATAAGTAGCTTCAAACATAGGTAAAATGTATTACAACATCAATGAAAAAGCACCCTAACCAAGGAATATGACATTCAAAGTGACTTCAAATACTAGGTATTCAGACTTACATGTACAGGGGCACCTGGACCTGAGCCGCCCATAAAAAACCAATCCTGTTGACTTGTTTCAGAATCTGCAGGCAGGAAATCTGGCTTGGCATAATGCTTTCTGACATCACTCATAACCTTTGTGTGGCAGTTACTCCTAAAACACAAAAATAAAAAAAATTATTGAACTGCATGTTGAGTGATAAGCTATAGATTGACTAAGTGTTATCCCCTGTGGACAATAGTATTAAAATATGTGCATAAATCATATCTAGCCTCTATTCCAGTTAGCACGTGTTGTAAGTCAGTTTTTTTGTATGTATGATTATGATGAAGATAAATATATTTTGAAGTCATTTTACGTCTCAATATTTGGTTTATTACATAAGCAATACCATGAGATATATTACCAGGCTACATTAAAGACTCATTGCTAGCAATGGGCCTTTGCGAGAGTGGCGACGGTCCAAACAATGGCAGTAATTGATTTTAGACAGTCTAAAAATGCATTATGGGATGCTTACGTAGCGCAATGGCTCAATGTTAGCAATGAGTCTTTAAACTTTAGAAACATGTTTTTAAAGCTAAATTTGATATGCTTAGTTACACAAAAGATACAAGACATCAAAACTTTACAAATTCATCAAGTCTTGCAGAGACATTATAAACAAAGTGGTCTTTATAACCTACAAGAATGTATTGAAAGTGCGAACAGCGTTGTGAAAAATTGCAAAAAGCCTTTTTTGAAAAGTGCTGATTTGACCTGTACTTAAAAAAATTGTAGGAAAATCTTCTTTCGAAACCCACAACTCTGGACTGTGTGAGGGGATTTTTTGTCAGCTTATAAAACACATCATCTCCAATGGGGAAGAGATTAGATACTTGACTATGCAATAAAAAGATTGCTTTGGAATTCTCAAGATACCATGAAACTACATTAGCTATAACCCTGTAGCTTTTCCAGCAAAATCTGTTTTGCTTATTTGACACTGTAAATTTCTTATTCCAACCATAAGGAAAATTCTGTAAATCTTCAGATTTTAGTACTCTGTGTGTTTAATAGTTACAAATGAGGAGCTTGAAAGACAATATATTTTCCTGAGAATTTAATTCAATATCAAAATAGTTTTAAAGCAAGAATAATCTTGTTCTGTTGAGGTGAACAAACTTGGCCAATTGTAAAAAAAGTTCACTTGATTCAGTTCATTCAATACATTTTCATTAAATGATGTTGAGCATTGATTCCAAAAGAGAGCATCTTGAAAATATGTGAAAATTTAAACATCATAAGGCTTGCAATTTGAAATTTTTCAGTAATTATAGAATTACCTTGATACGTGTATGCCAGCCTCTGGCACGCTCTTTGGCAATTGTCTTAACATCTATATTTATGAATATAGCAGCTTTTGTTTACATCAGCAGTAGAAAGTTCAAGATGTCTGTTATTATGAGTCTTAAATCTACTAAATATGAATTGGTTTTCCTTAGTTAGTTCCAAAAACCTGTTTTTAAATACAGTTATTCTATCGTTACAAAGGATGAATACTAAAAGCTTGCAGACTTACCATCCAACATACCATTTCTTTCCCTTAAGTGTTGCTCTTTTCTTACTCATACCAAAGACATCTTCCAAACCAGCAAAATTTGTTTTGTAAGCGAAGAACTGGCAGCTCCCTTCTTCCTGCACATCATATGCATCTTCATACTTTTCATAAAGTTTTTTAAAATAATCGAAACTAAAAGTATTCAAAGCTGTCCAATTTGCAGTGGCCCCAGTTACAACCAGGGGTCTTCCAGTGTAAGCATAGGTTTTCAAAAACTCTTCTTGGGTAATTGATGATAACCTTGGGACTTCTTTCATGCCTTTGCACATTGCTGTGCAATTGGTGATTGGCCTCATGAACTCCAAGGAAACTTCTGTATGGTCCACAAGGCAAACAGTACTTTGATAAGACTGTTGAAACTTTTTAATCAACTCCTTTGGGTTTTGAAAACCAAAGAGCACTCCCCAAAACACCGCCATAAGGCCAACTATCACTGACATTATCATCAGCTTTGACCTAAAAAGAAATTCGTTTTGGTAGTTGGCACCACCTTGCTGATGGCATAAACTATATTTTTGGTGAAATGGCATCGTGGCGCATCACAAAGCTTCATGAAAAGTAATCTAGCATATCTATAATGAAAATCTCCTTCAAATTTCACAAATCTTGAAGGTGGTCTACCAGTTAAAGGAGCAATTTGAGGCAAAAGGAGCAACCTCTCGACGTCTCGTTCGCACAATAACCCCCTCCCTGGCCTTTTTCAATATCTCTGATAGCTCAGGTTGAAACCTCTCCAGATATGAAGGCATTATACCAATAAATCTATTGCGAAAACCAATCTCTTCTTACCGTGGACGAGGAACCCTCGATTCCGCACTTGCCACTTTGATGCCCAAAACATCCATAACTTCACCCTTTGATAGCCCATATTTGATGGCCTCCGCGATGGATATTTCAAGGTCAGGCACTAGCTCCATAGTTCCTTTCTGAAAATTTTCCTTTCTTCAGCTCTACGTAAATACAGTAGCTAAACTACTTAGAAGTGGGAAAACAACATTTTCTTCCACTATCACTTGTCACATTCACAACTTCCCCTTCCCAAATCATGTGTACGAGAGAAAATCCTCCGCTCAGGGCATGGACATAGACTCCTCCGCACAAGATACATTAACAACAAAAAATTTCGTCAGATAAATTTTCGGCGGATAAATTTCGTCGAAAATATTTTCGGACAGCTTTTCAGAATTTCATCGTGACAGAATTTTGGCGTGGATTTTTAACACAAAGATAGCAACTTTTTACCAAAATCTTCAGAGGCAAAACAATACAGGTCGCTTTGGTTCAACACCCCAGGCAGCTTTTCACACAGAACAGCATGTTAGAAGAACCAAATTGAAGCGGTCAAAAAAGAAAAGAGATGCTTTTAGCATTTAAAGATTCTCTACTCTATATTTATATGGCATGAAAGTTTATAAACAGAGTATAATTAAAAGCATTAGTGTGAATATAAATATTAGATTCGGAAAGCATAAGACCATCTCCAATAGGAAAAGTTGGTCTCGTAATTTTATTTCTGTAGAGTTCAAAATTTGGGTTGAAACATACAAATACCTTGAGCGAATGAAATAAATAGTACAGTTGAGTATAAAAAGACGGAGTGGAAACTTTTGAAACGGGCGACAAAAGACAGTTAGATCAGGTAGCCAGGATGGTAAGATTTGAGGGGGGGGGGGGGCAAAAGCTAGTTGATCAAGGGAGAATTGGAGTCCACACCCATTTGGACGCCAAAACGCCCTTTTTCAAAGATATGTTTTGCTATGGGGGACACCCCTTGCCTCCCTCTCGCTACGCCACTAAGTTAGAACTATTTTTGTTAACAATAGTGATAATGAAGAAAGTTCAAGAACCGACAATGATGATGATGATGATGATTCCCAATGATAAATATAATTTTAAAGACGATGTAAATAAATGAGAAAAAGGACGTAGTTGACATTGAAGAGGTAAAAATGATGCTATGATTTGATTCCTAACCTCATGTAAGAGTTTTTCTATGCGAATTCTCAAAAATCCTAATTGCAAAAAATTTCGTCGTTACCAAATTTCGTCATTACCAAATTTCGTCTCATTCTGAATTTCGTCGAAGAAAATTTCGTCAAAATATTTGTCGGAAATTTTGTGACGACGAAACTTTTTGTAGTTAATGTAATCGTTTTTGCATGTGCCAAGAAATGAATCAGAAAAGGAGCAAAAGAAAATATAGTGCCGGGGGATGCCAATTGTATTGCTTCTCATTTTGTACACCATTATAAAGGAAATATTGACAATGATTGGGAGGCTCCAGCCCCCCTATCCCCCTAGCCCCCCCGCCTCCGACGGCCTTGAAATATTGCCAAAAACAAAGAAACTAACGTCTTATTTGAATTTGAGAAATTCACGTGGATACTTTGCATAAACGTCAAACGACGGCAAACTTCACAAACAGGGGTTTACAAGGACACAGGGGGTGTACAGGGGCGTGGAGGGTGTGCAGGGGCGCGGAAAATGTTCTCGGTCTATCAATTCGATCCAGGCACTGCATACTTGTGTAAAAATGGAGAGGGGGTGGCTAAAAAAACAAAATATTTAAAAGGCCACGTCCTTTATAACGTCGAAAAACGTCTTTTTAGAAAATACTTCCTTCTTTCCACTTAATATTTTTTATAAACGGTTCGATTCAGGGAAGATATCAATTACTATAATAAAAACAGATATAATTAGCTTAAGGAACATTAAACACCAAGCTAACCAAGTTAGAAAATACAGCAATAAGATAAAACTCCAAGAAAATGAGCAAAAAAGGGTTCCCAGTCAAGAAGACCTACTACTTTGAGTTTGAGTGCCTGATTCGATCACAAGAACGTTTGATTTAGGCCACTCTTCATAGCAAAACTCACCATGAACAATTTATATTCACTATAAAAGAAGCTTAAAGATAATAAAATAGTTAAAGAATAAAAGAAAGATTATTCTGTTTCTTCTAGTTCCTCATCAAAAACATCAAAATTGACAAAGTGTTAGATTTTGAAGCCTCTTCTTTTCTGATCTTTTCTTGACACCAAAGGAGTAAGGTCGTTTCCCAGTAGATGACAAACTTCGCAGAACGGCGTCATTGCAGTTATCTTAGAGTCAAAATACCCCTTACTAAAAACAAGGTTTAAGCTCACACTTCGAAGAACATGCTCCGCTGATTGAATGAAAAACTATCAAAAGTTAGCAATACCAAAATATTCTTAGCATTAATTAATCTGTACATTTACCCTTAAAGTGACAGCTTTTTAAAATTTCTATCTTTAATGAAGTAGTGAAAAAGCTAAGATTCAATCAACTTTTTCTCCATTCATTTACACTGTGGCCCCTTCATCACATCCAGAATACCAGCTTAAAAGTAACATAAGAAAATATTTTGCTGGGGGCCCTTCGAAACCACTGAAGGTTGGGGGTTCTTCATTGAATAAAGGTAATAGGTCTGTTACACCACTGTACCTTGGCCTGAGTTTTATCGAATCAAATCATTTACTTCAAAGCTTGTCATGTTTGGCTTCTAGCGACGGCCCTGCTTTAATGAATGGCTTATTTAATTCATGATTGGCAATTGGTGAATCTCTAAAGATTGTATCTTCATTAATTATTTATTGGCTGTAGAGGAGAAAATACCACCCACTCTAAACACTTCAAAAAAAGATGGCTCAATTTGCTTTAGTTTTCAAGTTGATACTTGCAATAAATCTATTAACTTTACAGCATAGAGCTTCTAAAAACACTTCGAACCAAATTTTTAGTACGAATAAAATACGAGGCTTATACGAGGCAAGGATTGATTCTGCTAACCTTACCGGCATAGCACCGTAGTTAATAAAAACCAACTTGGATTCCATATTCAAAATTTAGGGTTTTCTCTTATTAGGTATAAAGCTACCTTAGATTCTATTTCTTTGCTTAAGTATGAAAATTGTAAGTGTCAGCCAAAGTAGGAACCAGATGACCTTCTGTCCTTTCCTGCTTTGGATGACACAGTAGAATGTATCAAACTTTTGTGTTTTAACTTTTTAATATTGATAGAAAAAAACCGTACTTAATCACCTTAGCCTAGCACCAGCGATAACAAATTGGATACGTAATTAAAGGTAAGGGAAGGCGCTAGCAAAAGTAAATAAAAATCAAGACATTTAAAACACCATCCTGTATCACAACCACTTAGAATGGGAACGAGGAGGAGAGTAAAACGAGGTTGTAGAGAAAAGGAATTAAACATCCCATCTTTACCTAACATTTCGTTTGTGAAGCCAAAAAAATTGTTTACCCTTAAAAAGGGTCTTCTGCAATTAGGCTGGAAGTGAACGGCCAAAACTTAAATAAGTACCTAAAAGTACCCACGAGCTTAAACAACCAATTGTTGGGTTTTTATGTGGGGTTTCTTATTCAGTTGATTGAAATACGAACGCAAAACTAGACAAAAAACTATCAATGAATGTACAAAGCAACATTTGGATACAAGTACAAATACTGGTGTTATGAATGCATTGGGTGCTTTTGTTTCCAAATTTCTGTTAGCGTTGTAGTTTGGTTTGCAATTCTGATGCAAAGTCGTTGAAAATTACCAAGTTAAAAAATACCCATAAAGTTTAGTTCTGTGAACGATAAATACTTTCCCAAATAATCATGCAAATTTTAAAAGACTCAACTAGTTAAGCCAACTATCCTGTACATGGAAGATATGTTAAAGAGCTGAAATTGCAGCATATTCACTACACTAATTGTTAATTTTGATAAACAGACTTTAGCATCCACAAAGCTACTAACAATCCACCCAAAATATTATGATATACTCAGTTTTATATTATACAAAATTCTTCATTTAGTTATTTGACAAATGCATTCAGTCATACTCTGAGCCAATGGTAATGCTTATCTCTCCAGGGTGAATGTAAGTGGAATGAAACCACTTATTTGAATCGATTGCAACTAAGAAAAAACAATACAGTTCTAACATAACTTATATCGAACTACAAGGTAAAGCAAATATAGCTTACTCATGGAGATAATTAGTGAGTTTTTTTTCTGAAAACGGAAAAAGATCAAAAGGTGGTAAATAGTTTTTTTGTGCCACAAAATTTTGAGAAAGCTATGAAAAAAGCAGATATTTAAAACATACTTGAGTCTTTCGTCTGACATTCAAAAAATAAACCACATTGATAACACAATCATTAAAGGGTGTAAATAAAATGGAAAAGTGCTTGGCATTGTAATTGGTAGTAAAAGCTCTCAAAATACTGAATTCAGTAAGAGAAAAAAATAAATCAGCTCTTTCTTTCTTCGATATCAAAAATTTGAAAGAAATGCTACGAAGGCTTACGTATATCGCCTTTATTGACGGTAATGGCGAGGGATCGACAAACAGCCTCGCATTCAGGAGGAGGCACCAAAGTCCACGTTTTCTTCCCAGAGATCTGAGCTTGCCACGAGGGTCTGCCAACATAATCGATCTAAAATTAATAAACGTACGTAAAAAAAAGTTCATCTAATCCGCCTTTATGCATGTAGTCTGATAGGTTTATTCATGTTTTGACAGAAAATCTTAATAAAACTAAAAATGGCCCTCCCCTACCCTGACCCCTAGCACAAAACAACCGCTCACGGCAAGTAGCTAAACCACACTTATTTCATCTGTTCAATTCAGTTCAGTTCAGTTTTATTTGAAATTCCACTGTATACATAGACATAATTAATGCTTAAAAATATAAACAATGTAAAAGAAAGATATCTAATATATACAAGCTAGTGTTGTACACAGGGAATTATTTAAAGGAGGAAACTTTCTCAGTAGTTTATAAACTAATCGAGGAGAAAGCACCCCCTAGTAAATTAGATGCGTTCTGCTTAAATTGTAGTTCTAAAAGTAAAAAGAATCATCTGTAAGTTGCTATCAGTCATCCACAGAAAAATATCATCTATTTATAGACTAAGTTTAAAAACCATCATTGACTACTGTGTTGTTTTGTAAAAATGTTTTAAGATTTTCTTTAAAAGAATATTTTGAATGAGAATTTCTAATTTCTACTGGTGGGTTATTCCACATTTTGCCCCCATATATCGAATAGTCTTCAGGCCATACCGAAAACTGTTCCTATGAGTCAAAAACAAATTACCGCGATTAGATTGCCTAGTAGAGTGTTGGTGAATATTTGCATTGAAAGAAAAGTAACCATGAAAGCAAAAAAGAGTTTTCCTAGTCATAAATTCATAAAAAAATGTTAACAGTCTTAGCTGAAAAATATCTTGAAGTCTGAGAAGTTTAAGCTTTTTAGAAATGGGAAGAGAGGGAAAACAAAAGGGTTGATGAGAAATAGCTCTGACAGCCTTTTTTTGCAGCTTGAATATTGGCTCCAGGTATGAGTCATATGTTTGTCCCCAGACAGTGATGCCATATTGTAGAAATGACATGAACAAAGCATTGCAGATACATATCAGTGAGTCAGATGAAAGAAGATTGGAAGTTCGCCAAGATGATGCTTCCAGCTCAGGTTTTCATCAAACAAAAAACTAGAAACTTTACATATTTGACTCTGGTGATGTGCTTTTTTCTTTTTTTAATTACAGTGTCTGGAGGTATTGACGATGAAGTAGAATGCAAGATATCATAATTTTTTTTATATTCAATGATAGCTTATTTGATCTAGTGACAATCAATTGCACGATTTAATTGGTAGAACATATCGATTTCGATGCTGGGGGCTGAGAGAATATCAAGGCATCGGTGTGGCAATTATTGAGGGATCGAGGGGCCGTGAGCTGTTACCCAACATTCTGTTATAAAGGCAATCAGGGACAGATTCAAATGGCAAGGATTTGGGAAGGGGTATTTGGTGATGATTGGATTTTGTTCCACATCCGTTAGATGATTGAAAGTTGATTGAAACAGTCATTTTCAGAATTTAGTTTTAAACATTAATAAGAAGAAGATAAAAAGATAAATAAAGCAAATTTTCTGCATCACTTTGTTACTACCGATTAACAAAAATGTTTTTTTACCGAATCGAAGAAAAATTTACCGAAAAACACAAATTATTTAGGGGTATTGCATCCTTACAACCCCCAGTGAACACATCCCTGGCAATTACAAGGGTGAGTTGTAGCCGGCAGCCCTGCCCTTAAAGAATCATCCCATGGCTAAAAAAGGCTCTGATTAGTGAGTAAGTTGGGGCATGATGCAGTTTCCTAACTTTGGCTAGCATAGTTAATCAAATTAACAAGAAAAGCCTCTTTCACTGCAGAAGTTTGCGCCAAAAATTAGCAAGTCGATTAAGAGCTTCTGGCAGCAAAACCTGTGGTGATTATCTATGTGAAAGAAAATTCAATTTCTGGTCTGGTTAACGCTACATTACTGAAACCAAAATAATATGAATCAACTGAAATGACGGGTTCTCAAGTCAACTGATTAATTTGGCAGGATAAATATAGGCTTAAGCTGGATTTCAAGATGTTCAACAAGATGCTTATGGGTGCTTTCGTAGAATTTCAATAATTAAAATCACTTATTTCATTTAAAGGCAGATGTTCACGTGAAAAGATTCCGTAGAATGTTTATAAAAAATATTGACAAGTTGGCGGAATGATTACTGAAAATTGAAGTTTGATAAAAAAAAATCAGGGAGAGCAAAATCATGTTTAATCATTTTTCAAACTTCAGAGACGCGGTTAACAACTGCGTTTGGCTGACGATACAGCTTGAATGTATGATTTGGACTTCCAGTTGTAATGTATAAAGTTATCCTAAGGCCAAATACAGAATAACATGCGGCAGCGCTGCAAAGTTGGGGGGGGGGGGGTGTAATAGGCATAGCTCTGGGATAAGATTGAACCACAACTGAACGATTTTGAGATCTGAAGCAAAGAGAAATATTGAACCAAATCAGGCATCGTGTCATCTTAGCGAAGGACATCTTATCGCTCTTTTGGGTAAAGCATTTTACTCTCATAATTAAGCTTTAATTTTGTAATGGGTAAGAAGTAACCGGTAAAGCTGTAATTTTTCATGGACACAAGTAAGTTTTTTTCTTGCCACACACGACAAATTTGGCATTTGAAATCATGCTCGAAATTGGCTATTACAAACAGTCCTGTACAGACTATGATAAGATTTTGCAACACCCCATCCATTACCCAATCCTCCAAAGAATGAAACTATCCTTGCTTCACGGGAAAAGGAATAAACGTACTTTAAGCATCCCATTTGTTTGGCGTTGTATGGATGATCCTATGTGATTGATATTTGTTGACTGAGACGAAAAACGTAGGCAAGGTCGGCGTCTTTTTTATCAGTACCCTTCACCTTATTACCCGACTTTGGAGCCACGATGAGAACAAGACGCATCAGGGTTATGAATGTCACAGTTTTCTCGCCTATGCTTAAATGAAACTGGTACGTATCAACGTTGCGTTTACACAAGGCCCTGCGGTGCGGTTGGAGCCCATTTGGAGCTCTTGAATCTGCAATCTGTATCTGTTACAGAGCACATTCCAAGTGGCCTCGTTTGGATCCAATCTCAACGAAGTGACGTAAAAGATCTTTTTACACAGGATCAAATCCAAAAAGATCTCAACCTTGTGTGACTTTGCTCTGATGAAGCCCCATATACCAGGCGAGTTGCGTTGTTCTTTATTTTCTACATATTATCGACTTGTCGTCGTAAGCAGTCCATTGGAATCCGTCGAGCAGTTTTCTACCGTGGCCTTTCCTTATTTATTTATTTAAAGAAACCCACCTTATCCAAAGCAATTCTCCCATAACATTCAAGCTCTTACATTCACTAAGATGAAGCCCTGTATACCGAGACATAGTGGCCGGGGCGAAATTATAGTTTTACATTTAATTTTTTTTTAAATTGATATTTTACAATATATTGGATTCTCGCCGTGGATTTGCTCTGCCCCTGCATACATTAAGTAACAAAAACTTCGGTTGGATCCATTTTCGGTGAAGCAGGGCAACCGAAAATAAATCCCATCGAAATTTTTTGAAACAATTCTTACTTGAATTTTTTTGTATTACTATACATTCAGTAGATATCAATTTTCAGTTTCTGGTTCTCCTTTATCATCAACAAATAAGATATCCAGCTCATCTTCACTTTCTTCTCTTTCGCTCTCTAAATTCAAGAAATTTGAGTTCTCTATGGATAGCACTGATGTTTCTATTGACACTTGATAATTTCTCTCAATCATTTCCTTTTAACATTCCAGTGCTTTCAATTTGGACGCCTCAATTTTTAACTCACAATCGATCAGAATTTCTAATCCCTCCATAGCGATTGGCGATCGAGAATATGGTGAACTGCCGGGTTGGAAAGTTTGTTTTCTGCGCACAGAATAAAATATTTATATCAAAATTTGCGGACATGAAAGATACAATACGGCACCTTAAAAGCCAAAAATTCGAAAAAATTGGCACCAAAAATGAAAACCGCGCTTTGAAAGTTTTTACTTTTGCGTATATCGCACCCAATTTTACAAATCTGCGCCCCCAGCTTTTCAATTGCGCACGGCAGCAATTCCATGCGCAGTATAAACCTTCCTACCAGGCGAAATCATTTAATTTTCCTCCATGGTTTAGAGGGATGAAATAAAAAGGACATCCTCTAAATAAGAGTTATTTTCATTTATTTGGCTGACATCAAAATATTCCATTTTTGCAACCTTCATGATTGCGTTCCAGATGATTTTCTGTTGAAGATAGAAAAAGCTTGCAGAAAGTATTTCATTTCTTTACTCACCAAAATATTTTCTTTCCACCGTAGTAGTACACTGGTAACTACATAACTGGCTGAGGAACGCCTGATGACATACTGAAGACAATTTTCCAACCAAAGAGAGTCTCTTTCACAGTAGATGTTGAGAAAGCGCAATCACTGCAGTTTCAAACAATGCCTAGATTTAGGGTGTTTTACTAAGCGTCTAAAGGCTAAATATCTGGCTGTGAAAGTGGTACATTTAATACATTTTTTAAAAAAAGGGCACTTTATACACTTTTTCTAATCAGGGGGGTTGGGGGGCTGTGTCCCCAGGCTCTGGTGGCCCTTCACATGCAATGTTGTGCAGGACAACCTCTGCAGAAACAAACATAATCCAACTTACGTGCATTTGCGCTCCCTTTCCATGTCCACCAACGAAAATCCAATCAAGTGAACTGGATTCGGAATCATCAGGAATAAACTCTGGTCTGTTATAATGTTTCCGGATTATATTCATCACCTTGTAATTGCAATTACTCCTACAGAGGCAAGGACGGTTTTCATAAATCAGTTTAAACCTTCAAATTAAAAAACATCTAATATCACATGATAGAAGTCCACATGTGTAGCAAAAATCATTGGAATCACTGAAAACCCATTCACCATACTACTTGGTAGTTGAATTAGCGTCAAAATACCATATAAAAAATACCCACAATGGAAAAAACAAAAATGTTCACATATAAAAACAAAGTATTTTATATATATATATATATATATATTCAATAGCTCCTAACTTTAAAGTTCTTTAAAAATATAAATAGATACTCAATAAAAAAACAACTTGGTTGACGTTTCGCTATAAGCTTCTTCAGAATATATATATATATATATAAATATGCCTATATAGATAAATCTATCAAAAACTTCTGAAAAATAACGCAAGGACATTCAACACAAAAACTTATTTGTCCAGCTTTATTTATTCAGAACTATTTCATATTCCTTCCAAAAGTAGGGGCTTGCCTACAGAAATCTCCTTCAAATTTTGACAACTTTACAATGAAATATGACAAATGCATTTCTCTAATAAACATTACAATATGAGGATAATCTGGATTCAGAAAAGCAAATAAATCAGAAAAATTAACTTACCAGCCAACATACCATTGGTCTTGGAGCAAGGAAGCTCTTTTTTCATCCATAGCAAAAAATTCTCTTAAGCTGGTGAAGTCTGTGCGGTATGGAAAAAACTGGCAGCCTTCATTAAGCTCTTCAGAATCCTCTGCTTTGGTGCTATTGTAGAGCTTTTTCAAAAATCCAAAATCAAATACCTTGAAGGCAGTCCAATTAGTTGTTGCATTTGTTATGAGGAGCGGTATGCCAGTGTAGGCAAACTTCTGCCGAAATTCCCTCTTTGTTATTGATGTCACATTTGGGATGTGATGCAAATCCTTGCACATGCTACAATTTATCAGTGGGCGTGATATCTCAAGTGAAGTTAATGTGTGATCTACAAGACAGTACTCATCTTCCAAGAATTCTATCCAATCTTTACCAAATTTTGTCTGTGGAATCAAAAACGCAATAAGTCCAAACAACATTGCTGTACCAAGCAATATTCTTTTATTGAGCCTTATACCTTGATTGACAATTTTGTGTGTGCCAATACCAAGGATCTCTTTAATCTCACATGGTTTTAGATTCCCCTTGGCTGCTTCCTTTATAATGGTTTGAATCTCTTTCTCCATCTTGGGAGGACCAATTTGTTCTTCTTCCTCTGTGAGTATGCATTTAACTGAAATGAAGTCAGCGGAGATTAACTTAAATCCTTGCTAAACATCTGCTCTAATTTAATTATATGAGCAAATAGAACCTGCTTGCTTTTTCATGCAGACAGATACTGCTGCTCCCACACAATCACAAAAGATGTTTACAAGGAATATAAGGAACAGAGTAAATACAAATACTCTGTTAAATAAAGACTAAATTGTAAAGCAAACATAATATTAAGATTGTTAAAAGGAAAAGCACTTTTACCTAGTTACAAAAATACAAGCGCATTCAAGAAGAGAGCATGATAATTAAGATATAGAGGATGAAAAATAAACATAAATAATGTGGTAAATAAAAACTAATTGCAAAGCAAACAATAAACAGGATATGGAGTTTTCGCAACCTCTTGATTAGAAGCTTTCGCCCTGACACTGTGTGAAGAAAAAGTTTCTATCGATACCTGAAAAGGGTGTGAAGTAAGCCAGATAACACTGAACACGTCACTTTCTCGTCACTTGCGCTCTTGAATTTAACACATTTTTGTAGTTCAGTTTAACTACTCAAAACAAAATCTGTACATTTTTAATTAAATCCTTTTGCCAAAGCACAATAGTGGATGGTAAAAAAATCACAAGGTGATTAAAAAATATGATTCCTTGGGAGAATATCATCTTTCATAAACACAGTCCAGATAAATGGCTGTACATTCACTTTCCGAAACATAAAGATTAATCAGTTCAATGAACTCTCACAAAGCAATTAGCTGACCTGATTTAAATAGCTGCCGTGGAATAGATCAATGAACCAGATAAATCCTTGGGACCATCCAGAAACCAGTCACGATTCCCAATGCCTGATTTCTCGCCGATTTAAATTTACTTGTCAACAATCTTATTCTAATACTTTGTCCTTCGATAGGCCAATTAGGAGTAAGGTTAATCCAATCGCATTGTTATTTCAATGCAAATAAACGAGCGGAAAGAAGGTCAGAAGACACGAACAAGCAGCTGGAATCGGCGTTTTCCTTTGACTTTAGACTGGGTCTTTTTCTTTCAAAGAAGCAAGCTATGTAAAAACATGCTCTGTCGACTATTTGGCCATTAATACGTTATTGCCGCTCATGGTACCCGCAAGGTCTTTGGCCTCAGCTCGTGCTATCACACACATCCGATTGTTGTTATGAGCCACTGAAAGGTTGTTGTTGCGCCACAGGAAGGGGGCGGGGAACGGGAGTGCTCCGGAAAACAGCGGGAGAAATTATCCACTAAACAAGACAAAGAAAGGGGCCTTTATATGGCATATGGCACACCTATAAGAAAGATAAATAGAGCAAAATAGCATTAATCCTAAACACCACCAGTGGCGAGAACTGGGTGCACTCAGGGTCTAAAAAAACTTAAGGATACGATATTCTAGACCGATGCAGTGGCAAAGGAGTAATGAATGTTTATGAGACAAGATTAAACTATATTTCTATTTCTAAAAAATACAATTTTCTATCGGGAAAATTCTCGCTGACATTAGGGAACAAGATCAGAATACTAAGCAGCTATATGGGTCCATCATAGATTGCTTAAACATGAAACAAATCAATGACTTGGTGCACTTTGAAGATCAAACAAAACTGTTACTTACAACTAAACCAACGGTAAGGTTGTTTCTTAAATTTGCAGTAAGCTGTAACCCAATATGACACATAAAGGCTCTAAATGCCTCTTCAAGTGTCCCCATTTGTTGGAGCTTTCCTTATCCACAACATACCAGGGTAGCAGTGGCGTCGCCAACTCTAAAAAACTGGGGTTGACGAAAACAAATTTTCTCGGCCATGGCCTTCAGAATCTTGGAAAAGCCTTCTTTAGTATTTTTTTCTATTTCGAAATCATTCTCTCTTGATTTCTTTGGTCCACCTCTCTCTTTCTTGAAACGAGACTCCACTTAGAACCCATCTTGGCCTCTCTGTTGATTTACATTTTGGAACCTCTCCTCCACCTATCCTCTTTCTGTAACAAATCATTCAAACTGACCATCAGTTTAGTGCTTCCACAGTTCTCCCTTTCCCTTGGCTTGTGATTCATTCCAATCTCCTATCCCTACTTAGTCATGTCAGCGTTTTCAGAATGACCGCTTCCTCATTTACATGCTGGTGTTTTCCCTTACATAAAACTTATTTTTACAGCTTGTATTTTACCCTCAAATTAATATAAAATTGTTAAAGTACAACCAATAAATGACAGTGTACAGAAACCCAAATATACTAATATCTAAACGACACTTGGAATTTGAGGGTTTGACAAAGAACGAATTCAGTGGATCAAATCATTAAGAAAAAACACTGTAACTATGCGAAAACACGACACGAATTTGTGTTGAATCTCAGATGCTCGTGTCAAGAGAAACAGACTATTTAGCTATATGTTTATCAAAAAGTCGATAAGCCGCTTCATTTTAATTGATTTTTAAAATCTTCATTGTGCTGAAAGAAAGTGATTCGGATATCCATTAACACAATAAATCATTCAAAGCAATTCTACAAAAGCAGCAAGATAAAAAATGCATTAGTAACTTTTTCTGGGCATAACATCATCTAATCAGCTGGGCATAACATGAAAACATTGCAGTGAGACTGCAGAAAGTAAATTCTTGTCAAAATAACATGAATTGAGATAACTGACTTCAGTGCTTCTCATAGTCAAATTGGTCTAGTATTTCAATGAAAACTTCAAAAGAAATTCTACATAATTCAACAACTAGCTACTAAATTCCATCAAAAAAAGATTCTAATTCAATGTAATGTTGATTTGATAAACTATTGACTCCATGGTTCGCTGGACACAAAAACTAAGTAATTAGAAAAATAATCAGACAAGGCAACATACGAGGTAATAATTATACAAGGAAATAGCTTTGGAATATGAGAAAGTTTTACAACATGATTTTGGTTTTGCTTTCTTCAGTCAAATACCTATTTTTTTGGGGACCAATGCCGTAGAAATAATGGCTGATAGTCTCATTATACAAAGTTAATAGCTTAAAAGTTTTATATGTTAATAGCTTTATTATACATTGTTTTATACTAAAATTGATGAAATTATTTTTTCCAATCGATGAATTCTAAGAAGGGATTGAATTAGCAGGCATAGAGTAAGAATGAAAGGAAGTTAAGAAGTAAATATAAGACTACAGATCCAGGTGACCAAAGAATTTTTCGAAATAATAGGTGTTTCAAATTATCCTTAGTACATAATCATTCACGTGACATCTGAAACAGGAAAAATAAACTAGAATGCTTATCTTAAATATATGAAAAGATTACATTTAAAATACCTTAAGCTGTTGTGGGAAGGTACCTTTTAATTAGGAATTAAGCTGTATATCCATTGAGAATTCGAGATACATGATAGGACAATCAAGAGAGATAGAGTTGTGTAGAGGAATCTTGGGGCTGGATCTCACAAGGCTCTTCTCATGATTTCTCAAGATTCATGGATCTCACAAAGCTCCTCTCATGATTTCTCAAGATTCATGGATCTCACAAGGCTCCTCTCATGATTTCTCAAGATTCATGGATCTCACAAGGCTCTTCTCGTGAGCAGTCCCTTGCAAAGATTTCTCACTAGGCTTTTTTACAATTTGAAGCAAAGAGCCTCCACAAAAGATTCTCAAGTCTTGAAAAATTTTAATAAAATCTAGCCCTATTAATGCAAGTTTCACAACCTAATGATGGCAGCGTCACAAGTGGGAGTATTTCAATGTAAATGGTTCTGAGGAAAGGTGATACAAATATTATACGTAAATATTCATTTCTTCCCAGTCCATTGGGCAATTGATAACTAGAATTTAGACAATCTTTTTAACTGAAGTTCAATTGAAACATGAGTAAGGTTACGATGGTCTAGCATCTCTAAATGCTAAACATACAATAGCTTTTTGATGTCCAGAGTACTCTCGGATCACTTCACTTTTGTCTGTGTTCCACAATCGTCCTATCCCATCCGATGAAGCTGCAATAGAAACAACGATGCGTCTCTTTAACTTGAAGATATTTCGTGGTAAACGAAGGTGACTCAAAAATCAAGAAAGCTGCTAAATAACCAAAATTGCAGGCAGCTGATGATTGTTTGTAAATATTCGTTAAAACAAGAAAATTTGATTTTTCTTTTATATCACACAAAAGCAGACAATAATTGGTAAAAAACAACACAAATGACCATAGCAATATTAGAAAATGTGAAAGGAGATTTTTGGTCCCTAATAGGGGTTACGCGTTAGGGTATCAAATTCTTACCGATAGAGAGAAAATATAGCTCTGGACTTTCTTTGCTTAAAAGAAACAACAATTTGAGGGGGGGGGGGGGCTCTATATGTTAATTCATTGTTCATTTTTTCCATTATATAAGATGTTAATGACTAAGTATGCCAAAAATGTATCAAAAAATTATCCTAAAATTCTCTATCCAGAAAGTACTTGGTAGTGAAAAGCTACGGCTGGCGAAACCACAGTTGGTCATTACCTGTAATGATATAGTGTGAGTCCTCTGAGAAGGCGCAGTCCCAAACCCATCTTTGAGACGGATCAGGCAGTGTTGTTAGAAGCGAGAAGTCAGTCGTGCGCCACACTTTCAAAGTCGCATCAGCCGAACAAGTCGCGAGTAGCCTACGACAAAAGTGAGTCGAGATGATAAGATTGTTTACAAATACGAACGACTTTTCTTGCATGGTCCAAAGCATAAATAAACTACATGACCCATGACAGAAAGTAATGTGCAGTTAGTGATACCAAAAAGATACAGATGCAATGTGATTCAATACTTACGTAGAATCTGGGCTAAAGAGACATTTCAAACCATACTTCTTATGAGAGGGTATTTTGTCTTCGGGATGGAAAACAGTTGGGTTCTCATCTGAGCCACCCGACAGCCGCCAAACATAACAATCTCCCTAAATATCAGATAATAACCAAGATTACACTTTTGAAAACTCAAGAACTATTCCATTTCCTTAAATGCTAAATTAAAAGTAACTAAAAGCACAAGGGTTATTGAATAATAGAATAAAGACAACAGATTGAAACTAATGATAAAATGACACAGCAATGCGAAAAACACGTGGTTCACTGGCGAAAACCACATTGCCAAGATACCAACACTGGCTGGGAAGAAAAACAGATTGCAACGATCCTTCACATATCTTTTGAGCTAGCATTAAAGATAATGAATAGCCCCTAGGTCATGTAAATACTTGACAAAAGAAGAAGAGCAACATTATAAAGTTTATTTTAAGAGCTTAAGCCAATTTTAGAAACATGCTAAGTAGAGGATTCAAGAAAAATTATTTAGTTAAAATGCAAAAAAAGAAGAGTAGGATGAGGCCTGCTGATCAGATCAACTTTGTGTCATTAGTAAGGTGTGTGGGCGAAGAGAAAAGTGACCTAAGAGGCGGAGTCGAGGAAGTTAGTTGGGAATCTAAAATTTCAAAGGAGAACTTTCTATCGATAAGATACTTCAGCTGCTGCAATATATTTAGATGTTATAACAGGTCCCGAAAGTTAAAGCAGAACTAGCTACAACAAGTCCCGAAAGTTCAACCCAGTATTCAAACTTTCGACAGTAATTATAGCATACAGATAAAACATTCTATATTAGATTTCAAATTTGTTCTTTTTGCCTCCACCCACTAACTCAAAACAGGCTTTTCGGTGGCTGATAAAATGATGATTGAAGACGAAAGTAAACATCTTAATGAACGCATGTTCCCGTTTTGTATGCTTCACTTTAAAATTCATGAATTTTCCTAAGCTCATAGCGATAATGTTACTAGTTCTGCAGCCAAATAGCATTACATAAATGCTAACGCTGTTCTGTAAGTAAACAACACTTTCAGAAACATTGCTCTGTTTGTTAAAGAGACGCCAATTCTGATCTGCTGTATGTTATTTAGATCAAAGATTAACTTTCTGCTTTCGTATACTTGAAATTCACTGAAGATTTCAAATTCCTCATTGTTTCCATTTACTTTGGCATGACTCCAAGCATCTTTGAAGGTCCAAGAGCTCATAGGGCTCTGTGCTTTAAACCATTTCAAGGTTAACCTTTTAGCCTTTCAAACAAAAATCACGTTTCCCATGCAAGCTACCAGCGCAGGGTTTTTCTTTTTGGCATATCGCCTTTTCGCCCAAGATCACTTAACTTTCGGTTTCTCTCTTCTCTTTACTATATTCCCGAACTACCAAAGGATTTTCTAAACTCAAAAAGCTTGTTCCTGGACATTTTTAAAAATGCTATTTGAGGTCGGAAAAAAGGGGGAGGGGGTTGAAATAAACGGAGGGGTCATGGCCAACTCAAAAAATCAGTAAACGGGTGGGTATTCATAAACGGGGGAGGGATCACTAAGAGAATACAAAGTGAGTCAGAAATCGCTTTGTTGAAAGTTCGACATCCAAATTTCAAATTTCTAGCCAAACGTCTTCGTCGATGAAACGGGGAGAGGGTGGGCCGGGTCTTCAAAAAAACCAGAAAAAGTAAACGGGGCCCCGTTAATGCGTGACCTTGAAGTACAAAAGAAAAGAAAGTCCTTAATCAACAGATGCATCAAAATTGTAAGCAATTCAAAAACCTTGTTGTTGACTGCTGCCATAAACCTCGCTTCTCGGTCAATACTTATAGACTGGATTGCAACATCTGGTTCTGGGATCTAGCAGCATAAAGATGAATTATATTTTTCTAAGTAACACTAAAAGCTTTCAAACAAAAAGGCATTTGAATGATATAACGAAATGTTCTATGACCAAATCAGGCGAAAGAATTTACTTCTCTGAAAGCACGATGAAAATCATCAGTTCAAAGATAATATCTTGCATAACCATGGACCCTTTCGATTTAGTACAGTCACTGCAAAAAGTTTTGATACACTTAAGTTAACTTCAAAGGAAAATTCAGCCACCCCTTCCCCCTTGGAACAATGTCGGTTCACTATTGAACAATAAAGATGTTTTGGGGCTATGTTCTTTTCTTGTGACTTGCATGTATTTTTGGCAGGTATGGGCACCATGATAGCATTATTAAACAGAAATAAAGAACGTGGTTTGTCGAAGTCTTGGTTTTAATGCCTCAAATCCAAAAGCGATTAAAGAGGCAAAGTTCTAGGTCCAAAGCAGAATGTTTTCATCGTATGTTTGAAATCACATTCTGTCAACTGTATTAACCCAAACGTGGCAAAAAGCTATAGGGCATCAATCTGAGTAATACAAAGAAATGGTACAAATTTACTCTGATGTCGATAGCAAAATATTGCATTCAACAGGCATCACAATTTGGCTCTTTTCAGCCCATTAGCGCTCTCTAACCATTGACAAGATCTACGTGAAATTTATATTACAATTTTCACATATTAATATCATCCCATCTATTCTTATATTGAATTTTCAAAATAATTATTAATTTCAAGCATGAAAGACAACAAAGTTCCAAAAAGAAAACAAAGTTTCACAAAGAAAACAAAACCATGAATCATACATACGAGGTGCTCGTTGTGATCAGTGCGCAAATCCCACATGTGAATCGCGCCACTTTGGTCTCCAACTATCAGCTCCCCCTAAACGATAAATGCTCGATTAAAAATGAGTTAATACACGCCTTAAGGTTTGAGGCAATATTTGTTTGCTCTCAAGAAGTGGTACCTCTTCTACTGATGTCATGTTTCTCTGCCATTTTCATATAGTACGCAACAACATGAATGGCCCCAAATAGAATGCATGTCAGCAAGAGCTTGAGGAGAAAAATCAGGGGTTGAAAATTGTGCGCTTTTGTGTTGGTAACATAAAAGAGACGCAATCTTGCAGATATCATGTAAAATAATCATTCTGTTTGGACTATTTTGCACATAGAATGACTACTTGCTAACAGGAAGAAAAGCTGGTTCCTTATTTCAACAGACTGTGAGAGCAGGGGCAGACACTTTGTCAAATGTTGGGGGGGGGGGGGGGGGCAGGCAGCCTATTGTCTTAATGAGAGACGTCAAATTTCCCCATGGTTTTATAACAAAAGACCATTGTCCTCCAAAGAATTAGGGGCCACCACCCCCCTCCCCCAGGTGTCCTCCACTGTGTGAGAGACGACCAGCGTTTGCCCTGTCAAAAAAATCAACTCCTTGTTGGATCAATTGACCTGGGTACCACGTGAGTGTAAATGACAGATCAAGATGGAGGGAAGTTGGAGCGATGCTAATTTATAAAATATTGAGCATGAAAAGGTATGAGTAGTGGGCTTTTCGTGTTAATTCTTTTACTCGATCTGCCTTAAAAATATATCTATCTCAACTGAAATCTCGAAATCACCTCGTGATTTGAGATCGTAGAATTCAGAGAACGATCACACAATCTTTATTGAGTACCGCACGAGATTACTGCCGTCCTTTGCTCAAGTGCCCTAATTCAAAAAGCATTGCTTGTAAAATTTTGACTCTGACCTGATTCTGATGAAGCACAACTGTATTAACAGGAGAATTAACTTGAAAAATATGCTGACATTGAAGGCTTCGTGACCTGTTGAGAAAAAGTAAATAACGAACATTAAAGTAACAAAAGGAACATTCTTACAGTCAATGAATAGCCACTTTTTGACACCATAATACAAGACGCAGTTAATAAAACTCCCTGGTTCAATCAGCATTGTTTTACACTCTCTCTAAAAAGATGCCATGTCAACATCACAAAGGATAAGAAGGCCACGGTAGCAAAACTTGTCGATGGACACCAAGCAAATACAATTTAATGATTTGAAAGTGGAAATAAAGAACACCACGAAGCAAAGATAGAACAGAAAAAATATAATCAAAAACATTGCAAATTCTAAATATAACTGATGTACACTCTTTCTTTAGAAGAACAATTTTATAAGAACAAGAGCCTTAAAATTGGTCAAAAGTTAAGAACAAATTAAGAACAAGCTGAAGCTGAGCTACTGTAAAATGCAATTTCGAGCAACGTTTTATCTCAAAAACAAGGATTTTTAGCCATGTGTGGGTGATTTTTCGGTGAATGTTCAAACTTGAAAGTCGGCAAATGAAAGTTGTCTCACTCACTTTGCTTGCAAATGAGACCTGAACACGTCCCTAAAGCGAAAAAGCTAGCAATCGCACCGCTTAAACCGCTTAAATTTACCGGTCCTTATAAAAAGAGTGTATGGTGATTTTTTATTTAGCAGTTCTCAGGAAGCCTGCATGGCGGGGCAGAACATCAGCCGCATTGCTGTTTTTCTTGTTTTCTCTTTCTATATCAAAATTAGCTTCTTTACCCTTGCAGACAAAAACACACTTTAAACTGTCAAGAAAACAGCCATGGGATTGGTACTTTGAAAATCCTTCGGCTACAAGCGCATTAACGTTTAAAAATGTTACAGATGAAGATGAGACTTAATGCTCAATCTACATTTATTGTTTAGCAATGAGCTTTGTGAAGAAGCCTTGGCCCCGACAGCTTCATTCTGCATGATTATTCGATTATTCACAAGAACTATAAGCACGCACGTATATCAGGGTTGCCAGATGCTTGGAATGGTTGGCGGCCAAATATTTTACGCGTGACGACCAAATTCGGCCAGCCAAACAAAATATACAAAAAGCTACATTTTGCCTAAGTCTTTAGAGGAATATTGTATAAAAATTCGCTTTGTTTGTTACAAAAGCTCCAACTTGCTTTCAATTTCAATTTTCTGTTATCTTTTACTTTGTTTCTTGTTTCGTTATTTGCAATTTTGAGATTGTTTTAACAAAATGTTGAATATTTTCTGTGCAAAAACTTCGTTTTCTTTGTATTTTTGTGGCTTTCAACATGCGGCCAAAATTCGGCCAACTTTTACTTTTTCGGCCAAATCAATTTTGGACGGCCAATAGCTTTGAAAAACGGCCAGAATAGAGGTGTTTGGCCGTCAAAACGGCAAAATGGCAACCCTGACGAGTATTATAGCAATGGTTGGGTAAGAAGACAGAGTTTATATGTAATTCACATTTGTTATAGTATAATATAGTCATATTTATCATGCGATAGAATTTCTGAGCTATTATTTCGAAATCCCGAGATAGATGACATTCAGTTGACAATAATGAGTGACTAATTGTGAATTTCGAGCACTATAAAACATCGATAGCATTATCTATACTTTACCGAAGATCCCAAATCCTAACAGAGCAATCTTCTCCGCCTGTGAACATCCATTTTCCGTCTTCCTGGAAACCTACCGCTGTGACGTTCTTGGAAATGCCATCATAATTGACAACCTAATCGAATGCAAACAAAGAAAATGCAGTTTTATTAGTTGAAGACTCTGCATGACCTTCAAGGTAACTCTCTAAAAGAAGATAAGCGATCTTTCACATTTTCTAACATCTATATGACGAATTAAATGATTGCTAATTGCGAAAATTTGTCAATCGTGAAAAATTATTTGACTGTTGACAATAAAACTGTTATAAATCCAAAGAAATAAAACTCACTGCATTGGGGTTTCCTGATGTAACATCATACATACGGATATGCTGATAGCCTACAAAAAAATCAATGCTCTTTGCATCATTGCTATCAAAATAAATGGCTTTCAATAAAGATGCATTTAAATTTTCCAACAAGAAGTTATTGCAACAAACATAAATCTAGTTTTAATCATAAGAAATTGTTGAAAAACATCAAAATGATTAGAAAAATCAACGGAAAAAAAATTATTCCAATTATCGAGCATTCAATTAGAAGTAGGTTTAAAAAGGGAGAATAATGAAAGAAAAATTGATGAAATTGTTAAAATTAGGAGAAATTTGAATATAAATGCAATATTGTGCTAAATTTAATTTAATAATATCCATTTAAGCATAGGGCTCGACTGCTTTGCAAAGCTACAAAAGAAGATGTATACGAAAAGGTGATCATGCAGTTTCTGATTGATTTTAAACTAGCAAACCTGCAGCTGCCAAGAGTTGTTTGTCCGGGGTGATTTCTAATGCATTTACTTGCTGGAAAACAAACAAGTCATATGCATTCTAGAGCAATATAATAATAGCTATTTAAACATGGTAAAGCAGTATGATTTTGCTGGGTCGTCGGTGAAAAGTGCAGTAGAGTACGTAGGGAATTCCATTACCTATCAATTCCTACAAAACAATATTTATCTCCCCACTTAGCTACAGCAACCCTGGCAATCCTGTTGTTTATAAAAAAATAAACTATTCTTTCAAATGTGTTGCCTGGTAGCAAGAATGAAGAGTATTGCATTTCCAGAGTCACTCTGCAACTCCATTCCTTAAGAGATGCAACAATGCAAAATTACTCTGGATGATGAGTTTAATAATTGCATTTGAATGTCTAGCAGCTTATCCTTAATTCAATTTATTTCACCAAAGAGAATAAACAAAAAACCATTTTGGATGAGTTTTTAAGCTAAAGGTAATAAATAGGACTTTACTCTCAGATTGGATTACTGGAATTCTAATTCCCAGATGTTTTACAAATTTCATCCCAATTTTGGCATGTCAGCATTGTAAGTGGTGAACCATTTCATGAAAGAGTACGAATGGGGTTCTTCTGTCATTCTTCGTTTTCTCTTGCCCCTAAGATCTCTTTCCAATACATGTCTTTACATAATTGTCTCCAAAGTATACTTGGTGTGTAAATGTTTTAATACAATGAATCTGGAAATCAGAATCAACAAACCATGCCTTTGATACACATTGTGTTGCAAGGAGTATGGAGGGAGGCTAAAAGGTTTTGCTAAATGCTGATTGTTGCACATAACCTTAAGAAAATATCCTCGTAAACTTTTGGACTGTTAACAGAAAGTAACATTTGTGTGGAACCTTCATACACCTTGATAAGAGCAACCTTACTATTTTCCAGCTACAATAGTATTTATCTTGGATTGGTAAAAAAACATTTCAAAAAATGATCTGATAATGTGAGGATGTAACTCTAACATTCTAATAAAACTAAAGTACTGCAAGGATTGTGAGAGTGCACTCTTTATTTCATTCTTTTGCAGCACAGGTTTGTGGCACAATCTATTATGTATTAGGTATAATAATTGTGCACAAAAATTTTGGCAAAATTTACAGAAAACAGATGTTGTCATACAAAAATATCTCTTATCGTGAGAAAATGATAGAAACAACTTGATATTCAATGTCAGCAAGAAATGTCTTACTAAATAGTTACAATTTGTACAAATACTTTGAAAATAAAAAGGCACTGTTTGATAATGATTTGATGATGATTAAAAATTGTGAACTCACAGAGTCAGGGTGTTGCAGTGTTCTCAGACATATCCCACTGTGGGCTTGCCAGAAACGAATTGTGTGATCATATCCAGCAGTTGCTAGAATCACTTGGTCACCTCCCATTCTAAAAACAAACAGTTTTAAACTTGAATGATTCTTGAATGAATGTGTATTTTCCAAACATTACATCCACATTAATAATTAGCAGTAGGATTTCAACATAATAAATTTTATTTCTGTTTCAGCATATTAATTGACCGAAATTTTTTAAAATAGGGAGCGCTATCTCCTCAATTAGTTTATCTACTAAGATAAATCTTTGTCTGGAGGAAATCCACTACATTCAAAGACATTTATTTCCTGTTTTCTACATGTAAATTTTCATTTGCCTTTTGACATATATTGTTAACTATTTGTCAAATTGTAATTGTAATTGCAATAATTGTAATTAATGCAAATTAAGAATAAATCAAGTCAGATGATTTCTGTACTTGGGTCTCAATTTTATGAGACTGTAAACAGTTATATGACTCTAAGCAATGTTGCTATAAGTATAGTTGGGTGTCAATACATTTAAACAAGAACAATAATTATAATAGAACAAATCTTATATCAACAAAATATAAAGGAAAAACTTTCTTGAAACCTTTTCCCAGTCATTTGCATCTTGTCATGTGGTGATACTTCCATAAAAATGTAACTCAGAGATAACTTTTTAGGAATATCGTCAAGCAACAAATTTTCTTTAGTGCTTATAGCAAAAAAATTTTATTGCAGTGCTGTTTCATTGAACTGCCGAAAACCAAACAGACAGTTAGTACAAACCTTCCAGAAAAACTTTCCCAGCAAAGAAACTTTCCAACCTTCAAGACTTCATGCCCTATGTGTTTTGTTCTTTTCTTGGGTGACTCTAGCCAATAAAGATGAGCAAAAAGTTTCTAATAAGCTAAAAAGATAAAGCCAAAAACTGGTGCAGCTAAAATAGCACAGACTTTCACAGCCTGCTTCTAAATAAAACTGCCTCTGAAGCAGTGCTTTATAATGAATGGCATTAACATGCACCATACAATTGTGAGTGTGTCATATCAAGTCATGAATCAAGAATCATTTAAAAAGGAGAAGCATATCTTCTTACTAAAAAATATACCAAATCATTCATTCAAGTTTTGAATGAGTGTTTCTTTTTTTGGTTCTTATTCTAAGACTAAAAATTGGTCGCTAATATTAGGCCTGAAATTAACAGCTGTTGGCACACAAGGAGGTGCTGCAGTTTTCTTAATTTGTGAATTTATTGTTTACATTCATGTTTAAGATGTGCAAGTAACTACTTTTTATACATTTAGGACAGATGACAGGCACATATCTGACAAATAATTGCCTGAGAAACATCTGCCAGAAAATATTGCCATGTGGCTAGCTTGCCAACTAGCATCAAGCTCTTGATGTTGTGAATAGCACACATAGTCTTTGATTTCTTTGTTTAAGATGAAGTTTTTCCTTACAAAACTGTATAGAAAGCAAATTTATAAAACTGTACAGAAATTCTAAGAATTTTTTTGAAGCCACACTGCATTCTTTGTCATGTGCTGAGAATATATTCTCTGCGCAATCTAAGGTGGTTCTAAAATGATCTGTGAAATTCAATTTAAATTCACTATCTGTGCAGATATTTGCAAATAGCAAAAAATACTTTTATGTAGTTTCAGGCTTGTTTCTTTTAATTCTTTTCATTAACTTGCTGTTAATCTTAGTCTTCTAGTACCTATTATTGTTTACATCATGTTACCTTTATTGTTAATTCAGGATTCCAACCTAATATTAGTCTGTAAAAAGTCATTGTCATCTACAGCAAAATGTCATATATATAGAAGTATCATTAATCACATCTGCACAAAATGTAAACCAGAATATATTATTTTCTCCGCACAAAACACATAGAATGCAGCCTGGTTTGAGAATGGTGATGGATTTTGCTAATTTCCTTATATGCTTGGAATTGCATCTGAACACACTCTTTGATTAGAACACAGAAATACATCTGGCTACGTGAGCCCGACAAACATAAAACAATCAGCTGCAACCAGTGAGTGAAGGAATGAGAGATGCAACAGCATTGCTGAAGTTTGTATACATGACTAAAGGATGTAGATTTATTACATCGACTTCGTGGCTGTTTAAAACATTATGGCTGTGACATATTGCTGTCCATCTAAAGCAAAGCTGTGAGCATGTCCAAATTTTTCCAGCCTGGGTCCTATCTTGATCCTCCCTCCACTGCACATGCATATTGCGCAGGGAAGGTAACATTACTCAAGTGTTTTAACTATTCGTCGTTCTCCAGAAGTTTTGTTAGTTTCTGTTACCAATTAATTACGTGCGCAGCGCGGCAGAAGTTGCAAAAACCCGTCAAATACCTTGTCCTTGTTGTTTTCTCAAACCCACCTATCTTCTCAAGTCAGCTATGAAAACAGAGTGTTGTTGTTGCGTTCTAAAGATTGCTATCCATGGACCCCTGTGATTGAATGACGCGCACGCGGTTCATGAAGAAAGAAGCTTCAAGGAAATGCTTAAAAATGTTTGCTTTTTCAAAGCTTTAAATATAACGCATAGACGTTTTTGACATTAACATTCGTCAGTGACAACGAATCAATGAATGTTGAGTTCGTGTGGTAGAAGAGTCCTCAATTCAAGATTGTTTTCTTTCTAAAACCTCCCTCTTTTAAAACACGACAGGAAATGATAGGCTAAAAACCAGCTTATTGTTTGCAGAATGGCAGTCTGAATAAAAATGTCTTGATACATTAGTGTCTGAATGCGTGAAATATCATTTTTGGGATCTTTATACTCAAAATTCCGTAAATGTTCCTCAAAGGATTTAGTTGACGGCATGTTTCCCCTGTGCAAAGTATCCCACACTTCGTGCAGTGCATGCCCTAAACGAGGAGGCGAAATAAGGAGTATGTAAAAGCTGGGCGAACATAAAATTTGACAGTGGTTGTCAGTATTTCAGTATCTAGGGTGACAATGGTAGAGCCAAGAAGGAGCACGTTCCCCTGTTCTAAACACCATCAATGTTGCGATTCGCGATAATTCGCGTTGTAATCCATAGATGTTGTAATGAGAAACAAAATTGTTTGCATTTCCCCCCCTTTTTTTAAAGGTTACCTGCTTGGCCGTTAATTGAGGAGGTAAAATGGGGCATAGGGGTACTCCCAAGTGGCCGTTTGACCATAAATCCGGCAGGAACATTCTCCACTGGCCTCAGATCTGGAGGCGGCCGTTATTAGAGGTTTCACTGTAAACAAAATGTTTGGCAAAATAGACCTAAATGTCAAAAGATTTCAGATAATTTTGTACTGAAGAGGCAAACTGAAGAGGTTAAACTGTATCAATATTCACCGTACAACCGAATCAAAAAATGTTAGCTATGTGCCCTTCCTTAATTTCGAGACTCTGGTATCTAACGATGTACAAATCCATGCTGAAGACTTTGTCTCAGCATCCTGTGGCAAGAAAAAACAACTTTGAAAGTTTTAGCATTAGATTGATCCACAAGATTTAGCACTAGAATAAAAGCCACATGCATTTCATTTAAAGATAAAAATGAAATATACGTACAAGAAGTAAAAGGAAGTAAAGGGAATTTAACATGAATTTTCTATGTTAATCAAGCTTTTTCTTCTTTTTGGGCGATTCATTCCTCTCGATAACATTTTCAACATCAGGTAGTGAATTATACAGAGGCAGAGCGATTGACTCAGCAGTTTTTAGGTGAATACACTGGATATTGCTCCAACCCCGTGGTATCTTCTTTGCAATTTCGTCAACAACAGCAACAATATTTTCAACAAGCTCTTCTTGTGATTGTCCTGAGTGGCCAACTTTGATGGCACTAAAACAAAAAAACACGTGTATTCTTTATATTTCACCTGATACTCTTTAAAGTATAAAACGTCAGAATAAAGATAAAAGATTCCAAGTTAGTAAATACATTTACCCATGCATTTGTGGATCAAAATTGGCTAATTATCCCAATATTTCGCCATTATACTTTTCGACTTTTGCCCGATGGCCCAATGCCATTTTCTGGTTGATGATTTATATCAGCAAGACAGAGGGGGCTGTCGAGGGGGCTGTCGAGGGGGCTGTCGAGGAGGGAGCTTTGTTTCTTATTGGAGAAGAACAAAACATTTCTGGATAAGATTTTCAACCGGCAGTCACAAGTTTCAGTTGAGTGAAAGTCTCAAATTTACAAAAAAAGTAAGTCACATCTCACCTGCAGGTTCCATTGCCAAGTCGAAGTTTTGTGGAATTTAATGCTCTTTTTATCTCTTCATCGAGATTGACTTTTGTCAGGTCAACTGGTGTTGGCTCCCTATCATTTAAAGTGACAGTTTAAGGTTTAAAATACTTTATCGAAAAGTTATATTAATTGGTCTTCAAAAGTCGTTGAATTGAGCTAAAAAGATGCTATTGAATTGATATATAATAATCCTTTTGCCCCCTTTCCCAAGGTGTTGATCATGAGCAAGCAGAGTTTATAGTTTGAGTTCTGCTGTGGTTTTCTGTGTTTTTAACTGACATCACAACAACACGAGACTATAAAAACACAATAACAAATTTTAAAACCTTGCTCTAGTAAATAACAAACTTACTTCTTACGAGAAAAGAAAGTTTTTCCAATAGCTTTGGGGATCAAGTGGTAGATTCTTTCATCACAAAGAAAAGCATCATACTGGCTACACAAGGTTCGCTTATCTTGAAACGATTTGTAATTTTTCCTCAGCTTGGTGACGCTTATCACCTGGAAAAAATAATAAATACAAGAGTTGAAAAACAATCAATATATCATACGAAATGGTAAGACTCATGACCATAGAATTGGCTTTTCAAGAAGGCATTTTGAGAAGTAATCAGATTTGCAAGTTCCTATTGCTTTTCAGGGTAAAGATTAACAAATAAAAACATGTATGAACTCTCTAAAAGCATATTGGGTTGCAAAAATCTAATGATTGCTTTTGATATGACCTGATTAATGACTATCTAAAAAATGGGCCAGGGCAGATCAAGAAAATTATCATTGCTGGTTTACTTGGAAGAAAAGGCGTAGGAATGCTTTGATACAGAAGGAAAATCACACAGAAAACAGTGATATTTCATAAACCTAGGCCAAAAATATAGGAAAATGTTTCTAATAAAACACAGTGACAGTTACCATTTACATCATAGAGTGGGTTCTAAGACTGACAACCAGGGCTGTATTTTGCTTGAGCCCTTATTCATTTTTGAGAATCTGAATGGATCAAAATTTACAAAACAGTTGTATTTGAAAATACATATAAAAAAGCAACTAGGAGAAAAACTTGGAGAACAAGTAACTGACTAGGTTTCAGTTAACTTGCTAAGTTACTTTCATTTTTAAGCCAAAGTAGTTGTAAGGGCTGTTCAAGGAAAAATAAAATCTAAAACATTTCTAAACAATGTAGTTGCTGGAGTCTACTTCAGGATGGCTTGGATCTATTTGTGAGTAAGAGATGAACAGGAATGATAGTACTTGTATTGGAAAATGGTACTGGTATTGGTGTTGAAGGAAGTACACGGAATGTGTATGAAAAGTGTTGATACATAAACTAATTTCCAGAGAATGAATTAGGAATTTCCAAAAATGGCCTTGAAAAGCAAACATTTAAAAACATGCTTAAGCAATCAATTTGACACTCTTCAGATATCCATGCAGAACTAAAGAAACTGAAAACAACATTTCTGGACAAGGGATATCTGAAGATGTCATTGTTTTCTTACACCAGGGAAAAGAAAGCAAGTTTTTCGACTGACCAAATGTTTGGTCCATAAAAGTGCCCAGTTTACCAAATATGCAGGGCTCTTTGTCATAAAAATATTTCACAAAATCTCACCAATAAAGATTCCCATTTTCCTTTGCCTATAAGGGAGAGGTATAGGGGAATGTACGTTTTTGGATCTCAAGATGTTTTGTTTCAACTGCGTTTTGGATTTGCAGGAGAAAATTGGAAACCCCATAAAAGCAGAAATATCTGATGAATTGAACAATTTGAACACTTCAGAGATGGATAGGCCTTTCAGAGATTCCCCAGGGCCTAGAAAGTTTATTGTTGTGAAAACTTCCGTTCCCAGAGAGAAGGACGTCTGATTTAGGCCTTTTATCAATTGAAGTGTATCAGTTAGTATTTTAATTTCCAACCATATAGTACATTTCACCATCTGTTCTCGCTTAAGTAGAACAAATTCAATTTCAACAAAAAACCTTTAAAGACACTTGCAAGATGTGGAAATAATAGTTCAGACCAAAAATCAAGATGACTTTTTTGAGCAAGATGATTTAAGTTGTCTTTTTCTCTTAGTTGAATAGACACAGTAAAATTTCAGGGTTTGTTTCCTTTATTAGACCTACTAGCTGCTCTGGTCCAGGGGACGCTGGTCTGGTCTGCTAGCTGCTGGACCACAAAATGTTTCTTTGCTGTTTAAATGTTTCTTATCCTTATATTGTTTACAGTTCTGGGAGATTCCTTCCTATCCATCGAAATTGTCTACATTCCCAGTTTTGGATACTTAGCTATCACATAAAATATCCCAAAACACACAAATAAACAAAAAACTATGAATAATTCTTCAAAAATTAATGAAGGTGCTATTTAATACAGTAGTCTATGTGCAGACTTTACAAATAGAGGAAATTGTAAGGTCTGTGCAACAGCACTTATTTTAATGTATCCTGTACGTCAGCATTTCTTTAGGGAATCATCTTTTTTCGCAGTCTTTTATCATTGGCACAATGGCTTTGAATTGAATTTTAATTATTTGTACACAAAAGCGCTCAATAGAATACTGAAAGAGCAATGGTAATATATTTCGCATTATCAAACTGATTCAATGACTAGCATGCAAAGACATCCCCAAAGGCATATAATGAAAGAGGCACCATTTTGATTCGTTCCTTAAAATCGTGGAAAGACATTTAATTGGCTCTAGAGAGCATTTTGAATAAGGCAATAGTTTTGTGAAATAAGTGGATACAAGAAAATCTGCATCATTGCACAGACTTTGCAATTTCCTCTATTTGTAAAGTCTGCACATAAGCTATTTAATACGGTGGATATCAAGAAAGTTGTCAAAAGTTGCAAAATCACTTGCACAAAAGCAGCATTTTGATACCTTGGTTACACAAGTGACTCCTTTTGCCTTTAGTTGCTCCTTAACTCTTTTTCCAGGCAGCTTTGTGAACAAGCACACTTCAGAACCACTACTGAATGAATTTGGCACTTTTCTACAAAAAATTGGGTGCAACGTAAAAATGTCAAGCTTGTAAGTCATTAACAATAGTTGTTGAAAAACAAAGTTTAAAAGGTACCCTATCATATTCAAATCTTCGGAATTATGTTTAGGGCTTTCTGCTTTATCTCTCGAGACTAAATAGCACGTTTGACAACAAAATAGAGGAAATTACTTAGTAATATGTTTGACAGACTTGCCAAGAGCCATAGATTGTCCTAAAACAGCTCTAAACGCTCAGGCATCTCACAGGATAGGGAACAGAAACTGGTTGATGCATACAACCCAAAACCAATACCAAAAACAATACCAAAACCATGGGGAATTTTTCTTTCTTTACCTCCCATTGTTGGCCTAGTTAATGATATGACAATAGCCTGTTGATCTCCCAAGGGCTACAGAATTTTGTTGACTTATAAGGTTTTGTCTTTTTGAGGTCAACACCTGAAAAGTTGGACTTTTGCTTCTAAATACCAGCTAAGGGGTATTCAGAAGGGTATGATAAATTGACATTCAGTTAAGATGGATAGCAATTGAAAATTTGCAAGACTATATCCTATTTTCTGAATGCGGATACCAACAGAAGAGAGGTCCCAGTTGACAGTGTCCTTTTGACAAACTCATATAGAGGGAAGGTTGTCGATTTTATTGCTTCCCATTCAGTACTCTATTGAAAATAAAAAAAGTGTTAAAAATAACTCAGTTTGCCCATAACCCTTTCGACTACCATTGGTCCTGATTGATGTTCATAGGACATGTAAGCTTAGTCATTTAAGAAAACTGGATAAATAATTCAGTAAATGCAATTAGTTTCTCTGTGTTGCCTTTTGATCACTTTTTGTTGGACTTTTTTGCTAAAGGGACTTAGAAATTGAATGAAATAGCATAAACGTACCAAGTGTAACTTACTTAGGGTTATTTCTGTACATAAAGCACTTTATAACAAAAATAGATGCAATCTTAAATGTTAAATGAATGTTTACTTACAACAATTTTGGCTTTTTATCAGGAGTAGGAATCTTTTTTAATGACATTAGCAACCAAAATGCTGCATCTTCACTGAAAAGCTGTTTTTCATTTTTACTGGTTTTCTCCAAGTATGAGAACAGTGCAGGAACAGCAAGCTTCACCTGAAAAATTAGAAATAGATCCAATTTATGACTTTAGTCAACTTAAAGCCACAATATAATTTGAGATTCAAACCCATGGTTGCTACAAGTCTTTTTGCACCAAAAATATTGTACCTTCATAGTACTGGATAAATGAGGTCTAGCATCGTAGTGTACATAAAAGGTATATTCAACACAGCACAGAGACAGATCATTCAACAAGATAAGTGAGGGGGGTAGATGGTCAGATATCAGCTGTGGTGAACTCTGCCACTCTTTCTATTGTTTTCACAACTAATGTTTGCATTTTAGTAAATTAACCAAACAAAGCAATATAAAAAATTCAAGCTTTCAAAATAAAATGGTACTAGACTGGTACCACCAGTACCGCTGCAAGCCACCCCTGGTCTCAACCACGATACATGACTATTTGTAGTGACTCTACTTAGGCCTGTTTGCATCAATTTTTCCTTTTCATTCATTCCATCATTTTCCCACATTCTCACATCGCAGCACAGGCATCCTCTACGTCACTCTCATATCACTCATTCGCTAATCCCTATTGTTTACATAATCTTTGCCACGCTATTCAATTTACTCCTCACCTTCACTCGCCCTTCCGATCATTTGTTTTCCTTACATCATTAGTGTTAATTTTAGATATTCATTTCTGTATATAAGCATGTTAATTTTTATGTAAGTCAGTTCAGTTCAGTTCACATCAGAATTACACAGGCAACACACTGTCTCTCTCACTGGCTCCGTGTTCTCTGCACGTAAAATAAGACACGCTGGGTTGGAAATGACACGTTAGTCAAGGATGGTTTTATTAGTGAACGAATCGCACATAACAAGGCTCAATTACATAACAATACACTAAATATTCTTGTTGCAGAAAAAGGTTGTTGGAGCAATTTCTTTTGCATATTTTACTTCACCTTCCTCACCCATCTTTTCCGACTCAAAGATTTTGAAACTACATGATCTTTTCAAGTTAAAACTACTTAGTTTTGTTTATGATTGTGTGAATAGGAACTATCCTTCTTGTTGCCATTTTTTCCTTGACTTTGTTGGATCTGTTCATCACTATGGTACACAGCAAGCTACCAAAAATTATATTTTCCTAACATAGAAAAATACCCTGCAATACGGTATTAGGTCAGTGCACTACTACGGAGCTAAATGCTGGAATGAAATTCCCATACATATAAAAACATCACCTTCTAGTAATAATTTTTGACAAAAACTCAATCCTTCCTCTTTCAAAACCACTACCAAATTTGAATGTAAAAATTCTGATATAGTAAGTCATGATCTGTCCATATTTTGTTTTCCTTAATTGAACCAAAAGTATATGAAAAAATTTAAACAGGGGGTGCTCTCTCCTCGATTAGTGTAACTACTGATAGAGTTCCTCCTGTAAGTAATTCTCTCCATATAACTTGTCCCGTTTTTTGTTTAGTATTTAAACATTGTGTTAATTTTTGGTTTTAATGTGCTGACTTTGTTTAATTTTGAATTGTATGTATTAGTTACTTTTGATTGTTAATGTGAACAAATTGTATGTAAAGAATTTGAAATATGAAACTGAACTGAACTGATCTTTTAGCTAATTTGTATGAAAAAAATTTCTCTTATCTTCAAATGTGTTTTGCAAACAATTTCACTGGCATGGCATGTATCTTGTTTTCTTCACCATTGAAGACAAACAGTTGGTAAGTAAAGGAAGATAAACCAGTGAAACTAAAACATAACACGCAAAACAAAGCATAATTCAAGTCAAATGACGACACACAGTTTTATTTACCTGTTCTGTGCTTAGCTGGCTTTCCCTGGCAATTTTTGTACGTTTAACACCGGACATATCGTGATTTTTACAATTCTTGTTCTACTGCGTTCCCCTCACGTGTTGTCCGGTTGGTATCAGGCTTGAAAAGATCATTTCCTGCTCACCATTTCTTTATGACCTCGGGATCAAACCGAGATTTCAATTCACCATGACTTCAGGAAGTTAAGAAATTTCATGCATTGGCAATTATTCAATTTTATGTTTGTTGATCTGCACGATCATTGCGGGAAATTGCTCTTTGATCACTGTCACATCAAAGAGCATTATAAACACAAGCCAATGCCCGATGCCATTTGTACTTCGGTTAGAAAGGGAAGTAATCGAAGTTATTCAAAGATTGGAAAGTTACTTTGGATCGAGAAGACTTGAAACATTTCATTACCGATACGGTAAGATCTTTTAATTAACAGTAGTTACCTAGTTTAACTAGACAGGGATGTGTTTTATTAACGGATGTCATAAGATTTCGGTCTGTGGAAAATCATGGAGAACCAAACTTTAATTATGGAATCTGGGCGTTGTTCTAATCCCCCACATGGTTGAACAATGTTAAATTTTCTGGAATGGCTTAGACAAGGTGCCATTGACTTTAGATAAAATGTATTTTCACTGAAGCATTTGCTTATTTAAATTCGTTTCCGTTTTCCGCCATTGCGAAGGTTATGAATTTTCTGAAACTTAATTTTTGGTTATATATCAAGGCTTTTTTAGATAGAATCTAAAGATAACAGAATTAGGTTCAAAACATCAAATGAAAAATTATTTAATCCAAAATTTGTGTGTCTATTTGTTTTTGCAGCCATAAAATATTCATTATTTCTGTGCCTCGCGGCATAAAAAACTATATAGCTATGGATAAATGATTTCCTGTTTCCCTGTTCTAAATCTTGAACAAGGAAACAGTAATTGAAATCTGGGACTAGGCTAGATGAAAAATGATTTCAATGTTTTTGATACACTATCATCGGCATGTCTAGTTTTTGGTTTTGTTATTCTTTGAAAACTTTGCCAATTTGTAGGTAAAAATGAAACCACCAAATGGAAGTGAGGAAAAAGGGAAAGAAAAACCAACTCAAAATGGAGTTAATGCTGTGCAGTCTTCATTGCAACGACCAGTTATAGGTGAAGATACAAGATCAGGATCAGATTCATGGGACCAGCAAAGAACAAGGATTGATGGACTTCTGTCAACACTAAAAAAGGAAATGCAGGAAGTCAAAGTAATGGATAAAAATTTGACCAGGCAATTTATTCACCTAGGTGGTAAAATACAAGAACTTAAAGCAGTTGAGCAACAACTTTATGAGCAGATGTCAATGGAGGAAAGCGAATTTGACAATGAAGATGAACTTATTTCTGATAATAATAATGAAACTGCAATTACAGTTCTAGAAGACACAAGACTTTAATAAATTGATTCCAGCACTAGAAGCAATAAAAATCCTTTTTGATGTATTTAAAAGCAGAGACGTACAGTTGACTTGATGTTTATGATGACAGTTAAGCATGATCAAATACTCTCATTGGACTAAGATTATTTCCAAAGGACCAGAATTTAATATCCTAATAAACAGATCTTAATAGACATTCCGAATCAATTGGAAAATTGATTTGTTAATCCTGTTACCTGTCAAAGCATTTAGGACACTATTGTGGTTTCACATTTGAAGCCATCACAAATTGGTTTAGCTTGCAACTTGCATATGCATAAAAATAAACTTTTCTTTGATGTAAAAATTAAATAACTGTATATTTGTTCTTTTGTTTGATATGTCTTAAAGATTAATATTGTTTTATTTAAAAACAGAATTCTGTTTGTATGTAGATACTATAAGTTATGTTTAAGATTTGTTCTAATAATTGCCTGAAGTGTGACTACAATAAAAACTTGCATGTACATATTTTTATAAGTTTTCTTGTTTGTATTTTCAAGTGTTTATCATAAGTCTTAATTTTTTGTGAGTGAGTAATAACATTTACTGATTATTGCATAAAATAGATTTTATGATGTCTAACTTCAACATATATTACATTGGAGCCTAAATATAACAAACACTGTTCAGATCAGTGTAATTTCCTTTTGTTTAATAAAGGTTTCCTTAGTATACAGGTATTTTTAAGAGTGTTTTGACCATATGGGACAAGAGCATCTTCTGTCTGTTTTCATTTGTTCACCTTTGAAGCTATCACAAATTGGTTAAACTTGCACTCACATTTTGATAGGGAGCAACTTGTCTTTGATGAAAAATTCCATCTTGTTCTTTTAGAACCTTATTCTGACATTTTATACCATGTGGAGTGTCAGATGAAAAAGCTTTGACAGATTGGACAACTATACCAATCATGTGCATGTGTATGAATTTTCTTGTATCTATAAAAGCTTCTTATCACACCTTGTATATTGATAAAATTTATCTCTAAAGAGTGAATAACTGAAATTTTACATCACTATGAAGCATGCTCATGTGTTAAAATTTGGCATATATCATTGTTTTAACATTTATGATTTCATATTTACTTGATCCAACCAAACAATTGTTAAAACAAAATGATTAAATTTCTGAATCATCATGTCTGCAAAGGAAATAGTTAAAATTCCACTGGTCTTGAAATTTTGTCGAGATGAAATATGCCTTAAGATCACCAAAGTTTAGGAGAAAGATGTTGATGGAAAATTTGCGTTTCAGAGCACAATAAACCATAAACGTAAACGATACATTTTCGAAATGCCTTTATATCGACTTACGAATCAATCTTAAATTTCATCAGGATATCAATTTATAGAATCCTTAAGCTAAATGTCAAAAGAAAGTCTCGGATGTCGGTGGAAGCCACACCCTACGCTAAAAGGATTGGCTGCTGATAAAATTGAAAACACCGGGCAAATTCCAGCTGCGAAACTGTGGAAGGCAAAAATTCAGATTACAAGAAATTTAAACAAAAATAATTTTTCTCATAATAAAAAGAATCAGCACAGGGTAAAGACTGTCGTGCTTTGCCTCCAAAGCATCAAGTTGCTAATTTTTGGGTATTCAGCAAACCTTTGCGCACTTTCGTAGAACTGTAAAGAATTCTACTAGAAAATATTACACATATGAGTAAACAGAATCGATAAAATGAGCTACGGCTACATATGAGGCAGCTTAACGGCTCCGGCGGACCAAATTTCTTAAATTTTCTAACCTTGACATCCAATTAAAACTGCTTTTTTCAAGACTCTCAGACAAGAATATTGAAGTACAAATATTCCAAACTAACATTCCATGACTTACCACCTAGAAACCCTTGATTTACCTCCTATAGCCATTAACCATCCCCTAACAGTGCCGTCGGAACGAAATTCATATTGAGGGGGGGGGGGGCTGCCCATTATTTTCTTTCTCATTCAGTACATTGTTATTAAGGAAACATACTACAGTTTTGACAATTATTAGGGGGGTTCCTGCGCCCCCCAGCCCCCGGCCTGCCTTACCTTACCGCCGCCTTACCACCAACTAACATACTTACTAGAAACAATTGACCCTCCAACCCAAGATATTAATCAGAGACGGTCTACTACTTGACCCCCTCCTCTAGATTAATTAAGTTCCTGTGGGTGCAAGGAACGCAAAAACAACAGCCTTTCGCGAAAGTGTGCAAAAATTTGAATAAAACGTGCGAAAAATATAGGCTTGCATCGGCTTGTTTGTACCTTGTTTGAAATGCCAAAATTGTCAAACTTCAAAGAACAATAATTTGGAAACTTCTGCGGTTAAACTTTCTTGTCCATAGATACCTTCCTTGTATAAAATGGTTTTGCTAGCAAAAATGTTTAAACAATAATGGGAATAGAGATCGTTTAAAAATCTCAAAAACCAATCGCAAGTAGCAAAATAGTCCGCCTTTTCATTGAACAAAGGGGACTGGGCCCCAACACGAGCCTTGCATTACGAAATTAACTAAGAACCATTGCTGAATCACCATCTAACTAAAAAGCTATTACACAAATTCGCTGTATCCTGTATTTACAGGGGGCTATCTTTAAAGGAAAACTATAGCATAAACAACTGTTGTTCGTTTCGTATATTTGGCGATGATATAAAGTCGGTTTTAAGTTGAGATTTACGCAAAAGCGTAGTGCTAAGTATCAATTGTCTGGAAAGAAATCCCTGGTTATTTCCGATGACGATAATCAACTTTGCTCTAGTTTTTGTGTCTTAAGAACACAGCATTGCAAAAGTGGCTAACAAGGAAATAACATTTCATTCGTAAGTACTTTCCAAATTCTTACACTTCTCAGAGCCAAAACGCCAATCAGTTGATCTGCTCAACAAGAAAAGTGGTTTGGGCTCATGGCTTCTAGTTGTGGAACTTCAAAAAATCATCCTGTCAATCTTTGCCGTTTTGAAGGATTTTTTTAATGAAATTATGTGTTCTAAGATTCAAGACTTCCTACGTTGACCAGATTCCAGAAAATTTTAAATTCCGAGAAATCTAATATCACATACTAGATTAATATGTAAGTGATATACAGAAAATCGAAGTAGGTTTGTATAAGAAGTCAGATATATCCTATTTCCACATGCTTTTTAAAGGAAAAAAAACTTATAATTTGAATCAATTTAATCTAAAGCAATATCTTCCCATATCCCCATGGAAGCCTATCATATTATGATTAGGTATTACGTTATGATAATACGGTATGATATTACGCTATTCTGATATGGCAAACGGATGCTTACTATAGGGTATTATGATACTACCTTGAAAATAATATGTTTGTTATTGATGTTGGTGAGTCGTGTCGTTTCAGCTATGAAGATGACGACGTCGCGAAATCATGACGCGACGAGCTGTTTTATTCTTGGAATTGAATCAATCGCCAAGACTGTCTCGCATTTTTTAAGAGCTATCGCATCGTACATCCGTGTGGCGTATATTTGTGGAGCTGAAAAAGTTCAGCAATAACAAAAAACGTAACAACTAGTGTCATTGTAGATTCTTAAAAGTACTATACATCAATATGAAGGTCGTGATAACATTTGTGTCGAGTATCGAGGAATAACTAACTTGCATTTGGTTTCTTGGAACGTATGGCGTCAGATTTAAACCTATGCCATTTATGGTGCCAAATTGCTTTGGTTTACTGTCTTTAAAAAGAGACGCTGGAATTTGATTCCTTTCAATTGTGTAAAGATCAATAAATGGCTGAACCTCACGGTATTGCTAAACATGATCATAAATTGAACAAATTCTCGTCACAAATTTCCACTGTGTTTCAGAGAGGTCTTTGATGTAGCCATCCATTCTATCGCATTGACTCTAGCGCAATCGGCTGTACATTGACAGTTCTATCGATGAAAACTGCGAAGAATTAGGCATTGATATATCCTTTCGTTCTACATTTGGTGCAAAGACTTTAATTTGTCGAATATGCGTATCTCTTCCATTCTGGTGGTTGCCAACAACAGCGAGTTGGATCATAAATGTCTTGATGCACTGGTCATCGTTTTTCAGTTCAATATTCACCCATCCATATGGCTCGTCGAGTTCTAGCAGATCTACTTGTTTCAAATCATGGAAATCGTTCCCAACCCGGACTGATATTTTATTTGGGGTATAGCTTTCATCTGATTTGTAATCAGTGAAAATACTGACAAATCTTACCAGTGTCTTTTTCCTAAAAGGCGAAAAGTAAAGGATATAGATGAAAAGAAGTATACTTGCTACCACAAAATCTTTACAGAAAAACAACGCAGGCAAATTAAAGTCCAGTCTAAAAACATTATATCTAATAAAGTCAAAATTCTCACATCAATTCTTTTACCAAGAAGATCAACAGATAGTGCACCAAGAGGTTGGCTGGAGATTTTCCGCTCAATATGTGAATTATCATGGACTTGAATTATGTATTTGAAAAACTGGAGGTGGGGGCTTTTGAGCGATTCTACAAGGATGGAAATTGGTTCACTAGCAGACCTGTCGGTATTGAACACAACAGCTGGTCTTCTGTGTTTTATGGTGGAAGAAAGATATACTCTTTTTAACAAGAGCACACTTTGAAAGAACATTGAAGCTCGATTTTCAAAAAATACGTACATAACAAGAACGTGCCCAACCTCAAATGAAAAATTAGCAGACGTTTTAACAATTCAAAATCAGAAACCCCACCCCATTGTCACACAACACCCCATCCTTTGTATTCTTTAAAAAATTCAAACATTTTAGACGAAAACTTGTTTGCCTTTGTTTGCCAGAAATGTGACGTTCTTTTAGGAGAACCCGCAGCTGACTTTGAAAAGCTAAAATTTGAAAGCTAAAGCAAGATCCCATCTCAGGCAGTTTCCTGCGCTATTCAGAAATCCAATACTTTTCTTGGCTCAAGCACCCCCTTGCTTAAGGATTTAAAAGAACAGACTCTTTCAAATTCATATAAAGCTTGCATAACACAAAAAAAACAATTCTCTTACCAAACAATCTTTTTGTTGTATAGAATTTAAAAATGGCTTTGAAAAATACATTTTGAAACAAACTTCAGCTCTTTGTCTGACACTCTTCAGAGTATAAAACGTTAGAACATAGATTGAAAACTCTACGCTAGGAAATATATATACCCAAGATCAGGCAATCAGAAACGCGAGCACATGACTGTTGAGGTTGCCTATGGAAAATGTTACCAACGGATGCTAGATAAAACAAAAATCGAGCTCTACCAATAATCTGAAATATGTCGCCATTAAAGTTTTTCACGCAATTTGGTTTTTCCAGTAAATGCAGCACAATATTGAAATTGCATGTTTTAGCTGTCATTTTTGATCTGCAAGACCAAGTAGACAGTTCTCTTTAAGGGAGAGTTTTATTTCTAATGCTGGAAGGAAACATTGGTTAACTTTAACACAGAAATATGCAAGATGGGTTTCGAACTGTTCATTTCAGACATGGAAAAACAATACCCTCAGCACTGCAACCGGGATTTTACTATTAATTACTGAGCAGAAGTCACAGAAATAATGCAGTCACAAGGTTTTCTCCCTCAACTTTTTTGGATAATTTGATATAATTTTCTGATAATGAAAAGGGCAGAGGTGGAAAAAACTTTTTTCTTTCTGGGAACCTAAGTATCTGGCTAAAAACTTTCTGCAAGATTTCAAGGGGTAGACAAACAAACTTTCTGTTTGTGCCTACAATACTGTATTTAGCTGAAGAAATTCAAGACGTTTATATGAAACTGACTCTGAGTAGGCCTAACTCAACATATTAGATATGGCTTTACTTGATGCATAAATGCACATAAGATGGAAATCAACTTTAGCCAGAAATTTATGCATTTAGTCAATCATCGGGATGGAAAAACCAAAATCAGAAGGCAATAATTTCTAAACATAGTTTCAGAAGAATCAGGGGCAAAATCATTTGAATTGTATGGTGCATTTTACGGAGAAAGCGTAACACAGCCTATTCTTTGACAAGTGTGAAGAAATATATGGTTGAAATGGAGTCCTAATATGCACCAAATTACTTTAACCAAGCATATTAACTTATGATCAATGCTGCTCACACCATAGTACAAGAAATAATTTCCGTGAAAGTAGATTCCAGTCCCTATATTAATCTCAGTCTAAACAATGGTTTGTCTAAAAAGCTCAGCTGCCAAAAAAAATTTTGATGGTGAGTGGTTGAGATTTCTGTGAGATGGTGAGATTTCTCTAAAGTTCAAGCATAACAAAAACTCCATATAAGATTAATTTAATTTTAAAAACTGATCAAAACAGATATTATTTAGGATCAATTGGCAGTTCTCTAGTTTTGTTTGTTAGATGGATTCCCAATCTCCTGTTTTCTCAATGCCTTGATAGATTATTGTGAGTGCTAAACAATTCATTTTGAAATTATTATAGTCTGTTCTTAGGCCAAGAGGGGTAACTTTTAAAATTGAACTGTTAGGCTGAAGGAGCAGTACATCAAAGCAATTTCCATAACACATGGCCCATCCACACTTTGACACAACTTGTCAATATGAACAGGAAGTTCGAAACATTATATTGCACTTTCACAAGATAAAGCAAGCCAGCTAAAGCCAGCTGTTAGTGTGAGCGCAGCCTTAGGCTGCACTTTGCCAGTTGCAAGATTGCTACACACATTATTGGGCTGTAACCTAATAGTGTATCGACTGCAGTGTATGACAGTTTCCAACCAGATCAGGGTTTGCAACAGCAAAACTTCAAGTATGCAAGTGTGTATTTCAGTTGTGCACATGCGAAAATGAACTATGATAAGAAAATGTTCATGATTGATACCTATTTTGTTATCAAACCAATGTAAGATTATGTTGATTTTGAGAAAACATAATTGACCGTGCCATAAGCAATAGACACATCCATGTCACGTCCAGATCTCAAAACCACAACACTCTTTACCAGGTGTGCAGGAACATTCCTTGCCATACTCTGCAGTCTGGATAGTGTATACACATTGCACACCCAGGGTGCATTCCATGTACTTAGGCTCGAAGATCTTTGGCGTACACTCAAGTTTTTATTCGGGGTTCGGCGTGCGAACCAATAAAAAAATTGTTGACGTACTTAAAATTTTCGTTAGTTGGCATGCTAAACATGAAGCCATGTACATAGTTAACGTAAAATAAAGACTCATACACCACAGTTTTCTCTAATAGTCAGTTTCTTTGTCCTGGCGCAACAATGTTTACAGTTTTACTGACTGCTTTCATATTATCGGCGTACCTAAACAAATACCCCGGTGGACCTTCGGCGTACAGTTGACATGGAATGCACCCTGGTTGCACACTTATGTTAGCACCTTTGCATACTTTGCTCACACTTTTTTGCTCTTGCACATCTTGTTTTCCAACTATACTATTTTAATTAGGCCCCCAAGGTATCAAATATTTGTCATCATACAATATTATCATAAATCGTAATCAGAAATCAAATGAAAAAATCCTAAAAGCTATACCTGAATTGAATGTTAATCAAATGAGGTTGTGGTCCGTCAGATTGCCAGTAAGTATCGTAATTATTGTCTCTCAACTGTTCAATTCCAAAACCAGGCTTGCAAGATGATAATGACCATATTGCTTGTTCACCAATTTCTCTTACTTCATTCTTTATGTCGTTTTGAAAGATGACAGTTGAATCAGAGCTTTCTGATTTTGAAGCTGACATTTTGAAAAACAAGTTGAAATTGCGCCAATCTCGATCGCAACCTTTGAAACGAGGCAAGTACAAGATGTTAGCAGCATAATTCATTCTTTGGGTCTTCTTTTAAAGAGTTGCCTGCGCGAAACAGTTATGGTGAGCGATAATAATGATATTATTCATTCAAAAATAATAGAAGTTTACATCACAAAAGTCTTTCCACCCAATGATCTGTTAATCGAGGCACCAACATGTTATTATAAGCTTGTCGTATTTGACACTGGAACCTAATATCTTAAATCACTTTCTGCCTTTTTGTATATTAACCATCTGAAAATTTTTCATTTTTCTACTCCCTCCAATTCCTGAACGTTTTTCATAATATGCCCGCATTATTTGTCTAGTTCTTACGTTAAGATCACTTGGAGTCGTCATATTAATGTTAAGACTAGAAAAGTAATGTAGCTATAATATATTTCCTTCAACAGCATCAAAAGCATAACCGTTTCGGCTTTTCACAGTCTCCTCCCACAATATTCCATACAAAAATTTAAGTTTTCAGTTTTAAAAGATTACACAAATTCACAGGGCCGGATCCAGAGCAAATTTGTAGGAGAGGCAGTTGGTAGTGGGGGCGCTGAAAAATGTTCAGAAATTGGTGACGAAAGTACACTGTAACGCCTTTGTTGTCTTCAAAAGCGTAATTTTTCTAGCAAAAGATGATCCATTTTCATAACAAACAAATTAACTTTGAAGAAGTCCTTGAGGAAAATTAGCCTATAGGTCTTGTAAACTTTTTCACCCGATTCTCATTCTTAAAATAGGGCGCACAGTTTCACAAAAGTGGTACCAAACTTGCTTCAACACGGTAAGGGAGGGGCAACTGTCCCTAGTTGCCCCCCCCCCTTAAATCCACCACCGCAAATTCAGACTTTTTACGATTATTGTAATTCACCATTTTTGTAGTAAATCTGGCATTCCTTATATCTTGTAATGGAAAGCAATGAAATTTGCACTTTAATTTTGAATTACTCTATACCATGGTGAATGTTTTGTTTTTTAGGTGGACAGGTATAATATTCACAGCCAGTTAGAGCACTGTAAGTTAACAATTTCTTTTGTTGTTTCCATTCAAGCCAAGGTTGAATCCATGTAAAGCCCAGGGTGGAATCCATGTGAAGCTCATGCCGGACATACGCCAATAAACAATAGAAAGACAATGTGAAATCCTTAGTCTATGCCAGATATCTCCGGCATAAGCTACATGGATTCCGAACTGGTGTAAAGCTCACACCAGATATATGTCATATCATTTGCTATTGCTTGTTGGCAACTCTAACAGGGCTTGATTCCAAAAAGCTTTCAAATGGGGACCAGATTTGAAACTTGGATACTTGCTCTTTCAAGCCAGCTACAGACTTAGTTATTATTCCACTCTGAACAAAATCTTACTCTTGAAATTTGCTTGAGCAGCAAATACAAGATAATGTGATCCATTCAGCTCATTAGACAAACTGTTTGTCAATCAAATTAGAATATAAAAAAGCAAGGTGAGTCAAAACAAAGGCAAGTCATCATGCCACACAGTGTATGTTTCCATATCTTTGTTGCCATTTGAACTCAAATAGATTTTTGTAGACCTAAAATGGTAGACAACACTTAGAAATGCACACCCAATAAAGTGCAGGTGCAGGGCAAAGCTTCCAATCTGGACCTGGGAGTTGAAAAATTTCATATCGCTGAACTTGCTTCAAGGTGATTCGCTATTCAGTCTAAATTCCATGCAGCAAACATTCCTTTACTTTCCAGTCAAGCCAAAAAGATAGGGAGTATTGTAAAAGTTGGGAGCATGTGTAAGCAAAAGGGGCATCTCTCTGAGCTGCAAATAGATACTTTTCTTTCATAAAAGTGGAGGGGCACATGCCCTCTGTGACCCATGGTTTCCACATCTATTAGTCATCCCAAGTTGCTGACACTGGCCAGTAGGAACTCCAATTTCAATAAAGATTTTATGTTTTCACCAATTTATGACAAGGAAACAAACAACTAAAACTGATTTACATTCTAGCAATCCAGGTGGGCACAAAAATTTTTGGAATTCTCTAGACTCAAAGGTGCTCCCATCATATTTTCCAATATTAATATCATATTGAATTTTTTTTACTCCTATATAGCACTACTTCTTTAAAACAGTATTAATTCATAATCAGATCAAATCTTTCCACAGTACAGTCAAAATATGTTGGCACTGGTCACTCAGATACAACAAAGTTGTAAGTAGTAATTATTTTGCAACAAATTTTTATTTAATTTTAAAAGTTCTGTTTGGCAGTTGAGTTTGTAAAAAAATTTCAAATAGAGCCTCTGTGGCTGCATGATTTTTTTGGTCTGATCTAGAGTCCTGTCCCGCATACAAGTTCAAATTTATTCAAACATGCTAATAAAGTAACATTTACATTCAAATACTGTTTTGTGTTTTATTTCTGTATTGCAACTTCTTTTGCTTCAGTGAGTGGTTAGTGAATCAACAAAGAGACTCTGTAGCATCCTACATTGGACATAACAATCTTCTTGAGTTCTTTGCAATTGCTGAGAATGAGGCTAAAGCTAGAGTGAAATTCAATTTACAAAAGGTATTTTAATGTTAAGAAAATATTAAGAAAGTTTTTGCCTTCCTGCATTATTTGATTAAGACCTTCAATAGACATGCTTTTTTCTTCAAACATTTATCAAAAACTTTTTGTTTGGAGAACTGCAAAATGCAGTTTGTTTAGATTGGTAACAAGCTAACTTTTCACAACATAAATACTTCCTCTCAAAAAGATGAAACAATTCATAATAACTTTAATCCACATTTTATTTCAGAAAATGCTTCAACCATGTGGCAGACCACCAGAGAGACCTGAATGGGAATAACTATTCAAACTGAGTTTCAGCAAACATGTCATTTTACTTTTGCTTTTTATTTCTATCAAGATTTTCTAACCTGATTTACCATTGTTTTTATCATGTCTCATTTTCTGTTCTGTTTGCTCTAGTTTACTTTAAATTTAAACCAAAATCAAGGGGTCAACACAACTGTGCAATTTTCTCACTACTTTTGGAGTCCATGTAATTGCATCAATCTGGAAGGAGTGGGGAGAGAATAAAATTAGCTTTGTAAGCAACAATGAATGGTGGCTGATTGTTTCTTGAGAATCACACATAACCTTAAATGCATAAACAAAAGAGGTCTGTAGCCTTACCAAAATGGTATCATTGAGAATCATGATTGTGTATTGGAATGGTTAAGATCACATACAGATATAATCATCCATTTAAATTTTGACACAAATTCATAGAGTACAGACCATGTCACTTCCTCACACTTTCTCTCAGTATTATTTTCCAAATCCTGTTCTTCAATCACTTTTTTGTTGCAACCCTAGTCCAGTTGTGTTGGCAGCAACTGCCCCCTTCCCCGGTGCTGGAATTACTCCCTCATACCATGTCGGGTAGACTGTAATGGCTTTTTCTGAACACTTGGTGAAGAGTGGGGGTGTGTGAGTGGCAGTGCTTTGGGCTTGTATTTGAAAACATGACCAGGTAGCTCAGTTGGTATTGGCTCAATGTAAAGTGATGCCAGGTTTGAGCCCTGCCCTGGTTGTCACTCACTCATATTTTCTTCCAGTATATTCCCCAACGTATGTTCTCATTACAAATTCATTTCATTCAGTTAATGTTCTTTCAATCTTCTAACATTTGTTTACAATAAACAAAAAAAAAATATAAAGTTGCATATCTTTTGTTTAAAATTTGTGTTTCATTTATTTTTGTTCAAAAGCTAAGTGTGTTTTTAATTATAACTTGCCATATAACACACAGGATCTCATAAAATCCTTGGCCCAAAAAACCAGTGACCGAAAACACAATTCTGAAAGAAGTTAATATGCTTTGTGAATGTACTTAGCTACATAAAGACAAGTTACAATCATTTCACCACTGTATCATCAAAGCAGATTTTTAATGAAAATAGCTAAATAGTCAGTAAAACGAACACACAATTAAAGGAGATGAAAGTCAGTAAAATGAGAGAATTTCCAGATGAAAGCAGCAAATTTCCAAGGGGAGAATAAATAACAGCAGCATTTTACTCCAGCCACAACAAATGGTATCAACTCATGACTCGAAAAGAGCAAAGAACTTTCTTTGATGGTAGCCACTAAATGTCAACAAGATCAATCACCTGTATTGTTTGTGTGATGTTGGTATGGAGCAAAAGCCCTACTTAACATGTGAATTGTGCACTCACATCACTCTTCATTGCAGATGCGCTTCTAGCCCTGACAACTAGCCCTGGCAAAAAAGGTTGGTTACTGCCACAGCCTCTGCTCGGAGAGTGCACTCACATAACACATATTAAAGCAAATCTTTATTTAGACACATCCTCTAAAGTTTGTATAAATAAAATTTATTGTCCTTAGGGTTTGAGTATAAAGACCCATTATATTCCAGACCAAGTTTTTCCACTTCCCATGCCTCCAACATGTCAATTCATATAAAGTATAGTTGTAATGAAACTGATGTTATCACAATATGAATAAATCTCAGGTTTGGTTTCATCATGGACAGCTAAAACTGTACAACAGAATAATCTAGAGGTTATAAACTTAATCTTTGTTTAAACAAGTACAATCTCTCTTCAGCATGGAATCCAGAGCATCAATCTGTCTTACTGTTCACAGTACCACTGTCTTTCAAGTTTGCTTCATTACCACCTGCATCTTTGTTTACTGTTGGTCTTCTTCTTGGCACAATAAATGGTAGTATTGATACAATTACCATGATAATGTGCCCAATGAAATAATTGGCTTTAAAAACAGTCCATACTACATCTAGCTTCAGCATGATAAATCCTACACTTAAGTACTCGTATGTTCTATACAGGCAAAACCAGCGCACCCATTCAAAGTAATAAAGCTGCCTACTGTTACTGAGATAAGGCTTTACCAGCTTTTCAAATTGACTATCTGAGAATATCATCAATGGAACACTCATGAACGTGACATAGTAGCCAGGATACACACCATGCCAAAAGGCACTGATAAACAACACAATAGCCATCCTGAAAGGAATAATATAAAACAGTACTTCAATGTCAGCATAAAAGACATAACCAAATAAATCAACTAGTGATAGACAAACCTATTTTCTTCATACTTAAATTCACTATGTTCTGATGCATTTCAAAGGCCATTTTAAATCCCATTTGTTGGATTATACAATAGACCTATTGTTTTGTACCCAATCAGCAACAAAATACTAATTCTTGATGTTTCTCAATCATAAATGTCCATGGAGCCCTTCATTTACTCCAAATGGTTGACTAACAAAACATAGAGCCTGAATTTAAAATTCCAAGTAAATAGCATTTTGAAAGGATTTCCAACTTCAACCCAAGCTGATCAATGCTCCACAGGATTCTGGTCAAAACTGTCACTTTAGGGTCACATATTAAATAACAACTTTTACCAACCAGAACAGCTGTCAATTAAGTTGCATAGAAATACTATTTGATTTAAAAGTATCATAGCAAAAGCTGTCATGTCTATGACAAACATTTCAATTTTCAAAACTCTGCTACGGTACATGCTTGCTTGACTAATAAAAAAATATACGATTTTAATAAAAAAATGTGGTTTTCTGTTAATTAGTGGTGATAGCCAGTATTTCAGAATAAATGAGCCCAAGAAGGTTAAAGTTTTGCTACAGTAAAAATTTGTTATAAGGAATTGTGTATGATTTGAGGTTCTGGACAGCATCCAAGAAAAAAGTTCTAGGTGAGATTCTGTTAGACAAGAAGGCACAACAGTGACAAAGACATTTGCGAAGAGCAAAATGCCTCTCTAGCTTAGCTTTGTGAACATTGCTATGTCAATAATACACTAGAAGCCATAAGTTGAGAAAAAACTACTTTATGATGCCAACCAGGCATTGCGAGGAGCAAAAACGGGTGGATATAGAGGGAAAATGTATGGCTTTATGTGATAGCTTACTAGTTCAATTAGTAGTCAATGATGTTTGAAAAATCGAGGTCTGTTTGCTCAGAATGTATCAAGCAAATTCTGTTGAAACATAAGCTTTGTGATGATTTATTTGTCTTAATGATGCCATATTTCCAAGATGAAATTTTTGGCATGAATCATAAAGGTAGGAAGTCCACTTGTACATTTGAAAGAGTTTGTTAACATAGAGCCAATTTATACGTAAATATTTGTTGCTCTCTTAAAACATTTTTCAACAGAATGTTAAAGGTAATGTGTCCAGCTAAAGCAAGCAACTCTGCGGGGGATTTCAGAAACATGTGATTTTTCAGAAACGTGATTTTTCATGTCATAGTATGCTTATATTTGTTTTAGACCATATTAACTCAGTAATCACTTGATCAATCAAGCTCAAAGAGCTTTCTATCAACTTGTGAAAGCACTTGATGGAGCTGGAACCCCTGTCCTTACAAGGCATGATGTCACTGGAGCGAGAAGAACGACATGCAGTCCATGTAATCAAACTTAGGTCAGGAATACAACAAAGCACCAGGAATAAATGATAAACACGAATCCACAAACACTTTCAATTTTGAAATTCTAGTTGAACATTTTTCAATGGACTAGGGGGCTAGAAAGCAAATTGAAGACAAAAAACGAGTTTGGCCTGCAGAATGGTTGCAATGGTTTTTGAAAAATATGAAAACCTTACAAAGCCAGCTTACCTGTGCTTCTTGAATGGTACTTGTCTATGAACATAGTTGGCAAGCCACCATTGCACAGTTTTATTCCATGCCTTCATTGCATATCTTACTTGTGATGAAAACTCAACATCAAAGATGTCTATATTCTGAACAGTTCCAAAACTGAAAAAAAAAGAATTGCAAACTCACAATTATCTATTAGAAAGCCTGTATCCAATAGTGAAATGCGGTTTCTGATTTTCTCTTAACACATTGTGGTGCTCAATGTGCCACAGGCCCTCTTTGGAGGATTTACGCTATTCAGTGTTGATACATCAAGCAGTCCTGTTACTTTGATTTTCCCACAATTCTTTTACACACATCTAATGATGTATATAAGTTCTAGAATGTTATCTGAAATCTTCCTGTACAAATACCCATGTACCCATTCATTTACTTATTTAGGAGGCTTCATATTGGTTTTATAAACTTCACAATAAAAAGATACAATTTATGATTGGTGATACAAACCTATGAGTGTCACCATTTTGTTTCTTTTCAATCTCTTTGCCATCATTTATTTCATAGGGCTTTGTGGGTCCTATGCCTGGTTTTGGCTCACTTTCAAATGGGTAAGCACCAAGCCCTAATGTGATACACATTGCTTCAGCCAGCATCCAACCAATATAGAATCTATATCTGAACCAAGTGAAGCATGGTACAAGGTACAGTAATCTGTAAGCTAAACCCCATTCATGATTCAAATACTCATATGTTCCTATATGCTTTGCTGGAAAGTATGACTGCAAGATAAGATATGGAACAGCATACATTGGCAAACTTCTCAGTTTCCGTAAAGCTGGCCAAAATGTTGCTATTTTTGTACCATCCTGATTAAGCATGTCCTTATATGTCTTATATGTGTAATAAGGCCCAGTCATTAATCCACAGTAACAATATGCATAGCTGTAATAGTCATAAAGATTGGGATTGATTGGAGACTCCCAAAGTCTCACTTCTCTGACAACTGGACTGTAGCTTTCATCATCATCTTTCTTTGGGTTTAAATGACTTTGGCGATACTCAAATACCAGGCCAATTACCTGTACAATAAGAGAGCTGACAGTGAACAAAAATAGTTTAATAAATTGCAAAATATTATTTTATGGAAACAAAAGATAGTTTAAAATTAATGAGAGATCTAATTAAAATGATAATAACCCCTTATTTAACAGATACTAGCTTATTGAAATTCCTGATATATCCAGGGACATAACAACTGAATGTAATAACATCCAAAGAGAGTTGCCTAAAATGTGCCTGGTGATTCTCGTAAGTATGAAAGTTGGAGTTGCGTCTTAGAACTGTCCTATTGTGCATGACATGTTACATGTAACAGGTTTGTGGGTTTTTCAAAATCTAAGGGCACATTTCAACTTTCAACTACAACTTTCCAAAACTGGCAGTACCATAGACCTACCATCTACTGGAATTGCTGGTAAATCTGAATTCAACTCAACTTCAAAGAGATGCAACTGCACAGCTGAGAAGCGTTCTGTTAAGCTTTTCATTGCTGGCAGTATCATGAAAATTGCAGCTGAAGTTGAAAGCTGGATAAAGAATACCAAAGATGCAATGCATATTGTACATATTGAAATGATCCTTACCCTGATAGTAACAAGTAGCTGAATAGCATTACAGTGAGATGGAGGTGTTGGGAATCCATACCAGGTGCAAGTTCTAAAGAAGAACAAGTACCCAAAGACAAACAGAAACGATGCCAATGTGCAATACCTAAAATAAAAACCATTTATTGTTAAACATGCAGGTGACAGATCAAACAAACAGAAGGAACACCCCCTTTATGCAACTAAGCTTAAATACCTAAGATGTTCTGTAGCTAGATTTGAGAACCGTGTAAGAGTGAAAAGCTGCTGTTGAAGAATTGAACAGCAATGCAAATTTCCAAACCTACTCTTTTCTTATACCACAAATTTATTCAAATTAAATATAGCTTATGGTCTTTTTCACAATAAGGTTGCCACAAATGAGGTAGACAAAAGGCTTATCTTTAACCACCTATGTTGCAATGTTTACAACAGCAACTAAGGAAGAATTTTTTAATCAAACATCAACCAGCTTATTTATGGTAAAAATTAGTTGCATTTAAAAATTGTTGAAAAGATGGAAGGAGGGTCAGGTTATGACCTCTAGACCATAGTATCTCAACAAAGTATTAGACCTCAACAAAGTATTAGAGCTACACAAAGTACTGAAAGGTAATGTTCTTCTGCTGGAAGCTTAAAGGGGCTGAATCTCCTTTATTTGTGTCAAAAGTAACTCTTTTCTATTTATTGCCAAGGCTTGATTTTTCTTTTTCACTATTTGAGGAATGAGTGTTCTTATAAAGTGCATTCATACCAAAAGAGTGCACTGGAAACGTTTGTTTCATCACTTGAACTCTTAAGCTAGATTGTTGCTAACAGGTCAAATAAAGTGCCATCCAAACTTGCATTCACCCTATCACATTTTTTTGACCCTGTTCTTGATATAAATCATGGTTTCATCCTTTGGTCATTTTCCAATGTTTCATACTTCAAGAAGTTTCAGATAACTTCTGCTATGAACAACAGGCCTTTTGTTTGATGCAAGTGATCACTCACGATGATGTCAGCTCTTGCACAAACCCAACCACGTGAACGTTTGATCGCTGGGGCAAAACAGTAAATTTTGAGTAATAAATGTTGCATCAATTAACACATTTCTAGTCATCTTTTGTGACCCAAGCAAGTAACATAGACAGCAAAAAGCTTATATATTACAGGAACTATAAGTAAGCTGACTTAAAAACATCTCAACAAAAAAATACATTTGAAAATCAATTCCACCGTGAACATTTAGGAATATTTTGGGTACTTAGTGTTGAGCTAGAATAGCACTTGGAGCATTCTCATGGTAGTTAAAAGCGTTTTCAAAAAGATATGGAACAACATTTTGCTATCATCCAGCAATAATGTCCATATGATGTGATGTATACATAAAGTTGATAAACAAAGCACATTTATATTGGGTATTTAAACCTTAAAAAAGGAACATATGGTTTTTATCAACATTACGGACACTTTTAGCATCATGATTATTATCATTTTTAGAGTGATCAATCAGGCAAGAGAAACCACCCGAGCACTGGGCCACTTGCATGGGCTATTTCTTACAAAAAGGCCTGGGGCAAGGGGTACTTTCTGCTATGGACATGAACTTATTAAGAACCTTTCCAAAAGTTTGGATTATAGATGAAATAACATTTTTAAATTCATAGAGGATGTATATGGCTAAGCTCATTTCTTAATTCTAACTCAGATATTCTGTTTCCTAGACATGCAGCAGCTATTAAACTTCCATTCTCATATCTCTGCAATTTCATTACATATCTAAGTTCTTATATATAGGAACATGCAACTTATCTAAGGACCAGGGCAGACTACCATTTGAAACAGAACATATCATGACAAATGCAATCCCTATTCTCTTCTAAATAGGTTTTTATCTGCTACATATGTAAGTTTTCTAGTGCACCCAGCAACATTTGTTGTAAATGTTTGCCTAATCCCTCAAAGGTCTTCCTGCCTTGAAGCAGTTCTGACAATGGAAATGCCCCCTTGTTTGTTCAAGTCAAAAAAGCTTTCATTGATTTTCAGGTTTGACAAAGTTCATCCCATTAAACTTTGATAGTGTGTCTGGGCCCTTATGCACTTTAAATCTGCATTGAATAAACAAGAGGTGCTCTCTATTACTCAATACAGGGTGCTCTCTCCTTGACAGAGGGTGCTTTCTACTCAACAGGGGGTGCTCTCTCTTGATATATTAGCGAATTCCTCCTCAAGAATAGTTAGTTAGTTTTGAATAAAGTAACAGTTTTGCCTTTTTAGTAATTGTTTGATGGAATTTGTGCGATGAAGAGTTTTAAGAAAAGAAACTTGAATAAACATATCTTTTTCCATCATATGGACATGGAATCAGACTGGATTATATTAAACAGTTGAGTAAACTCAAACACTGTTTGGGACAGCAAGAAAATAGAAAAAGATTTATTGTTTAGAACACTGCTTCAAACTTGACAATCTTAATGTACAGGAATAACCACTGCGCTGCTGCCCCACTCTGGCAGGCCCCCCCAAAAAAACAGAACAAACTGATGTCACAGTTAGCAGTCAGATCATACTTTATAGCTATAAAGTACACAAAAAATCTACCTTAATCCAACAACCTTGACCAATAAGAAATTTCCGAGGATTGTCAAAGCTGAATGCCAGATTCCTTCAAATCCGGCGGTAAGGAGGGCAACAGTTAGGCCAGCTGAAAATGTCAAGAATTGCTTCAGACTAGCGCTGTTGAGTGACTTGACCAAGTGTCCTAGCGGTATACATAATAGCAGAAGAGCTAAGTAGATGATATCTTCCCTTGACATGACGATTGAGTGCTAATATGGCAGCTTCTATTTGGAGTAACTGGCAGGCAGACGCCCTTTAGTGCTTCAGTCCTGTCTCCAATTTCTCTCTCCACTCTGCTGCGGACTTTAACCTTGCCTGAGATGTTGCTGCGGTTGTTCGCGCGTTTTCGACAAACTCATCAAACTTTCGGACATACACTCATTTTGTTTATAAGAAACTACTGGCTATAACAAAAACGAGTCTGGACAGTCAGACAAAATTAAAAAACTTCAGAACTCGAAGTAAAAAATTAAGAAATTATTTAATAGTGATAAAACTGGGGACAACGAAATTTTGTAAAATCTAAGAACATGATTGCCCTGTTGGCCTAGAACTTAAGACACAAGAGATAAAATTATACTTCCCACATCTAAATACAGCATCAGAACGGAAGCGAATCTCTTGACGTGATAAAAAAGGTCATGAACATTTCATAACATCATTCATGACGTCATAATTAAGAAGTCCTTAAGAAACTGGAGACTGGAGTACATCGACCTTTGTTTCTTAAAAATATCTACTTTCTTCAGAAAGTGTTGTCTCGTCCAAAAGCTATTGAAGCTATTTTCTATTAGACAAATAAAAAAGCAGAACGAAAAGAAACTAGCTAGAATCTACTGAACAGAAAATTGAGATCTGAACCTATGCATGAGGTATCAGGGCATTTTTTTAAAATTTTCCACTGGTGGAGCATTTGAGAAAAGGGCATATAGATAAAGTTAGAATTTACAGAGAAACAGGCTTTCAAAAATATTCTAGGGGAATCGCCTATAGAAGCAGCAGTTCCAGGGAAAAATGAATTGAGATTTGAAACCTGTTCAATGAAGATTTCATCCACCAATATCTCAAATAAAGTAAAAAGTAAAAAAGTCACCGAATCATAAGGGCACTTAAGTGGTGGGGCAAACATGTTCCACTGGTGGGGCAATGAAAGGGGCTGGTGGGGAATTTCCCCACCACTTTATATGTTAAAAAATGCCCTGATGAGGTATTCTTGAAGTGGTCAGATCCCTATACAACTACCAATACCTAAAACCCTGTACCTAAGATGCTATAACTAGGCTATAGATATTTTCTTATTTTCCACGTCTGCTTCTTTTTACCATGCGATGCATGTCTCACTTTTTACAGAAAATTTCTAGTTTTGTAATGCTCTGAATTTCAAAATCTTTCTTTTGATTTTGTCGCAGCTCTGAGGTTTATTCTTCTGTTTACTTGTCCTGTAACATCTATGATCCACATGATTAGGCTAGTTTGAGTTTCACGTGATTAATAAATGCAATATTACTGTTAGCTTTATATAAGCATATACTTTGTTTTCATCCAAAAACTGCAGAACTTATTTCCGTTTTCAGTTAGTTCACTTTTACTTTCTTCGAGTGGAACATTTATTTCAACGAATGCTCCTAAACCTTGTTCTGATATCTTTTCTTCACAGTAACATTCTCTCTTGTAGTTCCTTCATGCAGTCTTTCGCTTATATATACCTTTCGCTTTTCACTACCTTTATAGCACGTCTACCTTTATAGCAAAAAAGAATGAGCCTTGTGCTTGCTGCCTCTGTGCCATTTCATCAAGCTGATCATTCTATTTTGGCACTCTTGTTTCCGTCTATAATATTCTGCGATACACAAACTCTTTAGGCACTTCTAGAACTACACATTATACTAGTATCTGGCTAAAGCATGAATTATTGTATTTCGTGAAAGTATTTTTGCTTTGTAGTTCAATGGCACTGCTTTTAGCATGAAAGTTAAAGTTTTCGTCTGAGGAAGGTCATGATCTTACATTGTTAATATTTTATGGTATATCGAGCTTCGATGTTCTTACAAAGTGCGCTCAAATAAAAAAAGGTAGAAGGGGTGAAATCATGATCATTACTTGCAATTAGATATGAACTGCCAGAGGTACGGCCTACGGGGGGGGGCGGGTGCTACTAAGATTTCTTAAAAAGTGGCCAACTTCTGCTTTTTCGTTGTCTTGTCCCCCTGCTATTTTAGTAGTAGCCCAACAGCTCCTGTAAGGAAAAGAGGAGTGCAGTGCTGGCAAAAACTCTGAATTCATGGTTTAATACTGAAAATATTTCCATCACCCTGTAAAACTGCGTTCATCTTTCCCTAATTGACCATTGGTTTCAATCGCACAGTTAGTCACTTGGAAGCTAATTATGCTTTCTAAAGTATGATATGAGACGTATTATTCTCCGAAGTATTGACAGCATTAGGTTTATTAGGCAATACTCTTAAACTGCTTAACTTTGACCCGGACTGGGACATCAGCAATAATGGATAATGCATGCATCTGTTTAGAACTTGGAGTTAATGACATGCACAGACAAAAACGAGTCAATGGACTCTGAAGAGAAGCTATATAGTATTTATGGGCTATCGTAATTCCGGCGCAGCATTAAGTTTAAATCGAATTTGAGAATTCGCGGTGATTTAAGGCTCAAAGCCAAATAGTCAATATGCCTAATGCGTGTCTAGACAGTAGGTAGGTTTTCCACGAAAGCAGTGCGATTAAAAGGTGTTTACCTGGAGCTTTTTGTTGTTTTTGCTACTGTTAAAAATGCAATGCTCTTAACTCAAACCAAGATTAAAGGAGACAAATGAAATGAGATTTAAATGATGATGTTGAAGAAACCAAAACACAAGTAATAGTAAATTCACCGCTATTTCCTTTCCTTTAGCATTTGCAAGTATTGAAGAGAATTGAATTCATACATGGAACTTTTTTATATCTTATAAGCAATCATATAGGGATATGATTTTCAGCCATCAGAATCAGCATTATGATTTAACATTAGATTGAGTCTTAAATATATATACAATTCAATATCTGAATCTCTAAAAGACTTTTAACGATAAGAAAAGTGTTTCCAGGCTCGCTTGTCCATAGCCACGATTTTACCGATTTATAAATTCAATTCTTACAAAAACTAAGGTGTTAAAAGCAGCGAGTCCAAATCAACTACAGTAGCATGCGTGATTGTAAAAGAGCTGATGCAATGCTGACATAAGCTCAAATTTTCTGTAATTTGATTAGCTACTTGGCCGTTGATTGAGATTGATAATTCTCCCCCATCAAAGCATGCTACTTTACTTGCATGGACACACCATCTTTAGATAGTTTTGATCATGATCAAGTTACAATCACAAAGACTGTTGATTGGAAAACAAACATTAAAAAATACATAAATGACTTATGATTAAAGAATGCAAAGCTAATTAGTCAAGGAGAGAGTACTCCTTTCATGAATCCAGCTTGAAAATCCTGAACCGATATTTGTAGGTTTCGATTGATGGAACTGACATTACATCAAAATCTTCTGCGCTCCATATACAAGCTACATAAGAAGCAAATGAAATCTTTACAGACGCGGTTCTCATTCAAAGCTAAGCTAGATCGCTTTCTGTTCTGCAAATCAAATAACAGGAAATATAATGTAATACTCTTTAGAAAACGGAAAGCTATAGAGTTTAGTTCTTGCAGCTTGTGTTTTGCTTTTGTCAAATCGCTTTGAAATCAGAAATAGTTTTGGTATTTCCAACACAGAACAGAAAATTACCGAATGTGTGATTCAAATGAATTTTCTAACGATTAATAAGTCTCTAACTATGAAATTTTTTGAAATTCTGAACTAAAATGTAACTATTAGCTCAATGTTAAAAAACTTGGGGGAAAATTGGTACGTGTCGGTGGGGGGGGGGAGGGGGCTATAGGAATTTGAAGGAACTTTAGTTACGTCCATTTAAAAAATTGTAAATTGGCCATGCGATATTTTCGTTTTTGTGTCCTTTCAATAGGTTATTAACAATTAATTACAATATGTCATATTTCACATTATATAAATTTGCAATTATTGGGAAGTAAATTTTTATAAACAGGACACTTTAACAGGGAAATATATTCAAGCATCAGTAGAGGCACATCATTCACACAGTGTCATAGACTGCGTGTTTTCTTGAAAGGGAGGTCACATACCCCGATGCCCCCTTGTGCTCCTTCCAATATGATTATTGTGTTGTCATCAATATCATTATTTTGCTTTGAAATATGTTTTTGAAAATCACAAATTATTTTCTCGTTGTTCTTCTTATCTCTAAGAATTGAGACATGCTCAAAGATTCAGCAATATTGCAAGATATCTTCAGCTACAGTAGCTTGCAGTAGCGGCGCCAGGCGGGGGCAGGGGGGACACGTTCCCCCAGTTCTTAGCAGGATCAGTTTTGCATTTCGTCTAAATCCGATGAGAAAATCTTGGGGGAGGGGTAAGATTTTGGCAACGTACTTTTTGTGACGTAATCCTAAGATTTTCAAACTGCCTTTACATAGCCAATTGTGAGTGTTGGGCGTTCCCTTCAGGTAAAAATGGCGTTCCTTGTTAGTAAAAGGCATTTTCTGGTGCTAAAAAGAGCGTGGCCTAAAATATCTTGTTTTGTTCCCTCCCCCCAGAGCGTAGTGGCTGGCGCCGCCATTGGTAGCTTGTAAACAAATCCTTTGACCCATCGATTCAATAAAAAGAAAGATTACAAATGGTGATGTTTATGAATGAATTCTTTCCAAATATGTCTTCTCGGGTCAAAGCGAGGTCACCTCAGCTTGTAATAATCACTGTTCTAACAACAGTGCTCCTTGCAAATTCACCTTCAACTACCGTGTCTGGATTAGTTAGTTGAATCAAGACGGATCCAAATCCAATTCTTTATTGGACTACTCAGCTGGTCACAAACCGTACAATAACATCTTCAGTTGATACCACAGAATTGTAAATTGACTTACGAAATTTTTCCGTTCTTGGTAAATTTGGGCGACGTTTTCAATCGTGTTTGGTGAAGCACTGTTAACGGGGGTGAGATTGGAATCAAGAAGAGCCACCCAGCTGAGTCTAAAGAAATGCAAGTTAAAGAAAGAGAATGTACTTGCCGGCAGGATGTTGCCATTTGTTAAAGAGAGGCATTGGCGGCATTCATTAGCGTTGCTGATGCTTTACTATTATTCCCCTGCATTTTCTCACGACCAAAGACACGGCTTTAACTAAAGATTTATAAACTATACTCTTTCTCGCAAACACCTGCAGGAGAATCGACAGATACTCAGATCGAGGACTGAATAGTTCTACTTCCTGGTCGACTTATCGTGTGGTGTTTTTACGTGGCTGATCAGCAGCACACAACTTCTGCGAAAAGTCTGACTTTAACGTTACGAAGGAGATATCAGACTATTGGACACCCGGAAGAAGTCAATAGATTGATGATGGCAACAGTTATCGTTCTTCTATTGAAAATAAACAGCCAATGAGTTATAGAAATCGTACTTGCGTAACAGTTTTGTTTCTGTGTTTATAAAACGCAGAATCTTAGAGCAAGGCTCACAAAGCATAAAAGTGCACTAAGGCGGATGATCTGCATCTTATTTGGCAGTGAAAACACACTTATGCATATAAACATTGAACAGAATTCTGAGGTGTTTTCTTAACTTCGACGAAGTTCTTAATCTCGAATTTACAAATGATATTACTTCATAAAGTAATTCTGCGATGAAATATCAGGCTGCTTTTGAGGAGATATGAACAGAACAGCAAACAAAACAAAGTTCTGCATGTTCATTCTTCAGTGAAAGCATACAGTAAGCAGAGTTTTTATGATCATGCATAACTGAACATTGCCCAGAGACGAAGCAAAGAAGTCCGCAAAAAGACGAAACAAGCTACTTAACAGTTCAACAACATTCCCAAAGCGCAAACTTGCCGAAATATCTATGGGTTACGAGAATTTTACTTCGAAGATTAACGGCGCTATCAACGCAACTCGAGGTCATGAGCCAGCCAACCTCCTCGTTACGACGTCGAATCCGCGATTTTTGCGAGCAGAAGCAACCCCGACAATACCAGTTATAGACGGTCGAAATCATTCTGCGTCAATCGCCGTAACCTGGTTTATTATTGGAAGTATTGTTATAGGAGGGTTGTATTATCTAGCTCGAAATGCTTACAGATCTTTGAGATACTATTGCCTGACGTCAAGGTAAGACAACTTTTTATTTTGGTTTCGCAATTTTAGAAAAAAAAGGTTTTCCATATTTTCTAAATAGAAGTAAATATCATGTAATTTTCTGTGACTTTTTTTAAAAATATCATCAAAATACTGTAAACCGACTTATCTGCTTATGATGCCGTTTTGATTTTTATTTCCATCTTCTGTTTGCATTAAGAAAAACGACGTGATTGACAAACCCTCTATAAATTTTCTGGTGTTTCTATTAAGATTGTGCGAAACATAAATATAGTGTCAGGATAACTATCATTCCTGTGAAACTCAATGTAAAGCGTTCTCAGCAAAACGCCCATTTTTTGATACCACCCACGTGAGTCACATTTTCCTTGGAGGCCTGTGTCATCTTCATTCAAAAACATGTGAGCTCGCATAGCAAAATTGATCAAAAACGTTCATCTGATTTTACGGTAACTGGATTAACTGCTAACAGAAAGGAAAAGTTGGTTACACATTTAAAATGTATAGGTTGAGGCATTGAAATTTTTTAAATTGCCAATTTTTCATGATAAAGCTTCCAACAAACATATTTTTTATGAAAATTTCAATTCTCAGCCACTCCATGGAAATCATAAATACCTTAGGTAAAACCGCAATTATATAATGGAAATATTCCTAAAAATCCTTTTGTATAGATGGAAACTCGTACATTTTTTGCAAGAATTTATTTCCCTACGGCCTTTGGCGTAACGGACCAACTTCTAGGTTAGGACAACACGCAAGGTTCTCTAATGGGCCCCAAAGTGCAAGTTTCTAGCGCATAAGGTACCCAAAGAAAATTCCTCCTCAGGTCCTCAGACTGGCCTATTACGACATTGCCCACGGCTCGGACTTTGTAAGCGTCATTTCTTTACAAAGACCTCATTTTGTGCTACTCATGGTCATTTCCCATCTTTTTTATTCTGCTCAATACTTGCCATTTTCAATGTTATGATAAGGGTAAACCTAACAAATAACAAACAAGGAGCAAGGCTCTCTAGGCTAGGATATGTTTCCTTGTTTGTCTATCCTAAAGACTTCACCATGCTTTTTCATAACTGATTTGTTTTGCTGTGATGTGGGATGATTAAAAATGCCATCTAAACCTTCCGTTTTATAGAAGAGTCTCAAAAAGCTAACAGGGGCTTTTTTAATTTCCCAGCGTAGCGATTTTATCCTGCTGCTAAAGACATAACAGTCACGTTAATATTATCAAATGGGGATGTATGAAAAATAAAAACAAAGGAAATAGCCATACGGAGTTGGACAAAGCAAGTAGTACACTGAATTTCAATTGACATTACTAGTGCTAGAGGAGATTTTCGGATTTGGAAACTGAGTTTAGAGTAAAGATCAGAGTATAGCCAAAAGGCCCAAATTCATAGCAAAATCAAACCTCGTCGAGAAAAGTTGCTTGATTCATTTGCATACGACTGGAAACATTTTCATACGTTTCAAAATGTTACCGGTCATCTACGATATGCAACGATTGAAAAACGAGATGGTAGATGAGAGGGGGTTTCTCGTATCGTTAGCAAGTCTAATTCATCCAGGGCTGCCGCTACAGGGGGTGTAAAGGGGCAGTGTGACACCCCCTTTGGAAAAAGTTCATAGTAAAAACGAGGGGTTTTTATCATTTAAGGGTGATTCGTCGGCAAAATTCCAGATTTTTTTGGCAAATAGAAGATTATTCACCGAGGGTTCACCAACTTTGTCGGAAAATGGGATTGGAGCACCCCCTCGAGCACAAAGCTAACGGAGGACCTGAATTCTACTAGACTCTACGGCAATGCGAGCAACTTGCTTTACCGCAGGTTTTTCTTTCTGCGTAAATATATTATGACAAAATGTTCATTAAATGGGTTGTCTCTCTACTCCCAAGATATAACCATTGCATAGATTAATTATAATTTCACAGAAAAAAACAGACTCTGTAGACAAATCCCTTTTTCCCTAGCTCACTCAGTTTACACTATAAAAGTGTCACTATTTGTTAATCACAGAAAAGCTAAGTTGGTGTATATTTTTTCAACTATTTAATTCCATATGACACTGAAAATATACCTTGAAATTGGAATACTTTGGCGAAGGAATTAGCAGAGAAAGAACCACTCAATAAATAAACTCCACGCATTTATTGTTCTACCCGAAAGCCAGAAAGCTCAATTTCTGTCACTGATTAGTCGCTTTTTCTTCTCAATCCCATTCTTCTCTAATTAAGTTTAATAATATTTGAAAGAGTCTTTATCTATTGTTTATTCCTGGCATTGCCTGGTAGACAGGTTAAAAACCTTTAATTGCCTCAAAAAATTGTTCATAATTGACTTTGCCGATCATTCAAGTCATGATGAATAAAAAATAAGGATGCCATGTCTTCATCAGAATGGATGAACGTCAAGAACTTTGTGTAGGGAGACAGCGTATAAGGATGCGTGTAAAAATGACCGCGTATGAGGTTGCTACAAATGACAGCGTACGAGGTTGCTACAAATGACAGCGTACGAGAATCTTACAAATGACAGCGTACGAGGTTGCTACAAATGCTCGAGCCTAAACATGATTCTAGAACTGGATAATATATAGACCATGTGACCCCTTGTGACGTAACCCCACAGGCGCCACAAAGAAGATGTCATTTAATTTTCTGCTCCGTCTATCTGTCCTTTTTTCGCCAAGTAATCTTATCGCTTTTAACTGCTTCTGACGCCGGCATAACTTTATAGATTGAAATGAAATCGATTTTTCAATACTTCTTTGAATTGTACGACACACAGACATTTTTCATTCCATCTTACAGAAAACCACAAGAAATTTCAAAGCAAGAAAGCAGCGTTCGCAGAAACTCTTCAGCGAAACTTATGGTTAAAGAAGAACACGGATAGAGAGCTAAATAAACAATGAAGATCATGAAGTTAGAACTAAGATGCATAGCTTTGAAGAAGGGGTGTTGAACTCTTTAATAAAGACTGTTTTCAGCAGATGAATGGGCAATTATTCAGTATTTAAAAAAATTAAAAAATTGACGTTATTTGCGGCAGAAAAGGGTGCAACGAAGAGTGTGCCAGTTTGTGACAACAGCCGACTAACTTATTGTGCAATTAAGCATAATCATCGCAGATGAAAACATTGAACTTTTCAAGATTATTGCTAACCTTTTTCTCTAGCTAGCAATACAGTAAATACTGTTGTCTTCGGTTTATATCATGCTATTTTAAGGGGTATTAGATCTAAAAGATAGTTTTTGAATCATTTAGCTACATAATAAATCGTTTAGTTGTACAACGATTCATTTTTCAAATGTCCTGTTTTTACTATTTGAAGTTGTGACCTTTTTTGAAGCGACTGAAACCATCATCTGCATTGCAAAAAGGGCCTAAAACATAGATTAACTTTACATAATCTGCTTTATGTGAACAGCTTCTTATTAAAGAGATGGATAAAATCCGAACAACGACTCATTTTAAACATGAATAAAATCGCTACATGCATAATGAATAAACACAGATTTTCACTTAAAGAGAATTGACAAAATGCGAATTTGTTAGGGATAAAAATATTATGACATAGCTGTGGATAAGAACAACATTGTGATTTGCTGATCCAGTTAATAAATTGTTTCTAAAAGCATTCCCATGATTGCATGCTCTTTGAATTTTCCGAAGAATAACAAAGATCTGAATCATTGTAAACGAAAAGCCACCATTGTCAACACGATTCAAACAACTTTCTCCAATATGTTCTCCATATCACTACTGCTGCTAAACTTCCAAAAATAGCATTACCATATCTGGATTTTAATTCCCCAGACTATCAAGGGTAGGACTATGTTTAACATACAACTATGCACCCGTTTTTGCAGCCTTGTATGAAGACAACGAGCAACTTCTCTTTGCAGATGTCTCCACGTGAAAGCAGACGTGCGAAGAAATTTCGACCAATTCTAACCTGAGTGCTTTTCAGATCAAGAGTTGAAAAATTCTTCCAGAAAAGTGTCACCCAAGAGGGCTGAAAGCCCAGCGCCTGTGACCATAGTGCCTGAGACCTTTGTGTATGTGACCCTAGTGCCTTACTTTCAATATCAATCATTTACTAAGTCCCAATTCCCAGCTTCAGGAGCCATGTCCAGACACGCTGGGGGGTTATAGCCCCTCACTTTCTTACTGAAGTATGAAATGGTGGAAACTTTTTCCAATTTGTCTAGAGCCTCCTCCCCCCACTCCAATTGCGCCCCGGCCTCCCTGCTACCTATAAGACTCTCTCCCTCTTTTGCATGTTCCAGAGATCCAAAGAAGCTTTTGTGTTTTGCATATGGAAAAGATACAATTATGAAAACATTCCAAGCTGCAATATATTTTGCAATAAGCTGTTAGAAAAAGGATGAAGAATCAATTTTATCAACCTTCTTTGGAAGTCAAGAAGCCACTGAAGATTGTCTTCGAGGGAGAAGAAGGTGTAGATTAGGGTGGACCCAAGAAAGAATTCTTCTTGCTTTTGATTGAAGAGCTTTTTGATAAGAAATATCGAAAGCTAAGGAAAATATGATGTATTCTTGAACTGTTTTTCCATCCTTATTTCAATAACAAGATAGCCCTTGGCAACGCCTTTCCAATTGTCTTAAATTCTTTTGTTGCATTCATACTTAATCTATTTTTGTATTTAAACATCAGATTCTTTAAGTTCTAGCAAAAGTCACGCCATTTACATACTTGGCTATTTTACAAACAAGTAGTAGAGGTTATTTTGTTTAATCATTGAAGGGCAGATCAAATGCCAGACGTACCTCAGGAGTCTGTTCTCGGGCCACTAAGGTTTAACATCCATGTAACAAAAAAAGGCCAGTAGATTGCTTGGCTATAGGAAATGATATTCTTACCGTAATATAATGGTTCTGAAGCAGCTAATATTAACTGCAACTAGAAAAATCATAAATCTTAGGAACATGTTATCATGAAACACAAGTTTAGCTTGTGCGATTGAAATTATTACAACTTGAGTAAGAATTATACTTTCAGACATAAAATAATCATATAGTGAGCAACTGAGCAATCAAAACTGATTTATTTCATTCTGGTACTCAACGTATTCGCTCACTATAATATCGTTTGTTGAATGAAGTACCACACGCAACGTACATTATTTGATTGGATTTTACTGAATATAACAGCCGGCCAAAATCTTTATCAAAACAGTAATTATATGAACGTTGTTAAAATTGATAAAATGGTTTTATTATATGAATGGGTTATGGGTTTATTTTGTCACCGTTAAGTTACTGACTAGCCTCATGATTGGTCTCCAAATATAACGTTTAGTCACAAACAATAAGGCTGTTATGTATATAATAATAATAATATTTCTTTTTACACGATTCAACCCTTCAGCTACCCTAATACAATATCAATTAAGTATAAATACATTTGCTCAATTTAAAAAAGATAATATAATTTCAATCTAAAATGTTATTCTTCCAGGGGGTCGTGTTTAATCGCCTATTGCATACAAAAACATGATATTGGATTGTGAAAGTTTTTTTGCGAAAGTATTTCGATACCTACTGCACCAGGGACCACGGGTGCATAAAACAGAGTCAAAGATAAACCTGTAATTTATGAAAGATATGCTTTTTAAAGATTTGAGAAATAAAAAGAATTACTTCAATATTAAAAATTATGATGAAATTATATGTTTTATTATATGAGAAGAAATTATTGTCACTTTCTTATAAATAATGTTATGAAAAATGCTTAATGTTTTCAAAAAAGACAGAAGAGTCAGAAGGGAACTGTAAATTGTGCCCATTTATATCATGCAATATCTTCAGCATACCAAAAGAGGAAGAACGAACTCAAACAAAAACATAATTATGCATGAAAACATAATTATGCATAAAAAATGATTATGCATAGCAAGAAGTAGGCTTCTTTACAGTATCCAAGCTTACAAAGTAACAAAGAGGGAAGCAACCGAACTTAAAACAATTTTTAATGGCTTTTTAGAAGAATTGTTACAAATGGATGTAATAGAATGTAACTGCATTAGCATGAAACGAGTTAGAACTCGTGTACTTAGACCTAAAAATCCATTAAATAAGACATGCTTAATCGATATCAATTTACTGTGATAAAGCATCTTTAATACCTCGCACATGTAATGCGTTTGCCAAAAAATGACATAAGTTCTCAGTAGAAAGAAAAAAGTTTTTAAAAGATGGATATAACTTGAACAATCTATGTGACTGTTGAGCAGACTTAAAAAAAAGATTTCTACTGTTCATATAAAATGTTTGATGGTTCTAATGTTCATAAAAATAGCAAACCGCTGAACGAGAGAATGCGAGCTGTTTTTTTTTCAAATCTATTACTTTTTTCTAATCTTTTTGCTTCAAATCCATAACCCTGTTCTAATTTCTTCAAGCAATTATTTATAATTTCTTTAGAAAGGATATGAACCAAAACTGCCAGAGGGATTTACTGGGGTCAAAGACCGTTTTGCCATTGAAATCCTATCTTCGCGTTAATAAATACAATATATTTTAAATGAAAAAATCTATAAAAAATTATAACTAAAATAATTCTCATCATTATCTGTTGATAAGCATTTAGCTGCTTAGGTAAAATTTCAGAGATATAATTTTTAACCACGATGAGACCACTGCTGCTCAAAAACATTTTTGATAATTACTAGCTCTATATTTGCGTCAACAAAATATGGATTGGTTTGAATATTAGCTATGTGTGCTAATTAGTTAGAAAAAGTGTGTTGATCTCTGAGTGATTGAATGGAAGGTACATAGAGTACATAGAAATTTGGTTGAGCTATGGTTTGAGAATGCAAATCATGCAAGCTAGAGTGTCAAACAGTCTTTAGTGGATGGAAACCAGATTTATTTTTGTGCGTAAGAGAGCGCCAATATTTTCCCATACTATAACAAATTCTGTGCGATTGCTCTTATTTTTTATGTTGTCTGAATAAGTGTCTAGACGGTTACATCAATCTCTTTGCCATCAGTGGCTACAATTTAACTCATTCCCACGTTCCTCCCTTCTCGAAAGACAGCTAGAAACAATATACCAGTAAACAAATTCTGAAAGAGAGAGAATCATTTCCTATTTGTATGAAACAATTTTTCTAATACTTTTATCATCCAGTGTCCAGCCAAACATCTATATTCTAGTGAAATGCGATCAAGATCTGTAAGGTAAAACTTTGATGTTGAAATAGAAATCTCTTTTTCTACAAATTCAGACAATGTTTACGGTCACATTTCTTTTTCATACGTGATGTAGCATTCGACCTTTTTCTTTCGTTGTTCAGATAAAGGCAGAAAGCTTTTGATACCCCCTCTATCGATATGGAAACATTGTTATCTCTAAACATCAAAATCTCAATATTGTTGAAAAGATAAAGAACGGCTGCAACACGTAGTCTTGTGGTACGCCTGATAAAAATAATATAATAAAGGTATAAAGGCTTAATGATAGGTCAAGTGTTTGATGTCTACAATTGATGTCTTGTAAGTTTACAATCAGCCAGGCGAAAGTTTCGTAAGGTTACAGCAAAACCCTAAATGAACTATGCCTTAATATATTTGCTTACTGTAGATTTAACAAAAATTTAAATTATATAAGTGGAGAAAGTATGTAAGAAACGATATTATCAGAAAATTGAAAACAAATGTGGTATATCTGGAAGAGATATGTTCAATTCCTCTTGGAAGAGTTTTCCTTTGAAACCGGTTCGACCCAATACATTGCTATAGCATCTAGGAAAAACTGAGTGCTGAAAACATTGCTTGTTCAGCAAGAGAAAGTAAACAGCCTTACTTAGAAGATGATACACATACACAACCAATCCGAAAAGTCACAATATCGGTTTCTAAAAGTAAGTCTTTTCAAGTATCACAAAAACATGATATTTTCCTAAAAAAACTGTCAAGAGACGATCTCAATAATACGACTGCATTTATAGTAAGAGAGGTAACAGAGTTATTAAGAACTTTGTGTCTGGTACACTCTAACTCTGTGTTGAATGGTTTATTCTTCTAACAAAGTTGTTTCATTCAGCTTATCGTTAGTCTGACAAGTACATATTTTTACTTGTCAAGAAAGATCTATACTGGCGTATGACTTAAACTTGACAACTGGGTCACCCAAACAAAGTTGCAGTGACGCTCATCTTCAGAAGATGAGCAAGGACTTTGTGACTCTAATCAGGACTGCTTTGGGTCATCAAAAAGGCTCGTCGCGTCAGCTTTGCAGTTAAAATGACTGGAGCTGTGAAAAATTCTCTCACGAAAAGTTTGCAAGGTCTATAAATATGT